CCACTTTTGGACTTTGAATTAGCCCCCTTGTACCTCGCTGGGTGGGGCTGGCCTTTTGGGCCATGCCAATAGCCCAGACACCTTCTCCGTGCTGAATATATATGTATATATTCTGCCCGAGTATTGTGTCTTCTTTCGTCTTCAGGGAGTCTCGGGACGCTACATTATATTCTGTGGTCATTTAAGACCAACTGAGTTTGCCACTCCTGCTCCTGTCAATTCTGTGTTCAAAGTTACTGGATTGGCGGTTGCAATCTGTCTGCTAAAATCGTATTAACGAAAGGGGTTTGTGAATCTTTTCTAAAAAGGATTTGAAGTTTACACCTCATGAAGAAATCTTATGTGAATACTACCTTGGAGAGCACCACTCGTATCTGGTGAATTATGGAACCAGACAGAATAAACTAACCCATTACTATGAATAAATTTGCCTTACGGTCTTTCGAGACATTGGCACAGACCGAGATTTTTAAATACATTGTCAGACCAAAGTCAGCTAGAAAACTCATGATGGTAGTTGACAAGCCTAGGTGATCTAACACCTATAATTAAAAATTCCTCTAAGATTCGTGCTCAGGGTACGGTAAAGTGCTGGGTTATATAACACCCAATTCTAGTTTGCATTTATAGATTTAAATGAATACTTACCCTTACTCTTACTTAGCTTAGAAGATGAAAAGTGCAATCGGTTTCTAGGGCGGGCGTCGTGAATCGGATCGTTAGTTCAGCCATTCAATTTACAGTGCGTAAACTTGGTGATTATGCGATGATGAAGATGATTGTCCCCCATGAAGGTAACTGGCTTGTTTGATGGATGAAAACCTGCCCCTACACTGCATAAGGCTTATCATTCCATTGATTGTTCAGTTATATACAGCTACCACTGTGCACAAACCTCTACGCGAATGTAAACAGTTACTTCAAATTACGTAATAATATAATTGCCAGGGAATCAACAGAGAATTTAAGAATAATCCCGGGATTCCCTTGTTTAACATGTGTTGAGTAATCAAGTAATTGCTGTTTGATCCGACCTATTTTTTAACTATTTACAATGAGGCTTAAATTAAATTTATTTTTGCTGCGTAAATATGTTACATAGTGAAATTTTGTACAAATTTAAGGCTTGGGACAATTTAACTTTACTTTCTTGACAGCTGTTGCGTCTGATGGTTAGACCATATGCGTTATTAATTCTACTGCTACCCCAACAATAGAATGCAACTTACCGACCCATGCTATCATCTGCATATTGCACGATCATCCGGTTTTTAGAATGCCAACGTTTTTTAAGTCTTATAAAAACGCCCCTTACATTGCAGAGATGGCTACGAAGACATACTTTTACGAGCCTCTCTCTCTGCCTATGTTGTATTATGCCCGGTGAGAGAGCTAGTATGATTTGCCAATGTCCAAAACCCTCACCTATAAAAGCGAATCAATTGTTCCTCGACATCTCCTTGCATCACGAGTGAGGACTTCCGGCTCCCTATCCTTTTTTAAGGGAAAGTGGCACCCCACCTTGTTATTCAATTACCGGTCTTACAAGAAGAACTGCAGACTTAATTGGTGATCGTAATTTCTACCCAATTGCAGCCTGTAGTTATCTTCAATTCTGTGACTAAACGACTAGTTCCACCTTTACTACTTCATTCATCGTTTGCTGCTCAAATTTTCAGAAACCAAAACTAACGACTTACTTTTAATCAGCTTATTATCATCAAAGGAAAAAATAAACCGTTATAGTACCAAAAGAGGTCGTGCTGTTAAGATGGTTAAAATGTGCTCATGTCAAGGATACTAACGGACTCGTGCATTTCAACTGCTCAACCAAAATTTGCGTCTTCCAAATTTTGAATAAAGGTTTATTGGCGAAAACGATTAAGTCCACAAGCGCTCTTTGGAATGGAGTAATGCCCTGCCTCCAAAGCCCTTATTTTGCATTCTCACAGATTGGTAAATCACATTTGTGCAGCAATTTGATATTCTGAATCCTTACAGATAAGTTTTCTGATCGGATCTTTCCTAACAGTGTTAATATGCGCCATAGTTGCACATGGAATTAACGGAGTAAAGTAGGAGACTGGTAGGAATACTGGTCATGGATTTCCAGAACATTCAAACACCCTCAAAGCTCTAGTGTTTTCATTTAAATGCAAACTAAGGCTATTCATCTGAATTACTTTAGGTAAAAAACAAACCTAGTACCCAAATTGTGCGTTACGAAATTCCAAGGAAACGGAGGATCATGTTGACCTAAATTTTGTCAAATCCATATTTGCTTTGGGATGAAGTTTTAAACAAAAACGCAACCGGAGAAGGCACCACATGAAGAGAAGTTTAACCAGTAAAATAGTCCAGTAATAGTCAGGTCCGAGGGTTCATTTTGAACTGGATTTTGCACGCTCTAAAACCTTTCCCGAACTTTTATCAAAAAATTGTTGCTCACCGTGTCGCAGATAAGATCTTGGATTCACAACTGTTGAATGTTTAGCAGTGGAATGTTAATTCATTATCTTCAAAAATGCCTTGACTACAAAGCGTGTGAATTTACCATTACTTTATTTATTGCCTTAATTGCTGGTGTTCTTTAAAAAGTACCTATTGGCTTAGAAGCAATTTCTGAAAACTATTGTCTGTTTAACAGCAATGGAAGACTTGAAGTAAGTTTCTCTTGGCGAAATTTGAAGGGGTTAAAATAATTCGCAGCTATACACTACTATTCAATGGGGTATTGATGATGCATTGTGATTTTAAATGCTATCATAGCAAAACTGTTGTTTTTTAATGTCTCCTCCTCTTTCCGTGCCGTCTCATTATTCATGGAGGCACAACTTTCCATTTCGTACAGCTAAGTTGCGTCCGTCTTGCGCCCTATAGATCTTGAAAAGTTACTGCACTTTCTGAAGGGTTTAACACCAGCGGACCGTTGGGTGATGCCCTAAAGAACAATGTGTACAGTAGGAGACTAAGGGACACCAAGAAATAAATTATCAAAGTGACGTTCACTGATCAAAAAACAATTTGAGGTCAACAACCGTTATGTAAACCAATTAAGGCAACGATATATGCCAGCTTGAAGAGAAACGTACCGTAACATCAGAATAATTATCAGTCCAAAAGGTTGCCGGTTCTTCGTCCCATAGATCTAAAACGGACTTGAACAAAAAACCAAGTCAAATGTTTTGCATGCATTTCTAAATTGCATCCACGCCCATCAAATCGCGAGGGTTTAATCCACGTAATTATCCACGCATGAAGCAGGCCACGCCTCTGCCCTGCGGCATGGTTCTCGGGCCATGCTAAAAGTACCCCACTTCTAATTAACTTCATTAATATGCGTTTCCTGTACTATTTCGGATTCATTGAAGACCAAGAACACCACAAAGTTTGATTGGTCTCACTTTGAAGATGGCCATGTGGACGATACACTTATAAGCATCTTAAAACTGTCAATTTCCAAATTTAAAACATTCGATGTGCATCAACTCAATGTTTCATTAACTTCTTCAAATCAGTTCTAAGAGAGAAAATAAGGTACACAGACTGCGGTATTTTCAAAGATTTGTCACCAAAATTCAGCTCATTTTTGTGGCCACTTTTAGGGCATCAACTTACTGACTGTGATGTGCACTTAATATTGTCTTACGTTAAAATTTAACCCAAACATGGCATGGAACCTACCCAGTTTCCCGACTTCGATTGAGGTAAGGTGGAAGTTCTATGGAAATCAACCGTTGTAGTGGAACGGTAGTCAGTTGGTTCCACTTTTTCAATATTTTTAGACTTCAATTCATTACTAGGAAGGGATTTCACAAGTCATTTACATCAAAACAACACAACACTTTAAAAAAAAAAAAACATCAAAAATGCTATTCTTTAAACAAGAATTTGTTAACTTGCGAGATAGGTGTGTGTTTGTTCAAACAATGCCCTCAAATCTACTTACACCCTCCCTATGATAGTTAGAAGTGTCTCTGTTAGAAGCCTCTTACATCCACCCTACAATGGCCCACATAGAGTGCTGGAATGACATGACAAGTATTTTGACTCTACACCGGTACGTAGGATGCGGACAGTATCAACAGTCTGAATGCTGCTTATATTGGCGGTCCCCCTTCCATATTCCGTGTCACCAACACATCCCTAATTCATCCAACATCTCTTAACAAGGACAAGGACCGCGAGGATACATTGTGATACACCTTCACCTGATCCGTCCTCGCCCACAGTCCCTCTCACCATGTTACAGCTTACAGGTCGAATCTTTACCACGCGCTTTGTTTAATTAGGTCGTGTAAGTTTGAGAACTCAAGCCACTTTACCACAAAAGATGCCTTTTGAATTCATTGTATCAGTTAATGCAACCATATGCTTTAGCAAAAAGCAAAACACTAGACAAGCATTAGCACAATAATCAGCTAATTTCACTGATACATGTAAATGGCTTAAATAGGATGAAGGTAAGACGTACACAATTTCCTCTTGTATTCTTTCACTTAGATCCTTCATTCTCACACCTAAACAGACACTTCATCGTAAAAAAAGTGGTAATTGAGAAAAAAACAAAAGGAAGGACGGTACCGATGTCGGATGCACTCGAAATTTCCGCTGAATGTAGGCTGCGCATTGGCTCGTAGGACTTAATAATGCCGGAAGATTTTGTTTCGGAATATATACCTATTTGTAGAGGACATGTCATACTCTTTGGAACTATACATCACAATGCATTGCGATCTTGGGTAGCAGATATGCACTTGTGAATACATGTTTAGAAACACTTTAATAATTATAAACACACTTTATAGAGCATAAAATACCGATGGAATATTGTAAGCCTTATAAAGTAGGGCACCATGACTATATACTTCCTTAATTGTTTGTAATATATCAAGCCATTATTAAGAATGCATTTCCCGCGTGAAGCTCAGTCAGAAACTAAGCATTAAAAGACCAAAGCGGCCTGCTGTTAGGTTAAAGCGTAACCGGTGGGCCTACAAGTTGGTAACATTCGAAGCACCCTAGTACCGGTCTACTACGAGTGATAGCGGAAGAAAGTCTGGTACAAAGGTGACAAAGTGAGTGGAAGATATGGGTGAATGTCATTATGAACGTGAATGCTGACATACTTCCAGTATGTGACACGCGTATCTTCACTGCAAAAAAATAATGGACAAAAATTCCACATTTTTCATCTTTTTTATGGCCAACTAAACAAGGAATGAGACAACAATGATGAATAAAATAGCTTAAAAACTTCATCTGAACATTCAAACAAATACTCTATGAGACTGATGGGGGCGTACAGTAATCTATGCACAAACTATAAACAAACCCGTTGTTGACGCTACCAATTAAAACAAAGACAGATTAGAAGTCGTTAAAATTTGTGAAATTTTTGCAATGAACTGCTTCATCCTTCAAATCATTTAAGTTTAATTATTATTTTCGCTTTCAAACACCGAAAATTCTTCAGTAATGCGGCACCCTGTATTATTTATTCCAACATCTAAGCTGGGAGTACCAAACCTACAAGATTATATCACTACAAGTTTGGCATTGTGGTGATCTACTATTTGTCCTATCTTTAGTAGTCTGTGCCGATCGTTAGCTCCCCGTAAACTGCACGTCCATTGACCATGGCAATATCTACTCAGTCATTCTACATTCAAATAAAAAAGTCCTCATGAAGGCAGTACTTTAACTACTTTAGGAAAGGTTCAGCGAGGAAAAACAAATTTGTTGGCTAGGTAGAATATATGAACAATATAGAAGGATAGCGCTAGCAATGGGAACTTGAATCTGCCGAGGTAACAAAACGGCAAGTTCAGCACCCTGAGCTCTGCATAACAACCGCAGATGGAAGGAGACATATTTTAAACTAATCGCCACTAAATACGGGAAAATATCCGGTATATTTGTATCTGAGAATATGAAGCACCACTCTCATGCCAGGTTGTGGATTTCAGGCAAATGGCAAAAAAACACATCGGTGGATCTGTGATATGTGCCACCAGTGAAACATCTTTCAGTCTCTAGCACCACCTCTCAAGAGCACTTCGCCTGACACGGTTGGCCTCACAAAGTACCCAATATTCAGAAAGCCAGACAAGACCAGATATCTTGCATGTACTACCACCAAAAAAACCTTTTCCTTTCATATGCGAGGTCTTTTATTTTCAGTTCATCTAATGGTAGTATGGAACCAGGCCGGAAGTCCTAACAATATAAGCAGAATAACCACAAATGAATCTGTTATGGTTTGTGCTTAGCAGTGCAGATCCGTAGTTAAAAGCCCTGTCTAGTAAAATAATCTTTCGATCGCGCCAATTACCTTTAAGATCTAGTAATCATTAATAATGTAATACGATTGTGGTTTATCCCTCAGTTCTGGTGAGGCGCCACTTTTGAGTGGGCTGGTTTTTGGGCCATGCCAATAGCCCAGACACCTTCTCCGTGCTGAATATATATATTCTGCTCGAGTATTGTGTCTTCTTTCGCCTTCACGGAGTCCCGGGACGCTACACTGGTGGCAGCGGAAAGCAAACCCGATCTTAAAGGACATGTGTCCTGATTTTCCACTTCTGCCTGATAAGCCTTGGTGGAGCGGAAGAAGTACATATATTACGGATGGGAGAATGGTTATGACCCCTAATAGAAGGGTTAAAGTTGCCGTCTACCTTCGGCATCTATCCCATTCCCGTGAACCATCTGGAAGTTTCGTTACAGACTTCCCCTGCCATCCCCCACGGATTTGTATTAAATCCCATCCTTCCTTACCCAAATCTAATTTAGGCCAATGTTCCTACATCCATCTGTAGACACGCATGACAGCCAGCGCAATTCCCCGTCCTGAGTGAAGTTCGTAAACCAGACGAAGCTCCAGATCCAGTTAAGCTACCAAGAGGAATCAGTGACGTTGAGATCAATTATCTCCTCAGTTGCGCGCTAATTTGGTGACTGGCACGGTAGGGTAGCGGGCGTTTCCTTACAGCACCGACTGCGTTGTAATGGCTGACGCGGAAGGTTGATCTGCGGGAGCGCTGGGGACGACGCTCAAATGAGGAGGGAGGCTATGTTATACGATGGTAATTTATACCTCGGTATTGGTGAGACGCCACTTTTGAACTTTTGAATTAGCCTTCTTTTACCTCTTTGGGTGGGCTGACCTTTGGGTCATGCCAGCAGTCCAAACACCTTCTCTGTGCTGAATATATATATTCTGCTTGAGTATTGTGTCTTCTTTCGTCTTCAGGGAAGTCTCGGGACGCCACAATAATTCTCAATACAGAATAGTATTGTTGACATATTAAACTTTCCTTTAGTTTCAGATACGCGAAATGAGAATCACGTTCGAAAAAAGGACTTTTGGTATCGTATAATGCTTAGACTCTACTAAAAAACCAAGGATACTTTAGAAGACCCGAGTTTGCTCTCTCAACGGGGACAAATGATGCGTGCTCACGCACGAGATTGGGATTCAAACAGCCACGTCTATGCAACAAAAGATTTTCAAAACAAATCAGTAGGGGATTTTAAATAGCAGCCATTGCACCCTAAGCAAAACAAGAAATTAAGCATGAATTACGATTACTTAATACGCGATTGACTAAAATGAGTATATTTATTTCCAACCGGAGTCCAGGAGGCGGAGTCCAAATACTTTCAATACTTTAGTTTGATGCCATTAGGGTAGTAATGTTTATCTGTCATTTCCTTTACCTGCCATTTATATGGGTCTAGTAATGATATTCAGGTAAAATTACCCGATCGTTACATATTCTCAAAGGTGTAAATGATATAGTCTAAACATTTTTTCCCAGAGCAAGCAAAACCAAGCCTGCATCTTTAATTTTAAAATTTTTATTTTTTAGTTTAGGTGTTAACTTTAAGGAATTCCTATGCCCACAATTTATTTTCTTGTTAATCTATGTATGATTGACAGGCGCAACATTTTAGCTAGTTACCTTTGAAGTTGTCGGATGGCGGAGAGCATTAAGGTCGTTTGTCGTGTAAGACCTCTAAATGAAAATGAGAAATTAAAGGACAATAACTACTGTGTGAGCTTTCCGCCTGATTCGGCCAACCTGATACGATTGGTAAGATTAATCCTAAATTCCCTGAGTGCGTATTATTACAGGAAAAGGATAAGACCTACGCTTTCGACAATGTTTTTCAACCGAAAACACAACAAGTTGAGATTTACAACACAGTAGCTAAGCCCATCGTCGCCGATGTACTCAATGGATACAATGGCACGATATTTGCCTACGGGCAAACAGCCAGTGGTAAAACCTACACCATGGAGGTTTGATTTCCTTCTCAAGATAATGCATGATAGGGAGTTCTTGGGGACTCTGATTTGCAGGGCATCATCCCTAGAATTGTGCACGATATTTTTAATCACATATATCATATGGATGAAAATTTGGAGTTCCATATCAAGGTTTCCTACTTCGAAATATATCTTGATAAAATTCGTGATTTGCTCGATGGTAGGTAAATGGGGACGACCAGCATATATCTTATAGTTTCCAAAAGTAATTTGTCTGTGCACGAAGACAAGGACCGAGTCCCTTACGTCAAAGGTGCGACGGAGAGATTCGTTTCGACTCCAGCTGAAGTATTCGACATTATTGATGAAGGGAAGGTCAATCGTCATGTTTCTGTTACAAGTAAGCTGTACAAAGCACCAACATACTTCACTTTAATGATGTTTTATCAGCGCGGCGTTTGGTTTTGCTATTGTGTTTCTAATTTTACAGACATGAACGAACACAGTTCTCGCTCTCATTCGATTTTTATGATCACGGTTCGACAGGAAAACCTGGAAACACAAAAGAAACTTCATGGCAAGCTGTACTTGGTTGATTTAGCCGGTAGTGAAAAGGTTGCGAAGACTGGTGCCGAGGGTAGCACTCTTACTGAGGCTATGAATATCAATAAATCACTCTCGGCTTTGGGCAATGTCATAAATGCTCTGGTGGACAACCACGTGAGTGCATATCTCCCTTGAATTCAAATTGAAATATTGTGTCAACTGTACGTTAAGACATTCCCTCCTCTTTCAGGCCCATGTTCCTTATCGGGACTCAAAGCTCACACGGATCTTGCAAGAGTCCCTAGGTGGTAATGCCAAGACAACGATGGTAATTTGTGTTTCACCATCCAGTTATAACGAATCTGAAACCAAGTCCACTCTTTTGTTTGGAATGCGAGCAAAGACTATTAAGAATATCGTTACTGTTAATGAAGAATTAACTGCAGATGAGTGGCGCCGACGGTATGAGCGACTACAGGCGAAGGCTCGTCGTATGAAAGAGATAATCACTCGCCTTGAAGCCGAATTGAAACGCTGGAGAGCTGGTGGGTTGTATTATAATTGCAGTTTTTTAATCTTTAGAAAGCAGAAGATAATATTTACTAATTTCAAACTTGTAAGCTTGACTTTTTCCATTCCATTGACTTTGACTGCAAATCCTCGGTTACTTCCGTTACTATTAGTGTCCGTAATCATACAAGAATTTTTTTGCGCACACTACTTTCCACAGTATCGTTTAGCTTTCGATTTGTGATGGCTGGTATTTAATGTGATTCAAACGTTAATATAATCATCGAAGTGTTCACGTTTTCGGGTTGCCGGTTTACTCGGAAGAGCAATTTGCGCTTTGAAGCGATTCATACTGTACTTCACTACAGGTGAAAGTGTGAGCTCGACCGAATGGATTGTTGCGATGGAACTCGAACTGGAAGAGGAGGCAGCAGCTGATGGAGTAGCGCTGGACACTCCCACGGGTGCGCCTTCAGTGCCTTTCACAACCGAGACGACTCCATCCGGTGCTCCCACTGGCAGACCCATTCATTTGTCCGCGTCTGGCGCCGGTGCGCCTGGTAAGGCATAAGCCGTAGGGTAGTGTGAGAGTTTAAAATCAATTCCATGAATGAAGATACAATCCCAATATTGCTCATCATTATCATTTGTCATTTTCAGCCGGAGTGAGTGAAGAGCAGCTCCACGCTCTTTACCAACAGCTCGACGATAAGGATGATGACATTAACAAACATACGCAGACCATCGCTCGGTTGCGCCAACAGTTGGAAGAACAAGAAGAAATGCTTCGTACTGCTCGTCTGGAAGCGGAGACCAGCCTTGCTGACGTTGCCCAGCTGCAGGTAATCTCTTGTTTATATTCACTCATTGCTAACAAGTAAAATAATTCAAGTACTCTTTCTAAGCATTAGTTTGCTCAGAAAGTTCTGGAATCCAAACGTCGAGTACCTCATTTCGCTTTACTTATGCTTCTTTTTGGTCTGAAATCTTTTGCCCTATTCATCCAAAGCATTTATCTACTATTTTGAGGTAGCTTATCTATTATACACTACTAATCCTCGGTCACTGCCCACGACAATAACTAATGTCTCCAGGGCTACACCTATATTTGATGACCTGATAACCCATCCAAAACGTTCTTTGCGTTCACTTCATGTAACCATCAACTCTCTATGGGTTTTGCCACCTCGGCCCAGTTTACTGCGGTTTGGCTATGCATGACTTCCCCGGCGGCTCTTTCTTGAATGTTCACTATTATTACTGCTTTAGTACTCTGTTGTATTTTGCACTTTTCCCATGTCCACTTTCGAATCTCAGGTTGGTTATAATATGCTTTATTAACCATGCGTTCGCATCGTACTCGATACTTTCAACTTTGCGTGTTCAAGTGTTTTACCCACACAGCGAACAAGCTCTTTTACAAATTGATTTGACTAGGGCTGAAATTTTTATTCCCCTACCGGAACTCATCTGGGAGTGTCGATCGTTTCGTCTTCTCTCATGTGTTAGCCACTGGTGGGATGTTGCATGAGATTATGAATTCCATGAGGATTGAGTCGCGTGCGTGTGGGCGCCGATGCCTTTTTTTTATTTTCTGCGTAGTTTTGCGCTACCATGACGACATTTATAGGCACTAAAGAATCATGCCTACCCACACAATAACTATCTTACCAAAACATCATAGTTGGTTTGTTTGGTTCCTGTTTATGGGATTCAAACATGTAGTTCCAACCTAGAACTTAAATGACGTCTTTGAATCGATTGTGGGATTTACATCCAATCATTAACGTGGGCTATTAAGGCCTTACAAGGTTGTGTATTTTTTGAGATTTTATCCGCGGTTATTGCCTAAATAGGACTACTTATATTATGAAATATCAAACCGATGTACTTTCGATAGTTAAGTGGGCCTCTTCTCATCCCTCAAGATTGATATTCGTGTTCTATCGATTCGCAATCGTTTTGATAATCGCATGCGATCCTTCATACCGTAGCTGGATTCGATACGAATACTGAGTTTTTCTTTTTCAAAATTTAGGCTGAATGCCAATCTAGCAAAGAGGAGGCGAAGGACATTTTGCAGGCTCTCGAAGAGCTCGCCCTCTCTCACGACCAGCGGGAAGCCGAACTAGCTGTTCGCGATCGTGAGATCGAGGAGATCAAGGAGCAACTCGCTCAAACCTCCCTGATTATCAATGGCAAGGAGAGCGAGGTACAGTTGGCTCGCGACACTCTTGCTGCCCAGCGCAAAAAGTACGCTGAAATCCTCGGCGCACTCGTTCGTGATGTCCTTGATGTCGGGGAGTGCATGAGCAATCAACTCCAAGTAAGCTTTCTTTCACGAACCTCTTTCATTCGAACCTCATCATTATTCCCTGTGTGCCAAAAGCATGCATCCACTTTGTAAGCAGCTATCAATTCCATGTTTATCAACTGTCGCCCGTAACCTTGTGTTCACTGCTCCAATGGTGTTGTTGTTTAATTCTATCTTTAGAAACCGAACGTGAACGTTGGCGAACGTCTGGATGAGGAGGCGACAGTTATGCGCCTTTACATGAACAAGATGAGGACAGAAGCTAAAATGCTTCACTCACGTGTTAACCAACTGGAGGAGGAGAGGGTGCAGAACGTGCAGCTCTTGAGAAAATCTGAGGATGAGGCCAAGGAATACGCCATTCGCGTTAGAGAGGTGATTCCTAGTTGTTCTTCAAACTCGCTTTAATTCATTAAGAAAAGTGATTACTTTTGAACAGACACCTTACATTTCCCTTTTATAGACCTTCAAACTATTCCCTTCTCGTTTTTTTGTGGGCAGGGTATACAATTAGCACAGTAACTATTTAAACCGGGGGAATAAGTGTTACATTGGGAGTTTGCTAACAATTATTGCTTGTGCTTGTTGTATTTAGCTTGAAACGAAGGTACAAAGTCTTACGGATAAGGTGGATGATTCAGATTCTCGCAAACGGCAACTTCAAGACCTGGTCGATAATCTGAACGCCGACGTTGCTAAATTGCGTGCCAACGAGCAGCTATTGGCTGGCTCTGGTTCGACCAATAAGGAGATCCTCGCAGGACAGTCAGAAATTCGTGTTAAGCTAGACGAAGAGTTTAAGCGTCAAAGCGAACAGTATGCGCAGCAAGTGAAACACCTACGTGACGAGTTGGAGACCAAGGAGAAGAAATTCGAAGAACTCAAAGAGTAGGTGTCAGTGCCCTTCACATGTTGAAATAACGTAGGAACTTTAATTCATGCCCTGTACATTTCCAAATAAAAGTCAGCTATTTATTTAGGATTTAGACTGGCTAAGTATGATATAAAAGTAATGTACTACTTTAATTTTCTTTATTTCAGTGTGGTTTTTAGCTAAATTCTACGCCTTACCATAAGGCTAATAATACGTATTCAGTAGGCTAACATTTTCCTGTATTTTAGTGAATTGAATCACGTAAAGTTACAGTATGAAAAGTCCACCGAGGAGAGTTCTGCTCTCAAAAAGCAGTTGGAGACTGCGACACTTCGTCTGGAGGCCGTCGAGAAGGAGGAGACCCGACGTGAGCAGTCAAAACAGGACCTTCGCGCTTTGGAGGAAACTATGCTTAAGGAATTTAACACTCTCGCCACTCTGCGTCGCCTTTTCGTAGAAGACTTGAAAAATAGAATTAAAAAGGTAAGAACTTTCGCTTATTAGCTAATTATTCTCATTACGTTTTTGTAAAATGTTGCTTCTCATATGCTGAAGAGTAAGGGTGCACTTTTGTTTCCTTGCTTTATCAGTCTACGAGTCGGATGAACGCAGCTAAGGCGGCCGAGGCGGCTGCAGCTCACCAGGAAGGCGAAAACACCGAAGTTGCGGGTCTGAAGGAACTCATTGGTGAAGAGGAGGAGGACGAGTCGAGTCAATGGGGATCGCTTGCTCAACGCGAAAAGATCTCCTTCCTAGAAAACAATCTGGCCAAGCTTACTAAAGTGCACAAGCAGCTTATCCACGACAATGCCGAACTTCGCTGCGAACTGCCGAAGCTGGAAAAGCGACTTCGGGTGAGTCATTTTGATCTATCACTATTGTTGTTATTTTGTAAATGCCAAGTAACTACTGGATTGCTGGCTGTGTAGATTAAAATGGTTCCAAGAAATCCTATCTTTATTTGTTATATCTGTATACTTTGCAGTAATAGAAATAGAGGGTATCGTTGTCTGAAATTGGTAGAAGTGTACTTTTTGGTTGACCAACTTACAATTAGTGTCACCAATAGAGTCTAATTATTCTTATAAATAGATTTTTTTAGAATTCTCACTACTGCTGCGCCTTGCATTGGGGTTTAAGTGCGCGTTACTTTTTCCTCCTAGATGTGATTTCTTTGCTCGAATGGCTCTTGAAATTCCGGCCTTGTTTATAAGTACTGGTACATGTGAAATTACCAGATACGGTTCACACAACGGTTGAGTTTGTGCTACCCCTCATACATTTGTACCTTTAAAAATTGCTAAATTTCGTTTTTCGCCCCCACCTACATGCCTAATATTGCGAATGAACATCAGACAACAGCTCATAATTCGGCTGAATTATTCGAGACCTGCCAATTTCTGCGCCTGCGTAATTGGCGTATACTGGATATTTCTTCTACTGAATGGGAAACTGGTGACTTGGGCGTTATTTATACGCATTTGATCCTGCTGGACTAATTTAAACTCCAAATTCGTTTAAGCATTCATAGCATCCCTTCCTATTCAATTATGAAATTAGGAGTTCGGAACTATTATTAGAGTGCAATCTTTAAGTTGTTTGCGTTTTCCCATTATAGTCGACGGTAGAGCGTGTGCGCAGCTTAGAGATGTCACTGAAGGAGGCGAAGGAGGGAGCGTTGCGGGACCGAAAGCGATACCAGCACGAGGTAGACCGCATCAAGGAGGCTGTTCGTCGCAGACAGACAGGTCGTTTTGGCAACCCCTCGGCCATGATTGCCAAACCCATCCGTGCTGGCCACGCACCCTCCGCCGTGGTCTGTGGTGGCGGTGGTGGCGGAGCAAACGTTCGATCCTCCTAAACCATGGATTAAGCATCTCTGACTCTCTCTCTCCCCTTCCTCCTCGACGTCCCATTTCGTCTGCCCCTTTAGTGCTGCCACTTCCGCCATCATTGCCCTGCGCATCAAATCTGGCTGTGGATGTTAATGAAATCCTCTCCACCCTATTTCACACTCTCTCCCTTTTGGTTCTTCGAATTGATGTGTCTGTCACATGGTCCTACATTACTCTTTAATATCCCTATCTTCCTTTTTCTTCATCTTCCTATCACTGTGTTTTGTTTAACATTTCAATATATTGCCGCCGTTTGGAAGGACAAGGTAATTCTATTCTATGCATTTGGACTTAGTCTAGCGAGACGGGAGAGGCTAGTCAATAGATGCCTTCATGACGGAAAGGATGCGTATGTGATATTAAAGTGTTAATACATACTAGTGCAGACACATGTGTATTCAGTAGGCGTTTGGATGCCTGCCTTATTTAGAGACGGCAAAATATGCGCCGAGGCTATCGTTCTGTTGTTATTTGAAAATACTGACAATGTTGTATCTTCTGTGCAGACGAGATTGACATTTTAAAGTATTGGGGTTTGTTTCTATGACTTCCCGTTTTTTCGCGTGAAAACGAATCGACTAGTTTTTTCGCACAAAAAGTGAATGAACAGTAGCCGGCCTGCGCTATCGACCATAGTATGAGGAATTTCCCGAAAACCACATTGTTGAGGGGTAAAGGGGAGGTCATTTCGTTGCCCTGTTTCACTAAAAAAGGGGAGCTTAAATGCCTTGGATTACATCTCCATCACGCACGATGGAGCGCAAGCTGCTCTTGGTGAAACGCTAGTAGCCATGACTGCATGCTGGAATGACTAACCCGGACTGTGGGTCTACACAAGCAGTCGTTGCACCTCTGTCACAACTGCCCATGCCTCTTCAGAGCCTGCAGGAGGCCCGTATGAGACACTAATTAAAAGAACGAGAAATCTACAAGCAAAATTTAGTGGTAAAAATTGTAGATGATGAGTTCGAGTGCAGTTGGTGTGGACTTGTGATTGCTAATAATAACTGGAAAGCTAAAAGTTAAAAAACAAGTCTTTTTACACGTTAACACAACCTATTTATTAAAGTTTATTTTAGAGCGTACACCAGTTTTTTTTTATTAATACGGGTAAGTAATGTGCATTTTTGGAGTGATATTTGCTCACCTCCATTGTCCGTCGATCTACTGCCGTGTTATAGGCCCCACTAATTGCTCATGTATCTGGGTTGAATGTCCATCAGCAGAGTATACGCTGAGCTACGGTGATAGATTTCCTTCCTAATAAGTCATGGTGCGCATTCAATTGGCACGCAAAAACTTCTGATTAAAGGTGTTGGACAACTTGTTGAATTTTTTTTTTTTTGGAATGTGTCGAATCTCTTTCCTATATCATAACTGCAATAACACTGCTATAGAATATTTTGAATGGTGTCTCGTTTGTGCAGTGCCGACATGTCCCACACTTTGGATTTTAATTTCACTGCCTCGACTCAATGTAGATTTTATAAGCCATAATGCATGCAAATCCACCGCATGGACAAAAACGTCCGCTTTAGCTGTATCACATCCCAGGAACACATTGGCGATCGAATCAGCTACAAAACTCAAACTTCTGTTCGGTCTCATGAAGGAGTGGATAAATAGCATGCACTGCCTATACTGTTTTAATATCATTTGGAAAACATAACGGCTTCGACATTCTATTGAAAGAAGAGTCTATGACGTTCTTTTGCTCCAAGACGGCTTGCAATGTAATTAATTCATTTCAAAATATGCCTACAGTAAATTAACACACTCATCTTTTTAAATTTCCAGAATGATTCTAGGGCTTAACTAACAACACGGTTCATTCAAAATTTGCAAATAGCTCAATAATGCGTTAAAAATTTAAAAAAAGAAACATAGAATCACAGTCAGCGGAAGATTGCATCAAATTTGCACCACCGCCAAATCTCACATCATTTGCAATTGTGATTAAAAAAGTTATGGCTTCAAATCGGCACTGCATTTAAAACTCGGTGTACAATGAACACCTCGTTTAACAGATTCCAAAACCGTGAAGGTCTAACACGGATTACTCTCGAGTGATATCTCGATTTTTGAGGATTTCGGGTTCTAAGTAAACGCACCTAGCCCATCACGTTTCAAATTATGGCGTGTCTTCTGCCCACAGATTATGAATTGCCTTCAACGCTTAACTGTCTCGATGTCAGAGGGATACCTCAAAAGAGGTACGTTAAGTCGATTGGATGCAATGCCCCAGTGACGCATGAAAACGACCATCCAATACCCCTAGACGAGGCAATATTAACTAATCTCAATGCATTAAATACTACTCTTTCTAAAAGTACTCGAGATGAGACAAATTTCGAAGAAAAAATAGTTTTCTACCTTTCCCACCCAGAGCAAGCTTGCATTCTGCGCCGACCTTAAACAAAGTTGAAAGGCTCTGAAGGCGGTGGGTCGCATTTTAACAGATACTTTGGGTTGTAACTACCATTAGACCAAAAATGGTAAAAGTGGTAGCACTAGATTTTAAAAATTCCCTCTCGGGAGGCGGGTAAGGAAAGACGGTGACATGTGAAGAAGAGTCAGAAATTATAACTACCACTAGAGAAATAATACAGGAGATGAAGAGAAAGTTTAGGACACTGAATAATGTGTGCTTGTCTGCATATGGGTAGGTGTGTAAAACTAGATTGGGGGATGGGTAGGCGAACTGTACAGGTGAGGAGAGGAAAAGCGCTAAGCTCTCATCAACGGGTGCTGTGAATGAGCATAGTGGAACGGTGTCGATGGGCGCACTCATGGTATCGGGTGCTCTTGGATAAGAAAGCGCAGAATGTCTGAAAGCGAGACAATCCCCAGAACACGCTGCGTCTCATCTACTGCAACTAATCGGTGAACCTCGAAAAAACCGCAGACAAAGAAATAAGATTAATGCATCGGTCATCTTGTCAATCAATTACAAAGATAAAGCCGAAAGCCACCAATAATAAGAGTTAAATAAAAAGTACTGCACTCGCTAGACATAAATAAGACTGCTAGACAAATTACAGCATGAAATTCTAACAAAATCCTTTTGAGCGATGATGTCACGAAAATTGGGAAAAAAACTTACTCCTGCGTCGACTATGATGTCGATTATCTCCTTCAAGGTATGGGATGGCTTGCAGGTGGCCACACCCGAAAATTTCTGCAAGGGAAATAAAAAACGAATGCAGAGAGGGAGACGTTAGAAGGAACACCAATCCCAAGCCATGCAGAAATTAATAGCAGTTTTCAGCAGAATTAATGAGTTTATGAAGTAAACAAAAGTTAGTTTTCAGTGTAGCGATGGGATCACTTCATCTAAGGCTTCAGTAAGTTGAAAGGGCAACATAAATACCGCCCCTATTTATGTTTATCTTCTCTAAAAAGACTCAATTAGTAAGGAAGTTTTGGCTGCTCCAAGACAACCACCTATCTTAGGCGCATTTGCAGTTGTGAAGCTTCGTTTTCTAATACGCATGGGTAAGTTGTTGAAAAAAATGGTAATGCGAATTTCACTGGGATACAAAAGCACACGCTTTGACGGCCGATAGTGTAAAATAAAGTATTTATATAATACTTGACCTTCATATTAATAAAAAGAGGAAACGTTTATTTCGGGAAACGCTAGAATTTAGAGTGAACAGCAGTAGTAACAAACAATAAAGTAGATTCATGCAGCGATCAAGCATGGGTGAGAGCCAAATTTCTCCAGAATCACTAAAAACCAAACTTTGGTACGTGCAAAGAAAAGCCACAAGAGGTGCCCACAGCATTCTTAGGCAAGATTAAAGCTGCTCTAAAAACCCAAGTTTGAAATAGCTATTATTCCTGTTTCATATCGATATATTCAAAAAAAAATAACCAATGCAGGCGTTTAAAGAGAACGCAATAAAATCGTAGGCAAGTCAACGGTTGGCTATAGCAATAACTAAAGCACAAAAAACTGCCTTATTGTCTAGGTCTTTACGCAAGCAATTTCCGAGCACACTCCACCAAATAGAGTTCACCAAAAGGGCTAGCTGAAACTTAATAGCAATAAAAGGTTCATCACAATAACAGGAGTTTGACCAAACTCTTATTACGCGGTGAAACCGTTACGTGGTGAGTTTGTGCAACTAAAGACGGGGAAATAAGAAGGAGATGAACGAACCTCACGTCGGTACTGCAGGGCGTCAAATACGGTGATTTCGAGGTTATCGTAGCTTCGAGTGGCAGCGAGATTCTGAAATGACAGCTCAATTAAATTACAATTCATTCATTAATGGTATTTATGAACAATTTACACTTCATTATACCTTAGTGCATAAGGCAATCCGCACCAGGCTATTACGCAGTCAAAATTTACACCAGGGATAGAGTAGGGTAAAATGGCACAGGGTTCATATCATGGAACATTACATTATTAAAGGATACCCATCCAGTATGCTTTATTTCACTACAAATAGTGCAACAAATATGCAAAATAAAATTTTGTAACCGTACTCAAGCAGCAAAAAAGTCCAATTGGAGGTAAAACGGTTCACTAAAACCTATTATAAAGGGAGAATGGCATTTTAATTAAAAATATCGTCGTTTTCATCGTTAAAGTTAACATTTGTTTACTCCGATTAGGCCGGTCGAATGGACAAGAGTGATTCAAAACAAAGAGTAATTATTTCTAAAACACTTGTTGTTGATTTTTGCAGTGAAAAAGATAAATCAAAGTTTATTTCCACAGTAGTGTTGACATATCACCATTAAAATGTACGACAGCGATTGCGTTACCTTCAAACTCGCGAGAGTAGTGCAAAACAAACAAATCAACTATTCAAATTTAGGGACTATATGGAGCCATATTTGACAATAGTAATGAGACCTGAAAGATTTAACTCGTAACAGGGGTCATTCAAGGTACTTTAACAATAACTGCAAAATCCTTGAAAAATAAATCACAATCATTACAATAGGAAAGGTTGGCTGGAACTCCAAACGTTAAAAGGTGCCTAGATTAACTTCAAGTTCTTCCATGAAATGAGCCACACTTGGGGACATTTATTATTAACTAAGTAGTACAGAAAATATCATCCTCAAAATAAACTTGAACAAATTTTGCAGCACTAATTGGCTTATTCGAGTTTATTATGAATTACTTTCAAAAACAATAAAGTGCTACAACTGATTAATTAGGTATTAACATAATCAACAGTAGAGAAATAAAAGGAACAGTATAAAAATGTCATGGAGGCTCTTTAAAATGACGCACACGGTCTGATAAGGACCAGTCGACACTGTTTTACATTAATAGTTACCGTGACAGCAAATATGTAAAAGGCTCATAACTTTATCGTCGCAATGATACTTTGATAATATGTACTTTTAAAATCGGGCACACCTATTTTACGAAATACACCTAGGCCTTCGAAAAATTGGAGCGTTGATCACTGAACGGACATCCGTTTCATAAAATCCAATGGTGAAATTGACATACGACTGAGTTTAAATAAGTATCATGTGTATGCGAAATTGAAACGAGACTGAGGAATGACCCTTGCTTTTAGAAAGCTTGACGTTTTACTGGTGTCGCTTAGATACAACAAGACGAAGGTACCACTCAACTGAATTTTGCCAAATAAAATTACAAACGATAAAAGATTGTCAGGTATCAAATAGAAAGTGGCAACACATGGAAGCATAAATAAATGCTCGAGCCGCACCGCTTATTGAGCGGGTAGACCGAATATACACGCTTTCCATTCCAACAGAGATTCTGCAAAAGTGAGTCTTCTATTCATCGAACCAGTCGGTGGTGTACTGACCGCGCAGAATAGGCTTCAGGCTATCGCAATGACCACACTACCGTAAAAAAGCATGAAATTGAGGATAATGTTTAATAAGGTTAAACGGGCTTGTGATACCATTTGCGTAAATATTGGGAACGAAAGCGGAGGAATAAGAAGAAGTTCACATATTTCACATCATGGCAAGGGCTACGTGTCAAGCACATTTTAAAGGATGGATAAACACAGTCGTAGCTTAGAAAAAAAATAGAACTGTATTAACCCGGATATGAAGCGACGCACGTACTGAGCAAAAAAGTGGACTATAACAGAAATATTTGAATAAGGATTGGCTGCAGCGAAAAATATATACGACGGCTGTATTTAGACGCGTCAATGGTCTTGTCAGAAGCGCGCAATTCTTTCTCGGGTAAATATCTTGCACACATTTCCTGAGTTTAGAATTATAGACACAAGTAGACGCAAAACATGACGCAATGCAGCGGATACCACGGCACATAAACAAATTCATGAAGTAGGGATATTTACGGTATCACTGTTGGTCTGTATAAGCTGTTTACGTTAAGAGTGAATGATGTAACACCCCAATACACCGCTTTTCGCTATTAGAGTTTACGTCCAGGTAGCCAAAACGCAATTTCATCCTTCCCAGCGTCCTAACCAATCCGATTAGCGTGAATAATGAAAATTGCAAAATTATTAAATTGATTGTTAGTAACAATGAAAAACGGTAAAAGGTGTCGGATGTAGCCCTACGCTCCAGTCTAATAAATACCAAATCATAAGTAAACGCACTATCTTCTGTTGTCATAGTCTCGAAGCAAATTTTCGCAAATGTACTTTTACAAAATCGACAAGGAAAGTGGCTATAAATTTCCGAAAATTTACTTACAATAACATCGAACTTGGCGTATATATCAACAAGGCGCCCACTTTCATCAATGACAGGGAGGGCCGAAACACGATTTTCGACGAATACCGTAAGCACACGATGAAGTGGCCAATCTGTTCCCACACAGACCACATTCTGCATCGTCCCGATCGGCAGATTCTGCAACTGGTCCATCATAAAAGTTGGCATTGGCAACTTAGGCATCTGTGGAAGATAGAGCATATAATCATGCCTTAGTGGATGAAAAGTTATAAATAGGCAAAATACACTGAAATGAGAAGGAAGAGTGCAAACTAAACGAGGCACCACGTCAACCACATATTGGAGAAACATTGTGCAGCTGTGATAAAGGGACAAAGGGACAAAACCCATAATGCATATTTTGACAGGGAAAACGAAATATGAGATATATTGAATGCACTGATATTTGAGTACACTCTATTAGTGATGATTTTTTCCAATGGCAAGTAAGAAACCCGTCAAAATCGGTCATATTGGACGAGTGAATAGAAAAGAAGACAGCTTAAAGAAAAAGTGGCTTTAATTTCACTTATTCGAAACGCCTGCAACAAACAACCGTTGCGGCATTGAAAGGTGAATCTGTGGCACAGACACTTTCGATAAAAAAAATGACTGGAATCAGAGCATAATTTCTATGGTTCCGTCAATCATGTAAGCCAGGCAAAAGTGTTTTTTTACCTAAAAGTAGGGTATAGTGATATATCATACATAGGAAAACAAAAGCCATTGTAAGCAGAATTAAAAGTAAAAGAGAAGGCGCACAGAGAGTGTCTAAAGTGATCAGTGCAGCTCTACATTCATTTACTTAAAGAACACATAAATGTTTATGTATTCCAATGAGTTGTTCATTCTTCATTTCAGCTGTTTGCAGAATGGTAAGTGATTCAAAACTCTGTGTGCTTAATATTTAATGTGTTGAATTTGAGCTGTGCAATTAACGTCCAGATCAAAATAGAACCCAGCGAAAGTTTACCATTTTTACACAGAATTGCAAAACACGGAATGGAATACGTGAATAATAACGGGATTCACACTTAAGGCACGTACGATATGAAGTAACGGCAATTCAAACCAAATTATTATAAGCTTCAAAATCTCGTTTGAACGCTAAAATTAAACATTAAGCTTTTGAACATAATTAAGTCGATTTTCCACATAGAGATGGCATGGTGTCGAATAGGATGGGCAAAAATTCCCTAACAGTAATAAAAAACAAGAATAAGAACCATCACACAATGCAAATGCAACAAATTGCAGTAAGAAATCTGATAGAGATAAACACGTGTCCTCAATGCCATTATTGAAGTTTGTCCAAAGGAATTTCACAATGAAGCCTGAATAAGTAAAACGTGTATGCTTTAAAACCACGACATCACTACACGGGTTCACGTTGGGTCCCAGTTGAACAATGAGTTGATGGGACTGGTGAGGGAGGAGGACAAATAACAGTAAGGGTGCAAGCGAACTCACGTTGAAATGCAGATACTTAAGGAGGCGTTTGTGGGTGAGGATGTGGAGTGGGTTGCCGGTCAGCGGGTCCAAAATGGGAAGGCGGTGTACCTTGTGTTCTAACAGCATTTGAACGGCGTCCAAGAGAGTCCGCTCAGGAGTGATGTAGATCAGAGATGGTGCGTAGTCGGACATTTGTTCTACAAATTAGATCAGGAAAAGTGAAACTTATCAAAACCGTCGCAAAAAATTTGGCAGAAAGTAATCGTGTTAAAACAGTAATAAAAAGCAAGGCACAGAAAGTGTCATTTAAGGAAGTATCAGTAAGATAGTAAACAGAATTCCGCAAAAAGACTAGTTTTTCATTATGCACTCAAAGATTATCCTTTTAACAGAAATGAACTTGCACAAGTACTGCATGTTGTTCAAACATTTATTCTAAGCGCTGTAAGTTAAGTAGAGAATTACCACAGATGATCACGTGTAACAAATCAGGCCAAAAACAGTTTTAAATCCAATACAAATGTAATATGATTAGGAATAGTCAATTAGAAGGTAGCCTTGCCATCGGGTAAGAAACAGAAAGACGAAATGACTACAAATTGAGCAACGAGCTAAATAAAGGCGATGTTAAAATGTGCATTCACATAACAGTGGTACCTAATAGTACCTTCGAACTACATAGGATTAAAAATCAAAGCAAGGAGGGAAACATCACCAAAAACAAGGTATGGTGACTCGAAAAAAGGATATTTCCTATTTTGAGCGAAACACTGTTCAAAATGTCACCACGTGCCATGAAGAACCTAAAAATGGAACTGGTTAATAAAAATTAAGCTTGCACAGATGGAATAAAAGTACAACCGATGCAAGGATTTGTTTAACATAACCAGGATGCTATTTCAGAATGTAAACCACCCCAGAGACTAGCTGAACAAGTTATTTGCCCAAGAACGGAACACTCCTGGTTCTACACAAATATACAATTTATGGAAATGCAGGAAAATCTCAAAACAATTTAATAATATGCAATCCGAGAAGATAAACTCAACAAAGGCTAGAAATTTAGATTATAATTATAGAAATCATAACTGCAGAAAAATTGAAGGAATGCGGTAAAGAATAGCCTATTTATTTTCCTCTGAGGGATCTAAGACGGGGTACATATGGAAATCGCTTTAAAAAAAGGAAAAGCAGTTACCAAATCTAAGATTTCTAAGGCGAGGGAACGGCGGTACGGAGAAATAAGCGTTATTAAGAAATAGGAAATATTTCAAGGGTTGCAAAAAAACGTTCACAAGGCAAGGACACAAGCCCAGAGATAGCATTTGATTCACTTCAAAAAATAACAAAATAGTGAAATGCACTAGGGGAGCTTTTCTGAGGACTATAAAATTGCCAAAATCAAAAAATTCCAGTTTAGAGAGATGAACTGTGAAAACATCAATTTTTATAGGAATTCGTGAACAGAGATGCAGCAAAGTAAAAGCGACATAAATTATATATTGGACCAAAAATAGCAGTTCACACAGCACAGGATAACAATAAATAGTTGCCGAACCTATAAAAATGACCTATCGATAAGTATAAGAAGTAGCTAGCATTTAAATAACCAACCATACTACAAAAACGACTCAAGAAACGAGATCGTACGCTGAAATTATACACGGGTAAAATCAGCAAGAGTGATTGAATAACCGTAAAAAGTATTAATTACCCCGCCACGTTTTGATCTGGTGTTCTTCCAACTCGACTATCGGAATTTCAGGGGATTTGTAATACTTGTGCAGGATTCGAATGAAGTCAGTAATAGTTAGAAGACCCACATATTCCTGACATTCAGAGTCCCAGAGTATCGCTACCCTAACGCCATTATAAACGAGAGCAAAAAAGCCCTTTTTGACCTGAGTAGAAATTAAACAAACAAGTCGAAAACTTACATTAAGCGACACATCAAAAACAATCAGCTTCGCACTGAGTGGTATCAAATCGTAGGAGGTATGATGCTTTAAGAATATACGGTAAGCATCATTCACATTGGCTGTACAAAAATGATTAACAAAAGGAGAAAAACTCACTTATAGACTCGACGCTAAATGGCAAAGGCGAATCCACGGACTAAATAAAGACACAAAAGTGAATTAACAGGAAGAGTTTCGATGTAAGTAAATTGCAGGTGAGATAATTAACTTTAACGAGCATTGGTGAAGAGTACACACCTAAGGACACGAGTGATACAAATGCTAAGACAGCATAAAAATTGAACGTAAGCTAAGTGAAAACAGTAACAAAAAAAGCAATAACTAAGAGTAGGAACTGAAATACATTTCAGCATCAATGGTGCACATAAAAAAAGGAAAAACAAAGTGTTATATAAAACTACCCTATTAGCCTCTCGGAACAATATTGCACACTGGTCCGTGCTCATGCTTGAAGTTCGGTTCCTGTTTCTTGTAGGAGTATCTCGCGCACTCGGAGGATAAGACATCACGGATAGAATAGCCGAACTATTTTATTGGTTTACAGTTATATTTTAAACAGTTGCATATTGATGATAAAAAAAAACAAGGGAAAAATATACCTATGAGTGTACAAAATCTCGCCTTCGAAAATTAATTAACTCTAATGTGCAGCAAAAGCATTTACAGAAAGTCTGATAAACGACGAGAAAATGAATATAGGTTACGGACTGCGTCAATGGCAGCATACGAACATATTTAAGCAAAAGACACTCTGCATTGGGGTAGTAAAAAGTGCAGTGGGTATAATTTTACAGCTTTCAAAAGGATTATTAGCTGAGCAGCTGTAGACCACGGTTAAGCTGAGGTTATACAAGCCCCGTGCAAACACGATTTTGTTAATAATCTAACTCACGGTTTCGATGGTTTTTTTCACTTACACCTAAAAAAACCATTTTAAAGTAAAGACAGGATTAAAGCATATGAACTGAATAGTAGGTAGCGGGCTAACTGCCGCCCCGAGACTTCACTGAAGACAAATATGGCTAAACTACTAGGGAAAAAAACCTTTTTTAGGATTCATGAGGGCAGACTATCAACTGATACAACTCATAGAGTCAAATTTGCACTCAAAATGTTATAGAATGTAGTTAAATAGCAAAATTCACATTCGAATTTGTTTTGGAGTTATTTCTTCGCACACTGTTTAGAAATTACTTAGAGATGCTGCCAACTTTCTGCAATCTGTTTTTCTAGACAATTTAGTTGTTTGAAGTTGCTCTTCACCACTAGATCTGTTCTAAAATTTGGCCTTAAATTACTTGCAGAAGTAGCCCCGACTGTCACAGTTTGCTGCCAGTCTGTTTCCATGTCTCGATTTCTTTTCTATCCACACGCACGCAGCGTTATTCAGAGGCTACCCGAGCATTTTAAAAAAGGCTACTTAAAAAGATGCACCCCTAACTCAAAATTGTCGTACTTTGAGGAATGTGAGGATCAGTACATCAAGGCTGCCAACAATTCGATGTGTGTTTTCGCTGGTATTTAACTTTTTTAGCTATCCCAAAGAATTCTTTGATATTCCTCCCGCAGTTATTTTTCCTGAAGAGTCTCAGAAGTCCCTCTGGGGTGGGGAAGGTATTGTTACAGGTTTCACCGAAGTCAAACGTACACACACTAGGTATGCATTTTATATCACTAACGCGGTAGGATACCCAAGACTTGGGGACCAGAATTGCGTCAAAACCTCTTCTATAGTGAGATATTGGATCGATGGTTGATGATTATTGTGTCCTTAACGGCTTTGAAACAGATAGAGTTGATGAAGGGCATAGACAACTACCTTTTAATGGTACGTCCAGAGTTTAAACGATTCGGAAGACCCCAGAAAGTGAAATCAATAGTCGTCTTGGTATGCATATCAAGCGTGAGATTTTGGTGCAGCTGTCAGATCCGGAATTTAAAAAGCTGAAACCTGCTATTGCGGCCAAATATGCTCAATTCACTATTCCTGTGGGTTTTTTGAGGGCATCTTAATTTGGGTTCTTAACATACATTCACATACACCTACATTATTTGCGACTGTTTTTGTTTTATGCCTCCGATTAACGTCAGATGTTATCGTCCTTTTTTGTAATGCTTTCGTATTACTAATTCTGTTTCATTGGAACACCGTCGTCAGAACCTGTTGCAATGTTCTAGTCTACATGACTCGTGCAATCTTGTCAACTTTTCGAGAGCATTTGTTATTTTATGAAACTCATGCTCCTTCTTAACCCAGGGCGATGAAGCTGAATGGGTAGGGCTGACACTGGATGAGGCAATCAAGAAACAGATGAAAATCGAACATTTGCGTGAACGAGCAGAGGCGTCCATTCCAAAAAAAGAAATTTTTACGAGGGCACTACTCAAGCAACTCGAAGCGGACAAGGGACACCCGCAGCCGTGTATGTTTTGGGCTATTCTGTCCTGATTCACATTTGCATAACTTCTTTGGAAGCATCAATTTATAGATCATCCGTGTATATGCTCCGCGAGAGTGTTTGATTAGTTATCGACTTTAAAGGTGAAGTTTTGCTTATCTTGCCAGCTGAAAGGAAAATCAGCGTTGAGAATTTACGAGAATGCTCTTCATTGATAAATTTGTTTAAATTTTTAGCATAAATGGAAAGTAGTGTAAACTTGCATTCTTATCTAGTGTGTGAATGGAAACCTCGGCCAGCAGATCCTAATTTTGTGTCTTCTTAATGGAAGCACTTTGCTGAAATCGGTTTACCTACATATTTTGCGAAACTTGTCCATTTGAAATTTAAATGACTTTTACAGCGCGGCTCTCAGATCTGACATCAAGTTCGCTGCGCTCAACATTCAGTCGGTTCTTGTACGGCCAAAGGGGAAGTAAATCTTAGACAAATTGACAGCTCCTTCGTTTTTTATGTAGATATTTTGTGTTTAAGATAAAATTCAATTTTAGAATTTTGGTATGGCTTCTGTATTCATGTTGGGTTTTTAAATTCGGGAACTTTCCATCTATCGCTGCATTTGAAAGGATAAAATAGTTATTGTTGACCTCCCCATTGAGGCATAATGCCATATTGACAACTCACTTTAGTGACGGCCTTTCACGCGGACACTTATTTTAAAGTTACGTAGGATTTCGTGTACAAAGAGAGCCTACCGGCTACCTTTACTGGCAAGGGCCTGGAGCGAGTAGCCCATTGAGATTGACTAAACCCGAGAGTAAAACAAGCAACCTATTCCACCGTATCGACAAGCAGCACGATGCGACCTACATAGGCTGTGTGATCGTCGTAGATGTCCTTTCTAAAAATTGACTCCGAATATAGCTGTCATTTGTTCCGTCAAATCAGCTCAGGACACAGATTAATATAGAAAGCTGATTTTCCCTATTCGTTTACTTGTGCTTCCGAGATGGAGTGCTGTTTGATGGAGCTTTAAAGCCAGGCTTTGTAGTTACAGTTGCAATCAAATCAGATTAGTTATGACATTTTGAATGTATTTGAAGGCATCTATCTAAAAAGTTATCTTACTAGAAGTTAACAGATGGCTTGGAACAAGTGATTTTGTTCCACTGAAGCCAAAATGCGCGTCTCTGTGGTACAAATGCACCAATGTCCGATTGTGATATCGAAGAAGTTTTCCACGCATGTCTGCATGAAGTGACGCGATTTATTAGTTGACTGGAGAGAATCTTATTTGCATTGCTAAGCGCGGTTTTTATGTATGACCGAGGTGGTCGCGCCTAATGTTAACTTTGTTTGAAAGTTTCGGTTTATTGTCATACGTGGACTTTGAAACACGAAGGCAGTTTCCTGTTCCGAACATAGGGACTAGTGAATCTTTCCACAATATTAAGACCCTTACAGAAAATCGCCAATGATCGCTGATTAACTGATTTGGACTATAGCTGCCATTGTCCCTCTCCCCTCGTAAGCGTTTCGGATCATTCGTTAAGGATTTCCAGGTGACTTGAAATACCTACTTTGATTGACAAAACTTAAATCTCAACGGGTGTCTCCACAGTTTACCACCCACGGGCGTGAACATCAGTGCAGAAAGGAAATATGCTTTTAGAAGGGCGGCAATAGCGAAGACCAAAGCGTTCACAACTCTTCGCGTGATATGCATTTTTTACGTCGTTGCTCACTTCAAAACGATTTGCCTCAGATGCCGAAAAATACTGCGGCTCACCTGACTTCGCTACACCTTCTTTAGTTTCGTTTAGTAATGCCCTGAGAGGTGGTGATGCGCTTAAATTAGCTTGAACATGTTTTTGGGAAAAGCTGAAATTAAAAAAGGAACCGATAGGCGTAATTACCGCTTACTAGAGTCAATCAAATATAATGCCTTCTAGTTGATGAATGTATGATAGTCTTTAAAAAGATCCGCCTCTGTATTGGAGTTCTGAGTGTGTTAATGTGTATATGCATGGTGGTTGCTACCAAAAGAACCTTCTTCGCTGTCCGCGGCATCTATCTCCTTCAAGTTTGGCCTGTTTCTTAAATAAATTACGCGATTCACTGTCTCTACCCGGCTAAGGTGAGGCTCCATCAAGCATGGCCTTGATTACCCATTTTTAGCAAATATTTGCAAGGAAGGTTCTACTAATTTTAAGGTACATTGGGGTAAAATGGGTGGGGGCTTAAGCTGAGATAATAATTTCCGCTCTCACCCAATCTCATGCTCCTAATTACACGCACTTCCCTTTATTATTTAAATGGGATATGAATAAAAAGCCCTAGAATCATCTTTTTTCGACACAAATAGGATACCACTTTGAGTTTGGCTTTTCCTCTAAGACACTTATTTCAACTGCAATTCTTCCAGGAGTGGAATGCATAGTCGAAAGGCATTAGGTGATTGTAAGAAATGCAACAGACTTCTGAAGTTTATTTAAGTAGATTGTTTCAGTAGGAAACATAACCCAAAAAGCAATAAAGTTGCGAGACTAACGTCGAAATTGTGATATTCCATCGTACTGAGGCATGAATAAATAGTGTGACTGTTCTTATTGTAGCTGACTTCACCGTGTGCTATTCAAACGACAAAGAAAAGTACAAAGAAGGTGGACGATGATAAGAACAATGGTAGGGGAAAAAGCAGAGCTCTAAAGCTAAGAACTCTTAATTCCAAATAGTTTGGACATTATTTCCCAGCCTTCTTCAAGTCTGAGCGCTCCAACGTCCCTTATTCGGAGCATTTCATTTTTATGTTTATCTACTACTCATGGGATGGAGGGCTCACGTGGAACACAGCTCAAGGGCATTTAATATAAGCAATTTGAGCACTTCTGTAGTACGATGGTGGTTTGTCCCTCGATTCTGGTGAGGCGCCACATTTGAACTTTGAATTAGCCCCCTTGTACCTCGCTGGGTGGGCTGGCCTTTGGGCCATGCCAATAGCCCGGACACCTTCTCTGCACTGAATATATATTCTGCCCGAGTATTTTGTCTTCTTTCGTCTTCAGGGAGTCTGAAATGCTACACTTCTGTGTTATGGATGGCATATATGTCTGAGTGAATATGCGGAATATGTAAGAACATCAGACAAATTCCACTGTAATGTAATACTGCGGTGAAGGTAATACGCAAATGCAATGAGGCACGGCTGCTCCGAAGGATTTCAATCTCCCCATCTCAATTAATCGCCTTTCGTCTACTAGTTACCCTCCTATTAACCTACAAATCTAAACTCACTCGAATAAAATCAAATGATGAATACCTTCCGAAAACATACTGCCTTTGTAAGTGGATAATTTAGATGCCTGAATAGACCAAAATAGTCGACTTCACAAAGTTTGGCTGTGTTACTGCCCTTTTTGCGTTTGGGTTAGCCCTGAAAAACGGGTGATTGTACAAATTAGCGAATTTTAAGCACACCTACTTTTAATGTACTTTATGCTTTTCACGACCTATGCGCAAAGGATAGTGGATTTAAGGCAATGGGTAGCCTAGATCCAAATTGGCACTACTAAGTGGAAGTCGATTTTAAGATGCTCAGTATAGATACTTGGAGAAGTGCAGACGAATATGTAAGAGGCTCATTTATTTTCAGAAAATACGCAACATTTATACCAGTTGGAGGAATGTTACACCGGAGAGGTGCCAGGATTTGAGTCGAGCGATCTTAGAAAACGAAGAAAAGTGGGTTTGGCAGGCGTTTACGCAGGTGCTCCAAGGGAGAAATGGAGAGCAATAGAAATTCAAGTTAGTCGTAGTAGGCGATTTGTCACCTAAATAAGGGCACTAAAACTACTTAATCTAAAAAGGGACCATTTTACCATTTCATCAAAGTTCAAAAAAGCCTACGACAAAAGACAAAATCCAAGTGGGATTCAGGAGACTTTGCGCACGTTCTAATTTTGAGCCTCGGAATTTTTAAATAAAAGGGGCTGAGTGACAAATCACAAATGACCCAATGCACCGAATGTACGTTCAATTAGCTAATAATATCTGAATTTACGAAATGTTTGAAAAATATTTTTTGTGAATAACATAAAAGTAACGTTCAGACAATACTTATGCCCCATAGAGAAAAGTCCTTCTTTGTAGCTAAATAATAGTGAATTTTTGAAGGAGTTTCCAGGCTAAAATCCGAAATAAAGTGCAGCCATGTGAAAAATACCGGTATAAACGAACTTTACACATTTCGGAGAAAATATCTTCCCCGTTCTTAAAACGTCTAGTTTATCCTATCCCCACGGAACTGTTAAACTCCGTTCCCTTTTATGTGATTCTGCTTTTAAGCCAGCATTTCTACGACTAGTGAATGACATGCGAGATAGCCAGTACATTCCCTTGCTCCACCGATGCAGTTGCCATACAGGGCGAAACTCCAAATCCAGTAGAATTGCCATAAGGGGTCAGTGGCTTTAAAGGCAGATATTCTCTCAATTGTGCGGAAATTAGATGACTGGCCTGGCTGGTTTGCGTGTTTCCTTACAGGACCGATTACGTTTAGACGGCTGACTCAAAAGGTTGACCAAGGGGAGCAACTGGAACGACGCTTAAAAGAAGAGAGGGGGTATCTAATACGTTGAGTACTTCTTTAATTCTCGTTTATTTGGCAATGGACCACTTAGAGTCCCCGCCGCCAGTAACCATAATAAATACTACCGGGTATTATGTCTTTAATCGGTTTCTAAGATGTCTCGGGGCACCAAGTTTGCATTTTAACCATATGCCCTACGTGTAGGTCCCTAAATCTTTACCGAATTCGGAAGGAACATAGCAGTATGGGGGGATGCATGTTAGTGATGTACAGAAAAGCAAAGGCTAACGGCACATCCCACAGACCATGCCCTTCGAGAGTAAGTACAAAGGCCGAGACTTAGGTCCGTGCGTAATCAAATACCAAATAAAACAAACAATCAATGATTTACTGTAGCGTCCCGGGACTCCCCCCTGAAGACGAAAGAAGACAAATTACTCGGGCGCGATATATATTCAGCGCAGCGAAGGTGTCTGGGCTATTGGCATGGCCCAAAAGGCCAGCCCATACAGCGAGGTACAAGGGGGCTAATCCAAAGTACAAAAGTGGCGCCTCGCCAATGCCGAGGGATAAACCACTATCGTACTACATTACACTAGGATTCATCAATGCCAAGAAGTTGGTCTAAATGTGAGACATGTGCAAATGAGTAATGCATCATGTAAGGTAACAAGTTGTAAAAAGACCTGACAAAATGTAAAATCCATACAATGACTTTAATTTATGTAAGCCAAAATCTATTTTTTAATCTGTAAGCTGAAACGAATTCACAGCATACAAATGCTTACGATGAAAGTGACATTAATAGGAAAAAACACAAATGAGTAAGGCGAACCCAAAAACCAAAAGAAGAAAACTGCTCAAGCTAAATGCAAGAAAAACAACAAACGAGTTACATGGGACATGGCAAGCTTATTTCTAATTGAAGCAACGAACAAATAAACGGGCATTTAAAAAATCTCAAGCAGTAGCAGACTACAAGTTTGCCTAAAAAATCCACACTTTATGAGATTTAGCTTTACTGTTGACTATAGCTAATATCTTTCGAAACTTTTTCGGAATATTAAACGAATAGAGAAATGCGCTTTAAATAAAATGCACTGCGTCAAGCGTTATTTCGGCTAAATTCATAGAGCTTGATGACCTTGATAATTTGCTGAGTCAATATTAACCTATAAGTGTCGGAAAAAAATGTGCATCTCTGACACCTCTTGAAAATGTAGCCACTGAAAATTTCTTATCAGCTATCTGAATTTTAAAAGTCCTTTGCTCTTTAATTTTTAATTTATACTAGGTTGCAAAAGAAGTCAATAAATTTTTATAAAAGAACAAATAGTTCTGTGATTAGCTTCCAAATTTATCTATTTTGTTGATTATAGCCCTGAGAATACCTATTTTTTACGGCATGAATGTATTCGGTGGCTCCTGCTTCAACTGCATCCACAACTATGCGACTTGCGTGTGTCTTCGTGCTTGCTCTCCTATTTGTTCTCTGTGCTTCTGATCGTCCTAATCTAAGCAATCGTGCGAGACTTGTGGTGACGAAAGAAGTGTTGAATCGGTACTTAGTCGAGACAAAAGAAGTCACTTTGCTGTACACTATTCACAATCTCAGTCCCAAGTACATTAATTTCCGAGTTTTTACAATTTTTTTATGGGAGAACCGCTAGGGATGTGGAGATCCATGATCGACTTCCTGAGTCAGACTTCACATTTGTTCATGGAAGTCGGTCAACCAGATGGCCTTCCGTTCTTCCCATGTCCAACATAACTCACTCTGTGATAGTTATCCCTCGGTCTGCTGGTTATTTCAATTTTACTAGCGCAGAGGTGACTTACAAGGCCGGTATGGACGGCAAAGTGACGGTACGTAAATCCATATCCACCACTTGCCTTTAAGTACCAGCGTCTTGCTCTCGAAAATGCAATTTTACTACTTGATCTATTGCCGCTTTAGTATGGTTATTCATCTGCTCCTGGAATGCGTCTAATCCTAATCCCCTCCGTCTTCAATCGTCAATTTTCTTCTCATTGGGTAAATTTACTATTGTTTTACCTGAGTTGTCACTATGGCCTCCTTCAAACCTCATCTTCACCTTTAGGTGGAATGGATCTGCTTTGCATTCATCATGACACCCTGTTTGGCAATCCCATACATGCTTTGGCGCGCTAGTGCCTCTAAATACAAATAAACTCTTTTTGCCCTGAGTTTCTGTTTTCCTAAGCTCAGTTCCGCACATTCCCCCCCAATAAGTGCGCTAAAAATGAATGACTGACGTTTCTTCCAGGTTTCACTCGGGTTTTTACAGAGAGAATTCGTACATTAGCGGTTCCGAGAGCGCTACTTGATTCATTCTCTTAATACGGATGGGATTAGCTGGCTGGCCGCACCACCTACCTTTCCCTTAAGAAAAATGGCTCTCGGCCTAGTCACTCGGCAGGAGTGCCAGATTATGACCTGTTATATTGGGTTGGTAAATGTGTTCCACCGTCACCTAGTTTGATGTTATTTTATGACATTGGGGCGACGCGAAGCGGCGGTACGGTTATTGTGGTCCGCAATTGTATCGCGTGCCAAGTATCCCCCATACTCTTCCTGAGAAGCCGCTAGCCACCCGCCTCATGGTGCCTGATCCGCACTTTACAGTCTGCATAAACTTTGAAGACTGTATGAGGGTGTGAGTATTTACTGCAAAAAAATTGTTGAACAAGTTAGTGAATAAACGATCATCGGGAGCGCCGTTTTTTCGGTTTTGCTACAGTCCATTCATCGGATTCATCGTCGGAGTCCTCACCCCTGGAGAGCTTTTCCTTGTAATATTGTTGCAAAAACTCCTCAGATTCCTTCTTTAACGACTCTGAGTTCTTCATCCACGACTTTTTGCTATCATCAACGATCTCTAAAAATTGCAGAACATCTGCAGATGCGGAGGAAATTTGTCCATGTACTTCTTAGGAAAATAAAAAGACGGAAGCTCGCAACACGAGTCTTCGAGGTAGAGGGGAAATACTGTAAACTATTAAGCTTGGAGGGACGGCTTTAATTCAATGTGGGAAGTGCGTGCAGTTGCAGACGGTGGGTATTTAGTTGTGGACGAGGGGCTAATTCGGGCGTGCTACGATCAGAATGCAAGCGACAACGTTTCACTAAGCACAGAAAATCAGCTTGACTGCACACCCACCAAAGTGCAAAATTTCGCACTTACGACTGAACGTTGCCTTTGGTGGATGAAGAGTGTAAGAGACGGTCATAGGAGTTGAGATGAGCTTCTCTGCAGATTTGCTCAGTTGATAGGAGACATGAATGGAACAATTATGCTGCAAAAAAATAAAACCAAGTAAATCATAGTTGTTTAGGAGCATAATGAGGGGTCGAGCTTCAAGGCGTACTAAGAGGTGACGCGTGGGCTGCATCACCAATTAGCTGCTATTTCATCAACTTAAATACGGAAAATCAAATAATACCCTAAAAGTGGGCATTTGCAAAAGATTCTCGCACAGGGTGAAAACATTTTAAGAGCGCATAAGTTTATGTACCTTATCGTAGAGAAGTCGTACTACCGGACCAAAGGAGGCGAAGAATGTGCGCAGGGATGCCTTACTGAAGAAAGGAGGGATATTGTAAACCTCGACATCGTTTGAAGACTTGGACACGGTGTAAAAGCGGTGCCCCACACCTTCGGCAAGTTCAATGTTAATGACTGGAAAAAGAGCCAAGTCGGGATTTGGTGAAGAAAATAAGAGGGAAAATTATGTAGATCATAAAAGCAGGAGTAATCCAGTCAGGGGAACCATCGGTTACTTTATAATGGTTTGAAAGGAAAGGTGCGGATGAGTGGAATGAGGTATGCGAATGTGTACATGAACGGTACCAATCTGGTTACTATGAAACGGCATTGATTTACCCGTAAAGTCACCAATTTTCAAGGGGAATTCCGTCATTGGGCGACGTCTTGCACAGCTAAACCAAAATAAAACAGGTAAAATTGTAGAATTTAGATGAAAAAGGGATCAAATCTACGCAAAATGCTTTCCAGTAGCTACTAGTTACGCTTAACAGTTACGATTCCATGTTGTTAATAGTTTCAAAATTCCTGGCATCGAATGAATTTAATAACTTATTAAACCACTGTGAGGCTGATCGCCACTACAAACGTATAGTTAATGTTGTTGAAAACTCGAGGGCAAAAAAATGAACTGCATACTTAATGTGAGATGAACTCACTCCGGACCCTAACGGTACACTTGTACTAGTAATATGCTCAACTTATTTAGTAGAAGAAAAAGAACGTATAAAAAGACCAAATGTCATTACAGTTTACAGGATAACACAGGAAGACAAGATAGGCATGCCACCCGTACTCATGCGCTTTTGCACAAACTGACCTTGAGATCGACTTTCAAATGCTACTTATATTAAACCAACTTATTAATTCGTCTTCATTTCAAAGGGCTCTTTAATTACGGATTTTTTATATTTAGTAGCTTTTGAATTTTTACCGCCTTTTAATTGCCATGGTATACAGACTACAGACCAATGATTTTATGTCAATTATTTGTACCTCATGTATGTTTGGCTACGGATAGACGTTTACTATGCGGTGCTTAAAAATAGGACTTTTTACTTGTGAACTTATCATAGTATATGTAATATGTGCACTACTACCTATATGCACACTGACCCTAGAGCATGTTGTGACCCACCACTGAAATGTAGATCAGACCTGGTGTCCTATATTTTTGGTACCTGACAATGCCCTGAGTCTTCCCCGAAGTTGTAAAAAAGAAAAATCAAAAAAGGAAGAACTATTGCCAATCTACAGAAGTGTAGCCCCCAAAACTTCCCTGAAGACGAAGAATGTTTAACACTTGGGCAGACTATATGTAATACAGTGGTTGTTTGTCTCTCGGTTCTGATGAGGAGCCACTTTTGACTTAGCCATCGTACCAACCCGGGTGGGCTGGCCTTCAAGCCATGCCAGTAGCCCCAGTACCTTCTGTATGACGAATATACACATGTTTTACCCGAGTATTATGTCTAATTTCGTCTCCAGGGAAGTCTTGGGGCGCTACATCTATGTATCCGACATGCAGAAGGTATTAGGTCTACTGGCATAGCCCGAAGGCCAGCCCACCCGGCGAGGTACAATAGCCAAGACAAAGAGGCCCTTCACCAATACCGAGAGTTAAGCAACCACTGTAATACAGAGGTGCTAGTAGGTCATTAGATTGGTCCGGATCCGTTGCCTCAAATAGGACTACAGACTGCCAGGACTGAAGTGCCTCTGTAGTTAAATACATAGTTTGACAACATTTTAGATCGCATCGGACGCCGTTGGCCCCCGAGGAGTAAACACACACCAAACACTCTTAACTCACAATATCTGTACCCCTTTTCTAACCACTACTTAATAAAACATGCCCTCATCCAACTTGTCAACTCGTTCCAAGGCTATAAAGGTCGAATTAGAGGTAAACGCTGAATCTATTACACTGATGCAAGAGGCAATGGACCTCTCCCCTTATAAGAACATTATAAATCCCAAGATGTGGCTTAAAATATCCAAATCTTACCTCTGATTCTACCTGTAACACCATGAAACCCTCCAAATTCGTAACTAGATCAATAATAACTCTTTAGGCTTTCCCCACCCTTTATCGCAAGTTTGGGATCTCTACCCCGTCTACGCGATTGCGTTCGGTAGAAAGAAAAGAGATGGCAGTAGAGGGAGAGATGTCGTTAAAGCCCTGGAGAGGGAAAGGAACCTGGACAATGACATTTACTAAGCGTCCAGAACTGGCTTGGGATGCGATTTTTGGCGCCGATTTTCTATGTAACACTAAAGTCGTCCTGAATTTTGCAGAGGGTACCCTCTTCACCCATTAAGGCACTGAAGCCAATACAGCCCTTTCATTACCAAGGGAAGTCGGTGATGACTTTTGTAACTCCCTCTTTGAGGTATCAGCTATGCCCATGAACAACTCAGATGACCTCTACGCGCAGCTGACTCACGTTAACGACAAAGAACGAAAAAGCTTAGCTTGCTTCTGATTAAGCACGCGAATATGTTCTCATGCTAAGGTGTTAAGCTGGGACGAACAGCAGCCACCCAGACGTATACCACCTCCTCTGCCTAAAGAACTAAACCGTTTGTTCGAGGAGATGGTCAGAGGCGAGGTCATAAGGCCATCTGCGTCACTGTGGGACTCTCCGATTTCACTGATGCGGAAGAACGGCGGATGTCTAGGCCTGTGCGTCGACTACAAGAAGTTAAATCCAGTAAGGAAGAAAGACGTCCTCTCTTTACCCTGCATCAACGATTCGCTGGACTCCTCTAGACGGGTCAAACTGATTCTCCACACTAGATCTAAAATCAGGATACTGGCAAGTGGAAGTGGTAGAAACAGAGAGAGAGAGAAGACAGCTTTCATAATGCCTAATAGGATTTATGAACAAAGCCTTGTGGACGCCGTTACGCAGCGGCTACCTCTCAACACCTGACGTAAATCGCACTAATTGGCTTATTCCCCAAACATTGTATAATCTATCTAGATGAAATTTTCCGCCTTCGGTGGAGATATTCGAGAGAGTAACGCCAACTTGAGACTGGTGTTGGACCGTTTGCTAGATGGAAGGTTGATCCAAGTAAATGCCTATTTATGTAGAGTACAATCAACTTCTTGGGAGATGCAGTCTCGTCAGATGGGACGACAGTTACTAAAGATCATAAAAACAAGTGAGAAACTGGCCACCACTAACTGACTAGACGGAACTCCGTAGTTTTCTAGGTTCGGTTGGGTACTGCAGACATTTTGTTAATATTTTCGTCAAGATCACAAGCCCACTGCATAAAGTGACGAAAAAGTTGGAGGAAAAGTTTTGATTAGAATAAAGAGCATGATGAAGTGTCTAAAGATCTAAGGTGAATGCTCTGCTGCGCACCGATTCTAGCATTATCCAAATTCAAATCGAGCGTATCACTCTTTGCACTGGATGGTGATGCTAGTGATGCAGCCGTGAGTAGTGTACTACCACAAAAGGACAATGTAGGACAATAACACTATCGGCTATGCGAATACCAGACAAAAAAGTGGAACGCAATGCGAGCTGTTCGCTATCTTTACAAGAGTTAGACACTTCAGGAATTACTTGATGATGAAGAAGGTCCTAGTGAAAACGTTTCATCATGCGCTTGCCAATTGAAAACAATGAAGATAGACTGTTAGGTTGCACACTACTACGAGGAACAGCAGCAGTACAGAAAAGGAAATACGCATAATAATGTGGATGTTCTGTCTCCCAGACCAGTCGGGGCAGAAACAAGTGGTGTTGCAGTGGATACCATATTCTTGAGCAAGCCCACTAAACATTATTAGAGCAATACGCAGAGTACCGATCCCAAAACGGCTCTGGTATACGGGAGGCTCCTTACATTCTTTTATCAACTTACAGTTAAAGAGATGCCTTCGAGGGGTAAGACACCCAGACAGATATGGCATGAATGGTTAAAAATCTCTCTAGTGGATGAGGTTTTATGATCTTAAAATGGTGTCGGGTCCCAAGCACCTAGTGGTCGCAGGATCATTGGTACAGACAGCTCTTCAAGAGTTACGCAAGCACATGAGACAAGGGGGCAAAAAGAAGATGCTAGACGTTTTGAGCAAAAGATGCTAGTGGTCTAAGCTTACCCTAGACGTACTTGATTTCCGCTGAACCAGCGTCACTTGCAGCAGCTCTGCAAGATCCCACCTTACAGCAATCATGCCACCCCAACTTATGCTCACAGGGCCTGCAGGGGAAACAGTTGGTTTTGACATCTTGGGCCCTCTACTAGCCACAAAGAGAGAGAATGGATACATTCTGGTTATCGTAGACTACTTCACGAAGGTAGCTGAGGTTGAAACCATAAAGATGCAAGACGCCGAAACGGTGGTTCTAGCTTTGTTCATTTGTTAAAACTGCTAACACAGAGTACCCGAAATGGTACATAGCAATCAAGGTGTTAATTTCTAAACCGATTTTGCTGAACTATGTAAGTCCTTCGGGATCTCAAAGATGCGCACGGCATCTGGACATACGCCAGGTGAAATAACGAACCACATTAATTGGACTTCTGAAGGCTTTCACAAGGGACGCGTAACCAGAAGAATGGGATCTAAGCCTTGGATGGTGCCTCCTAGTGTAAAGAGCTACAATGCACACATAAACCATCATTTCGCCATCCAAGATGCTCATAGATTGTGAAACTAAAGCACCTTGCGCTGTTTGTCTATCAAACACGGATCTGCAACCAACGATTTTCCAGAGCACGTACTGCGACTGAAAGAAAGGATAAGACAATTTTCAACATTCTGCGAGAACAAGTACGGCTATCCTACCTCAGACAGAGGGGATATTATGACACAGTCGGCCCAACATCTACGGGGAAGGAGACATGGTACAACCTATATAGACCTGTCCCACCACCTGGAGCAAGCCGCAAATTCCATCATCTGTGGAGCAAAGATGAGTTTTGAGTGATGAAAGTCATCAGACCAACCAACCGCCATGTTGGCAGTGCTCAACTTAGTCCTAATTAATCACCCTTCATTAAAATATGCGCCCATACAAAGGTGCGCTTCCAGTCGGATACGAAAATGAAGTTTACGTGTTAACGGAAGAAGGAGGTCCAATGGAAATGAACTACGCAGTTAACACCCGTAAGTGGAGCACCAAGAAAGGTGCTAAAAAAGACGAGGGGGCTACGTAATACGCATTTAAACGGACCTTTTAGGCGAGAAGCGGTCAGAAAGTGCGACCCATATGTTGAGTCGGACGCCATCGGCCCCCGAAGAGGAAGCACACTCTGAACACGCCTAACTAACAAGATTTGAACCACTTTTTTAATTGCTACTCAATAAAGCATGCCCTCATCCAACGCGTCTGCGCGTTCCAAAAGTACTAAGGCCAAGGCGAAGGAGGTAAACTCCAGAGCCTATTACACAACATACGTGCATGCATACGCACATACGCCTTTAAGTCTATCAACACCCACATGTGCATAGTCGCGCATACACATGGAGATGTAAAAATCTTTTGTAGATTACTTTGTTAAGTAGTTGGATTGTGTGTATCAAAAACTTTCTGCTCTACCTATATAAATATGTACAAATTATGGATCCATTTTTTAGCACAGCTATTAGCAAATATTCCCTTTAAGCTTCCAACATTCACAACACTCACCTATGGGTCTATTGTAATTTTTAAGTGTGAGTCGACAAACCACATTTGTACCAGTGAAAAATCCGTATTCTCAAATGGAAATGCTATTTCTGTTGTAAAAATAGGACAAAATATTTTAAGCAAACCAGCTGTTGCCTAGCATTTTGCAATGACACATAAAGTACATGGTCATTTACATTGTGTTGGCCTCTGGTTATCAAGAAGATGATGACGTGGTCCATGCAAACGCTCATGTTTTGACGATGCATTTCCAGCCGTTGCTATCGCACAATCGGTTTTGCATATGCATTCATTCTCATTATAGATGCAGGCATCCACTAGCCTGGTCAAAGCCAGACAGTGACCAATGGCAGTCTGCATCCATCTCGGGAGATGTTTGTACATACCTCTACGCACATCACTTACCTCATGACCATGCGACTGTTGGTGGGTAGTCTCCTAGTCTCACTACTGTGCCATAGAGTAATCTGTGATGACGCACCTTCATCTTCAATTAAACCACCAACAACTTTATTTCCAGCCATGGATGTCTTACCGCTCACTTCAGATGCCGCTTCGGCTGCGGTAGGGGCAACACCAACCAGTCTAATTGCAATTACCACACTAAATCATCTTCATTCAACTGAAGGCCCACCAACTACTCAACCATCAGAATCAACCGGCGCGTTATCTAAAGAAACTGGTCATACTGTTACGCACAGCCCAGTTTCATCCATTTCTATTAAAAATGGTAAGGCTTTTGTTGGTCGGACGGATAAGAAGACCACTGTGTCTTCCGAGAAAGAGATCAATTCAAATGACCCAATTAATGGTACTTCTTTTACAAATATTAAATCATTAGACTCAACAACTTCATCAAGCAGCTTCAATACTGCACCTACACTTTCGCCCAAATTGGTTGATGCTTTCGAATCAAAAACAACCGAATCTGTGGCTCGCCAAGAAAATTCGGTGACTCAATCCAAATATGCAAGCAGCAAAGATAATTCGACTGAATTTGTGGGTTCCCCAAGTAGTCACCTCCTCTCGACTCCATTCGCATTCGAAGCAGATGATTTTACGGATGTAGGAACAAGAAGAGCAACGACAGCATGGGGCACCTCCACCGTATATTCTGAAGCATCATTAAGTCAATCTCAAACGGAATCAAATTTCCAGGAAGGCGTCCAGCTAGGTCAGTCTTCTAAAATATTTACGGCAAAAGTGACAACTCATACTGAGACCACAATGGAGACGTCAGATAGCGCTGACCAGTTGAGTTCAGTTCATTCTAGTACGCATGAAGCCACGGCGTCAATACCATCGAGTTTGACTTACAGATCGGAGCCACTAGAGAAAGAATACACTACAACTTTTATGGAATTGGATTTGCCTGAAATGACTAGCTCTAAAACAGATTTAATTCAAAGCGCAGATACCTCGATGAACGATCAGGAATCAGGCGAATTAAGCTCCACCCAAAAGCCAACAAATTTGCAACCGACTTCAGGAACTGCAACTGGTTTTCAAGACGACAGCGCATTAAAAACTACAAATGAATTGACAACACACGGTCCTCTAACTGACCACAAAACTAAAAACATGTACGATAGTGAAATTTTACAGCCCAATGTCAAGACTACTTCTGTGTTCCCTTCCACTGCGCCTACTACTTTATCCCCACCAGGTGGATCAACCACAACAGTTCGCACAACCACAAATGAATCCGGATCGACTTTTACAGACTCAGAACTAATTATACATACGAATTTAGCAGAATCAACATCTTTAATAATGAGAGGAGTACCAAAAGATTCCAAATTGGCAGTCTTGGATGCTGACACATTAGCATCAACCTCCAGTGGTTATACTACGCAGAAAACCGAAAAAACGCCAACTTTTCATTCTTTATCATCACCAGCATCCGAACAAGTGCGAAAGTCTGAAGTTGGATTTCATCCGTTCTCAAATCCCTCAACTGATGAAATTTCTGAAAAAAAGCTTGAATTTATATCAACATATACCCTTATTACTTTCGCTACAACACTGTACGAGAAGATCAAGTCGGTACAAAGTGCTCCTTCGGCATCACCGTCACCATCGGTCAAGGTCGAGACAGATAAAAGCACCTGTAAATTACTTCAAAATTCCCCGGTCACCGCTATTTCAGGAGATTTTAGCAAAGATTTGTCGACCATAGCAAAAGTTTCCACAACTGAATTAACTGGTCTTGATTATAGTGGAACGACAGAAATACCAGAAGTTGAAAGAGATCAAGCAATAGCGTCATCTGCACTTGACACCGAAGTCTTAAAAGAAACTGATCTTCCAGTATTGTCTGACTCGAATCAGGAGTCAGCAACATTACACACAACCTCTCCTACAGTTTATGATACATCTACGCAGCCAGCAGCTGCAGAAAGCACAAAAACTAAAAGGTCCACAGATCCACGCCAACCACCAATAAATCAGAACCCCCAAGCTCCTAAAGGCACAGATCCAGAAGGAATGACAGTGGCTACTGCCATCTCTATGGGTTTAATTCTCATATTTCTCCTGATATTATTTTGCATTCTCGCAGTATCCCTGATTGCCGGCTGGGTACACTGTCGAGGACGGGAGAGTCGACGGCCAAAAGTGAGCCTGATTCGGGTGGAGCGGGGCTTGGCAACAGAGTTTGCAGACAGTTGGAACAAAGGAAGGCCAGCTCAAGCCTGGATGACTACACGATCGGGAACCACAATGACCTCGCATGCTTCAGGTGCCCAGTTGTCTCGGTCGATTTCATATTCTCCACCATCATCATCACCACCACATCCACCATCGCCACCGCCACCAAGTTTCCAGTGTGGATGCAAGCGACGAGGCCTTTTCGGAAGTGCGAACCGCCTCTGTATGGCCCATGGTGACCCCTCGGCGAGACCCAATACGAGTGCAGTGCGTGCCGTTAAAATAATCTCCCTCACCGACGAGTCTGATGTCGGGGAGGTAGGCACCGTGCTCTTGACGGATCTCAACCGACGTCGCGCCAGTGGTGCTTCCGACGCTCCAGATGCGGAAAACTTAGATTCCAATGGCAAATCGGGGAATAGGCGCCCCAGTGAGTGGCTGTTCATCGACGAGGCCTAAATGGAGGAAGCTTCCCTCGTCACATTGACTGGCACGAAATCAGTAGTTGCTCTACAGTCGCACCTATCGATGTTTGATTACTTGCAATCTGATACACACGTTTCTCCATTCGTCCATCAATCGCCTGTAATCCACATTTCCCACTGTCGTTCAGAAGAATTAAATTCACGGTTCCGGATATAGGTATCCCTTAATACTGTCATTAAGCGCTTGTTTTACACGTCGTGTAGACGATGCATCCTCGATTTATTTGCCCACTTATGCAAAATGATACACACTTTCGTTGAGTGATAAGCACAAAAATACCGTATTTTACTTATCGTAAAACAACAAACGATTACCCACGGTCTTTAAGCATCTTACCCTTAACCGACGACAAACATAAAACAGAAACGTCATTTTTTTAAATAAAAGCATATATACTAGAAAGAGCAAGCAAGCTACACAGGAGATTTAGCTCCAACATGATTTTCCGAAGGCATCATGGCTTGTGCTCTTCGTCCTTTGGTGACAGGAGACCACTATCGGGTGCTTTGGGGATTATGAGCTTTTGGAGACTTTTGAAGAGTGGGTGCTTGGATCCATCCACAAGACCCAATATGATTGACTCGCTAGTGGTCACGAAGACACCTGATTGGCGCATGCGTTCCAAAGCAAACATCCTGTCCACCATGGAGCGAGAGGAGACGGCATCTGCCACGCAGTGCACATCGATCCCACGCTCCAGCAAGTCAAGTGCAGTGAGTTGAACGCAGACATGTGTCTCCATACCACAGAGAATGACTGAGTCTATGTCCTTCTTTAACTCTATCACCGACTCCAATTCCTTCGTGATCATGGAGAACAACAACTTGGGAATGACCGGGATCCCCGAGAGGTCACCCAAATCCTCAACGGTTTGGCCAAGTCCTAAGAAAACACATACAAATAAATTGGTTATTGATCATAATGCTCCGGCAGCACCTTCCCATACGAGGAGGCATCCAAACACGTTCTAACCGCATAGGATCTCGCAGGAAATAACTACTCAGGCACTTTCTTCAAGCACCTTAAAGTAGATCTGGATTCTTCCCAACAAGTTGTCCATTACGCATAAACTGCCCTCAGAAAATAGCAAGCTTCATTAATAAAGAAAACAAATTGTTTTTTGCCTTTCAACATTTACGTATATGTACTCGGAAGACCTGCACACTAGTGGTTATTGAATTGTGCAGAGATCGCAATCAAAAAGATGACGAAACTAACACTTTCACGACCACTGCTATGTACACCAACCCAATTAAACGAGTGGCCCAGACAAAAGCATTTAACTCACCAAAAAACCGCACTGAAGCGACTGAGACAAATTTGGTCGGTTCAGTTACACATTTCATAATTTTGTGAAAACTGATGCAAGTTATGAAAAAGCCTGGCATTCAAATAAGTTCGGGGATTTGAGGCACGAAAAGGTAAAAGTTCGGCTTCGACACTTACTTTTGAGGTGGGGACTTGGGCAGCCAGAAATCGATATCAAGCACAAATTTTGTAGAGGAAATGATGAGTACACGGGAGGAGGTCACTACTGACTCAAACAGCTCTTACAGTACGATCGGTTCAGGTTTCCTCATCGCCCAAATTTAAGAACATCTCTATACAAGAATTTCCATCAAATGCATCGCATTAGGGTAATAGGCAGTAAATTAAAGGCTCACCCTTGGGGTACATCTCAGTCACGACGATAGGCATTTCAAGCATTTTTGCGGCAGCAATAAGACGCCCAGAGACACTAGTGATGGCATTAAAATGTGAAATGCTAGGCCGAAACTTTTCTTGTATATCACAGACGAAAAGGGCGGTGCGTGAAGCCATAAGCCTCCCTAGTCTCGGTAAGGCCGACATATCTAGTAAAAAGGGGGCAAATAAGAGCCAACACGTCGACCTTCCCAAAAAAGAGTAATACCGAGGTGCACATTCTACACATCATATGTACACATAATATATGCCTATCATACATAAGACGCATTGGCGACGGCGCACAAATGTTACGAGCACTCATTTTCAGCTAAAGCTGAAAGTGGGCACATCGAAAAATACTGATGAAACCATAATTAAACAACGAATGAAGGCTTCTAAGCATTTATGCATAATGAACGAAATAGCGAAATAAAGGAAATGGTCTACAAGCAATGAAGAACACGTATATTCATTTAATTTGATGATATAGGACAACAAATAAATCAATATTAAAACGGTTATCAAAAACCAAGTTCAAAAATAGTTAAGCCGGTTCGAATTGAAGATAGTTGATAGGTGCAAGACCGCGACACTGCAACCGTTCATGCCATATTTCACAATTCCCGTCAGTATGAACGCGTTCTACACGAACTGCATCGCCTTCCTACGAATAGAATAGGATGTCTGAATGACCGCATGTAAATGCCATAAAGTAAGCACATGAGCTGACTCTGTGTGACTTATGTTTACCATAGGCTTTTCATTAACATGAGTTAGGAAAAAATGAAGAGGGAGAAACCTGGATTTCCAATTGGTTGGCCTGAAATATAGAGGGTTGCCGCGAGCGTACAACCTTGGCATCAACAGGAACTCCGAGGATTCCGCAAAGACTGCAATAGGACATGGTGTTCAGATTTTCACTAGCGACCTTCAGGCTTGCTAGTAGTTCCGCTTTGTACTGAAAGCATCGACGTTAAGAGCTTTATAAGATAAATTTCACTGATTTCCTCGGTAGTGCTAAGTGCCTCAAATACAGGTAAACCTTAAATTCTCTGAGGTCATTGAACAGGTGATGCACAAATTGGTAAGAATACAATCACCAAGGTTAAGCGATCAATGACATGCCAATGGCCCGAAAAACGTTGTGCATAGTAAGGTTTAACACAAGCATCTCCAATAATAGCTCGTAACAAAACAAATCAAATGTCATAACTGAAAAGTATGGAGTGTAGCGTGCGCTAAGGACAAGACCTGTGTACTAGATAAGATCCGAAACGGAATGCAAAGAACAAGAGGTGATAACTAGAATGCTCACAGGAGCCAAATGATTGGCAGGCACCCATCCCCTTCGACCATCGCTGAGCGAACATAAAATCCAATCCTTCCTTTGAATAATGAATGCCACCATATCACCCTTGGACAGAGGCAAGTCTTCCTTCTTCTCTCCCGCAAAATCGTACAAAGCGAGTAGTCTTTCCTTAGGAGCTGGCTTAACCAAAAAGCAGGCGGACGACCGTCCCTGTGAATAGTACTCCAGAACAGCTTCCAGGGACTCGAATTTTATGTTACCAAAAGTGAATTCTTTTGCCTCTTTAGAATAGTTAATTAAATAGCGAACTACTTTGGTAACCTCCCTAGTCGTCAATGTACCTGAGTCCAGAACCTACTTTATAGACAAAACATAACCAGACGTTGTTGAAGAATCACGAATTAAAAAGGTGCCAACTGGTTGGTTAAGAAGGATCTCGTTTGTTTTCTCTCGGCTGATTTCCCCAAAATACCACCTACATCGCTTTTAGAATAATCCCTCTCACTTACACAGCGTCCGGTGAAATCGCCAGACTATCCATGGGATATACAGGGTGCTTTGAAAGCAATCTAGGTCCCAAAGTAAAAAAACCGAAAGTTAGTTAATCCCATCTTGAATGCATATAAAATGTGCAGCAATATTGCACTACAAGTAGCACTTTAACTAGCACTGAGGCAAAATCACTCCTGCATTGAATTCCCATTTAACATCCAATGAAAACACTACCCAAAAGGCCAGCGCCTAAAGACACCTCCCGATTTAATGCTGGGACCCACAGCCAGGGCCCACCAGACCCTCACGCGAACCCAGATACCCGCCAAAACCACTTGTTAAAAACGCATCGCAATCGGAAGTCGATAATGACGTACCAAATCGCAATAATCTACATCAAGCAAACTGAGACCATTCTTAGCTAATCAAAGTAGGACCTCAAATTTAGGCATTTTCTAACTATACCACTTTATTTAAAAAATTATTAGGAATATGCTACTTTTTAGAGACTAGTCGTACACGTGTTATCTGCTTATATCGAGTAATTTTTTGAGCTACAAAACGTTTTTAAATGAGCACTCATAACTCAGTGAAGCAAATAACGATGCTACGCCCTCCTTGGTCATATCCTAAGATTTTATTTAGCATGAAGTTTGTTAAACCTTTTGATATCATTGAGAAGGCAGATTTTGTATCCTGAGATTTTCGTAAATTCACCTAATGCCAAAGAAGTGTGTAAGAACGTGGCCTACAGAAGGACAGAAGTGCCTTGATGCTGTGGGAGCGGTTGGAGACCCATGCCAAAGAGCGCCAGTGTAACCCTTTGTAGCCGAAACGAAAAAGAATTATGCATCAATGTGCAGCTTCTTTTGGTAGTAGTGCTCTACGCTCCCCTTTTATTTTCTGTTCTGGCATTCTCAATGTAGTTAGCACTGCAAAGGCCACCCATGAACCAGGAACCGAGTTCTGTAAAACTCATTGTTAGTAGTAATGCATTTGACCCCAATGCCAACTCTGCATCCCAATGACTGTACGGATTCTGGAGTTTTACTCCATTTGTAAGCTGAACTGAATTATTTGGAATTCGTCTGTTTCGTACTCCTCATGACCGGACAAGGATTCGCAACGCTTTCTCTTCGCACATCAATCTCTGTTCATAAGAACGCCTGTCTAAAAGCAGGGCGCATTAATAAAAAATAGACCTGAAGTAGTTTTACAGAACCAATTTTGTGCATTAATCTCAATCTGACCTCGTTCCATTTCTACCCACTATTCCACTTGATGTCTTCGCCTAGTAGAAATGTGAAAGTATCATTATTCGACGCATCTCTTATTCTCATATAAATAAAATAGACAGCGTTATATAATGATTTTTTACAGTAGTTTAAGTCCTGATCGCCTCATTTGTTAATAGCTTCTCCAAGACACGGTTTTGGACTGATTGCCAAAAGTAGACCCAATTACAATCCGTTCCTTAAGTCGTCTCAGACTCAGCCATCTGCGACGTAAAGACCCAGTCTGCACCCATAGGAATCAAAACGGTTGTTCTTTTGGGTCGTGGTCACTTACTGCTTCTAACAGTGTAGCGCCCCGTGTCCTCCACGAAGACATAATAACGCAAAGTATTGTGGAAGTACATATTGTAAACACACAAAATGGATATGAGGCTACGCGTATTCCAAAGAAGCCATACCGCTGACCGAAATTACAAGTCACAAAACAGCCGACCATAACACAACATTTTAAGCAAATTATTTGTACAAAAGCCCATTCATTTGATTCAAATACAAATGACTGTCGTACTTTTCAAAGTACAAATCTCACTCTTGTTACCAGAGAGAGTGGCATTAAAGTAGGAGAAGAACGACTTCGTTGAAATAAAATAATGACAGCCTCTTGAGTCTTCGCCTAGTATAGAATACTTGTAATTGACACACGGACGGAAGTAAACACCACTTAGGCTGTGGAGTCCGCGTAAGTGTACAACTAGAACAAACATCGTTCTACTGCATACTTTTTCTTCCACCCGTAAGCGGCGTTTTTGGCTCTCCTCGGTGTAACCTGCTCGCTCCAGCGGCAAGGATTCTGTGTAAACAGAAATAAACTGTAAAACAGGGTAGAAGATAGTGCTGAGATCGCATTAAAGGAAAATGCCACTTGTTGGTAGCAGAAGAGGCTGTAAGTCTGCTTGGGGTTTCCGAATATCGCGTCCTTTGTAAGGGGAGCCGTATTGAAAATGGGGTTGTTTAGTCGATAGCGCCGAGGACTAGACAAGCATGATCACACCTTGCAGCAACATGTACCACAGATGCAAGAATTCATTGGAAATCAAAATAAGTATCAAATCACTGCGATATCACTGCGGAATAGCTGATTTGGTTCTCATACAAGCAAAACCAATTACTTTCCCTCAAAATAAGACCTTATTTTGTAGAACATATTCATGCAGGATAATTTAAGGCACACCATTATAATTTTTATCATTTACGGCATCAAATTCAAGCTACGATTCCAGATATTTCAATGTTTATTCCCAGCACCATTGAGCACATACTGGATAGATTTATAGCTACCTTCACATGGTCTACCCCTTGAAGTGTTTTTTGCACCCCTAGTCAGCGGAAGTCTCCGATGGTTCGGTCAGTTGCGACGGCTTAGCGCACTAAATTCCCAATCTTTCGTTTATTAAAATACCGCACGAAGCGATTTGTTACACTCCACGCCTTGTCCTTCACTGGGACAAGGTTGCACAATTGCTATCTGTTTATCAGTTAAGTTGCGTACGTCTCCACATCTAAAAACTCGTTTCTTACTCCCATTGATGCGTCTGTCTTCCTGTACATCAATTTTATTGTCACTTGAAGCTATGCACAAATCGTCACACAGAGGGGCGATATTTAGTAATATGTGAACTTGCGAATCTTGTAATAGACGGTCCTCTGATGAGAAATTACCTTTACTGCCTTCGACAATGTATCAAGAGTTCCATTATCCACAATCCACACAGATGCTGATCACTGGCCAATACTTACATGAAAAACAAAGACTACAACGCGGGATAAATACTCCCTAGCTTTAGTATTTATAATTACCATTCGTGCCACCTGGCTGAAAAATTGTTTCCAATGCGATGTGTGAAGTGTTGGCGGTCATACCTGTTTTCCTTGTGCATTTCCGAAGCTACAAAAACCCGAGCACTTTTCCCGTGTAATGGATGCCATTTAATGTTGGAAGACAAGCATGGATGCACTGAATTTCGAATAGTAACGAAAAGCCTTCGTAAAACAATCAGTTTCCAGTAGGAAAAACAATAAAAGGTGAAATAACGAAAAACCAAATCACAACTTTCGTCAGAGTTGAAGTACTTAAGAGGCCATTCTTTGCCCAAGTTCAGCCACTTTGACTTGACAGCCTGGCATGAATTATTTGAAGTTGCTTGAGTAAACTACGCCATGTCGATCAAACTATCGTCCATCAAACTATCCAGCTTCTTTTCCCCACTTTCCCAATATCTCACGGTCCCATAGGCGAAGATGACTAAGATGGGACCAAACAATGGCAAGACTACAGTATTATCCCCAGTACGGTATAGCCACGGTTACTAGCCCCACCACAGAAGGTATTACGTGGAACAGCTATCATATTCTAAATGGCCCCGATGGGTAATAACTACGTCTGACCACGCTTTTCGGCGGAAACACGACACCTTGAGTGTACCAATTTCACACAGCTGTAAACTTAAAGCCATATTTTCCACAAAATAAACGGAAAAAATCGTTCTCAACGTTTTGTCTCAAGGGGCAGAAAAATCCACGCACATTATGATAGCGACCGGAATATCGTCAAGTTGACAAAATCCAATTCTAATAACGCGTAGTTTACGTAATTTCATCTGAATAAATGGGTTAAAAGAAACCCAAAAACCATCATTGTTAGTGTTATAATTGGAGTTATCCTCAAGTTTTCCCTAAACTACCATCCGTCAAAATGCAACGATCAACCGATGCTCGAGTAATTGTAAGAAACAATGGAAAGAATGATTTTGATGTAAAAGGTAATCATGTTTACAAACTTTGGGGACTCGACGCACATTTATCGTGGTTTAAACGTCTCGACTGATCGCTGGAGAATGCGAGGTTTTCAAGTCGCCCCGGTTAGATCCGGTCGTTCGTAAGCAAACGATGAATGAGAGGGTGCACTAGAAAAGAATAAGAGATGATGGCCGCATCTTTGTACGCTTGATTCGTGGAAAACAAGCCGCTGTAGTGCATCAAAAAAAAACGTGGGGGCCCAGCTTAGGCTAGTGGAATAATCTACATTATTTAGATGCGAAATATCGGGATCATACTCTTCTCGATAAAATATCTTGACTAACCAACCAATGAAACCCACTAACAATGGTGTCTTGACGCTATTGCAACACGAACACTCATAACGGTGCCTTGACAGGGCAATAGCCTTTTCACCAATCAGCACTTGAGGGTTTTAAATACAAAAAGATGGTAAAGTTAAACCACACAACTTTCTATGCATGAAGATATCTAGATGAACTACTGAATAGGTCACAATTTCGATGTCAAGATGAGGCGACCCGTATGAACTACGTACCCACCAATTTGTCCTAGCAATAAAGATGGGTCAAAAGTGGAAGGGGATGGCCGGAGTTTAGGCGCTTGGTTAACTGAAAAGCATTCCATCGGCTCAAAGTCGGCAATTTTCTTCCCAGTGACATCATCGTCGTCAGGGGCGTTGCTGATGGGAGGATTGGAGGCGGGAATGAGAGGCAGGGAGGGACGAGGAACATACGGCACCAGAGCAAGGCAGGCTTTGGGAGTAAATCTAAAAACAAACAGAACATTCAACCTAAGCTAATGATAAGGTTATAAGTTATTACCGTTGATTTTAGGTGAATGCAAATAAGTTAAAAAATGCATATTACAAATTTCACAAAACTAGTCAGAGTTGAGCACTGAAAGGTGTTGATGCATCTAATGGGAAAGGCAGGTGATACTGACGGCGTTTTTTGCTAAGCCGTACATTAAAAGCGTTGGAAATTTAAACCAGCGTGAGGATGACTTTAAGAAAAGGCATCAAAATCATACAGTTTGGCCATCGAATTATCAATATTCTTAAAAAATTCGCAAGCGCTTGGAGGTCATGAAAATAATTCGCACCATAACTAAGCAAAAAACCTAGTTTTATAAGCAGGAACTTAAGCATAGTAGGAATATGCGGAGAGACATTAAAGTGTGTATCGAATGTACAACTAAGAGCAGAATTTAATCCTGGGACATGCCAGAACAAGAACTCAATTGAGCTGTGAACATCAGATTACCATATACAAGGTAATATCCTATCCAAATGAAAAAAATGGCTTTGATTTTCAAATAAAAAATGTATCCATATTAAAGAATTTTTAGCTACCTAATACACTCACCTCAACGTAGCTATTAAACTATATCGTCTGCATGGTACTCTGCATATAAACAAATAATTACTCTTGAGACGGACAATTTTCTGGATTTTTAGTCATGATTGAACGAAAATAGCATTTTGCAAAAAACACATCCAATTATTGTTGAAGATACACTGAAAGTTACCACCAGTCAATTGAATAAACAACAAGCATAGAAGTACACTTTTTGAAGATGGGAATCGAGAAAGCCTCCACCGGTGCTGAGTTGTTGATATCCTCGCCGCAATTCCTCCGGAAGTAGGAGGCTATATTAGATAAGGAGTACTTATTTAAAGTGAAATTACGAATAAAGAAGACAGCTTGCGATTGTTGGAGTTAGTCCAGTCGTTACATAATATTCATCCAAAGAAAGGCGGAGAGGCCAATTTACCAACTATAGTGATGTAAGCATTAAATGGAATTAAGACTATCAAATGACAGCATCGAATGAAAAGCTAGGAAACTACATGACACGAAATCGACACAGAGAACCAAAAAAGATTTTGTGCCACATACGCCTATGCTAAAATAACGTACCCTTTCTCATCATCACATTCATCACCAGATTCATCAGCTGGTTCCTCAATGGACACCATTTCCACTTCATTATACTTGACGTCAGAAGGTGGTGAAATATTTAGATTGGAAAGCCCCCTGGAAATTGCCTCTTCCGACGCGGGTCTCTTGCGGGGAATGTATATTCCTTCGAAAAAACTGGACTGGTCTCTATAAGCAATGATTCAAGGTACTGTCAATAGGTCAATAACGCTCGAGACAAGTAAAATATTGTAACGAAGCATTTTCATTTTATTGATAAGCGTACTCTGTCTCAGCTTGCCTCTGATTAATTCAACCAATTTGTCGTGGAAAAAGTGTGAAATTCAAGTAAAGAAGCTAGAAGAAATGAGTAAACGCTCATTTGGAAATACACAACTTAGGTGTTTAATATAATGACAAACGTAAAGCAGATCAAAAAGGCCCAAAAACGACCTGTTGCCATGTAAAACTATAATATCTTTAAAACTCACAAATGGCGCTTCCTAGAGCATAGGTTTTCATGAGGAACATTCATCGACGAGTTACAAAGTGACGTATTTCCCGAGTCCTTGTTCCCAAAACAACCAGACGTGGATGGCTGCCGAGGGCAATAGAAGCTGAGCCCGGAACTACCCAGAGTACAGTCAAAATCACCAAAATCCCCCATCAACACAGCGCGAGCGGGCAGCAACCAACATCAATACAGTTCGGCAAATCTAACATGCGCTCACAAAACTCTGAACCAATGAACTTTTAGCAAAGAATGAAGAAACACATGAACAAGTGCTAATTTCAAGTTTGACGTAAGTTTTGTAACTATTTAACCAGGAAAACTGTCATTTTGTGTGTACATTTTATCCAAAATACTGCCAAAGGGTATATGGCTTGCTTGGAAGTGAATTTGCATTTTAAAATTGTCAGCTGCAAAATGTTTAATGTAAATGGTTAGGGTTTTCCATATTTTTCTTTGATTTTGCATTTACAGTATGGCGCAACCGACCTTATGATCTCATAGTTGCATAAGCTACCTAATGATAATCAAAATGTGAAACTGGCACTTGACTACCTTATTACATTAGCGAGGTTTAGTGCACCCTAAAACCGCCTTAAAGGTGTTAGCAATCACATCCGCGCAATCAGAAATAAATTTTTAGCCCACAAGAGGCTCAAATATTAAGGTCCGTGTAAATGGGTGATGATTTTTAAGCATAATGGTTGTAAAACTCCATCATGGCGGCCTAAAATTAGGTACTGACCTTGAGCTCCCATGTGCAAGTTTGATAAGGGCTTGCAGATCGTTTTAGCGTGGCAACACCGCCTATGGTGAGGGCTGTGCGTTGGATTACTGGCGTAGTGCTTTCTATCGCGGTATGGCTAGGTGTCTTATACGCCCCATTTAGCCGGTCTAATGCCTTGGATCTTATAATTTTGTATTCACCTGTTGCCATCATTGTCTCCTTCGGACTTTTTTCGTTGTTCTTCATAATATATGGTGTGGTGACGTTCAATGACTGTCCTGGTGAGGCTGAGAAACTGAAGCAACAGATTGACGAAGCTAGAAGGAACCTAAAGAAGGCCGGTTTCGAATTTTAGTCCAAAACTTGGTCCTTTCACCTGTTCTTTGTATTTTGTAACATCTTTCTAACATACAATCCTTCAATGCGCCAAATCCGTTCCGGCTTCTCACTTGGTCAATTTAAAGACGTACTACACCCCTCTCCTAATTTTAATGAAAATGTGCCGCCGACTGAATAAGTCTTCCTCCTGTTTACCGCTCTCCTCCCTTCTCAAGAGTAGATTTCGGTCAGTTCACTTCCCACTTAATGATTGCTCATAAGCTCCCGTGAAGAAAATAAGTAAGTTTCCAGCAAGCCCTCATCGTTTTTATCACGTACAAATTCTCAGTAAGAATAGTGGTTCTAAGTAATAATTTGGGCCTTTAAGAAATTGGACATTTTAGTCAGAATCCAAGGGTCCTAATCCTTTTCTGGATTTCGCGATTTGATCCTCATCATCCGTCGATCCTCTGGAACCTTCTTGCCTCGATAGAAGGTTATCTCCTTCCACCACTGTAGCCCAACTTCCCACCTCAATACGAATAGCTTTTGCATACATTTTAGCTGAAATGATGGAGCATGTCGATCTCTAACGGGTAGTACCTGGTCAATAAATAAATGTACCTATGTTACGTGCTCTTAGGCTAATGCTGTTTGGATTAAGATGTATTACACATCCTCTGGTTAGCTACTTTTATAAAGGGTGCCGGTAACAATATTATGGTTTGGTGCATTTGACGCATAAGACGCACGTGAAGCAGTAATGAGGACGCATTTTCCGTTTGTTCTGATGTTATTTCCGACCAGTTTTGCACTTCAAGCATACGCTAGAAGGTTTGAAATCTAGGTAAGGCCACTCGCTCCATAATTTCCAATATCAACAATAGATGTCTTATTGTTCCTTAAGGCAGGCTTTTTACCTTACGTCCTTCTATTTTTAAAAGGCTCTCCGTAAAATTCATGGTAGAATGCGTTCTATTCATGTGATCGAAGCTCGGGCGGTTGCACTTCGTCATTGGTTTTTTGAGGCACTTTGCGCTACACTCCTGGAATTCACAAATGATCAGCAAACTTCTCTGATTTTAGTCAAGTTTAGGTTTGCTTTCATTTTTATTGGGCGCCCAAATTGGCAGGATCCGACTTCCTCTTGACAGATTTACTGGTTGAGCAACATACTGCAACATGAAACTGACTGCAGCATTCTTTCCGCAACTTTGCCTATTAATATCGTTTTCGTCCACAAGAGCAACGTCCTTTCATTTGCAATCGGAACAGTATGTACAAAAAAGTGGGAATTAGCACTGCGGATACCTCATATGAGTAAGTGATCACCACATTAATTCAGAACATCAATTGTCCCACAAATATAGTAGTTGCTGGATGGGCCTATCTTTTGGGTAATCTGGCAATACGCTCCGTCACTTCGTTCGAGGGGGTGTGAAGAGATGCGTGACGGCACTTCGTGAAGTGGAGCACCAGTTCGTAGGTTCACGACTACGTCCCTCAAATTCTCCTTGCGTGCTTTTAGTCTGGCGCGCCATGTAAACTCTTGGGAAGTTTTCTGCTCGGATAGTTCAGAACCGCTAACAGACCCCAGCTTTAACGACTTTTAATGGTTACGGCGCCAGCATCTTAAGCATGGTGACAAATTGAGTAAAAGGCTGAAACTTTGGCCGAATACCGAATTGCCTTGATTGAGATAGCATCGGCAAGGGTGGAAGACGACGTGAAGCAATGTTATCAATGGAATGCAAGACGTCTTCTTCACCCATGTCACATTGTTTTGCTACAGACCAGATCGGGATTTTTCGTTTTGGGTGCAAAAAGTATCAGCATCTAATTGTTGAAGATTATTTGCATTGAGGGGATATTCTTTATATTTTCAACTGTGTGATTCTAAATACCTTCACACGTGTAGTGCCCTCGGTCTTCATCGAATACGAAATGCAACCACGTATTGTCTTGTCAAAAAAGGAGGACTGTTGGTACAGTGTAAGGCCTTAAGATAAGAAAACTCTCTTCAAATTTCCACAAATTTTGCTGGCAACCTTAAAAACATCTATTGTGTACCCTTTTAAATTGTGCTATTTTAGTACTTTTTTAAGTTTGTTAATAAAATAGAAAACTCATTTAACCATTTCTGCTTTATTGTTTGTATGGCAATGTAGAAATCTTTTGCCCTATTTGTTGTGGTCCAAATAAGGTCAGGCCTGTGGCACTACTCAGCCTGGTATTTTTAGCTTCTACCCACATTGACATTGTCATGGTGTGGTCGCCTGTTTCCGATGCGATTAAGTGGAGAAGAGGTTAGTTTTAGTATTTTTTACTACTTTTAAGTTATATCCAAATTTACTGATCCAACGCTTTCGGAGAATTTTTCTATTTCTTTGGGTGATTGGGTTTATGTTGATCAAATCAGTGACGGTTTAAACCAAACACCGTCTTCCCAATGGTACTATGGTTTCAAATGTGGGTCCTCCACAATGCGTGGAGTGTTTCCCGTCTCCTGCACAGAAGAACCTTTGGGCCTAGACCTTCCGGAAATATATGCTGAGATCATGTCCTTTCTACCCATGGCCCAACAAATGTTCTCGGTGGGATTTTTGCCTTATTTAACCGTCTAGGTTGGTGATAGGCGAGTTTTTCATAAGGCGACTATTTACTTGCAAGAAATGGCTGGGTGTAGCGATAAAATGAGGCACTCTTTTAGTCAAGCTGAGTCGAAAAGGCATAAATGTGACGCTCTCGATTTCCTTTCACTCTGCGAGAGGTATTCTCTGTTTTACCTATTATCCCTAGGTACATTGGTTTTCCACTTCAAATACGCTTGCCAAATCCGTTGAGCTACATAAGTGTTCAATTATACGAGGAGTATATACGGAATGAGAAGGAGTCTAAGGAGAGAGAGGTTTATCATTGTATAGTTTTAAACCCCTTTAGAGACCGCGGGGTGATCTTTTTCACATTTGTGTTGAACTCGGTAGATATCCCTCAAACACGTTGACTCTATTTCTGGCATCTCAGTCTATGCGTTTGCCCGATTCCTCATCAACTGGTAGTGGATCTGACCAAGACTCTCACCTTATAAACGTGCACAATCATCTCATTGAATTTTTGAAAGGAAACAACGATGGCACCAGTTTAAGTTCTTTCTCATCTTCGGGGCTTCAGTTTGGTGATTTTTGTCGGATCTCAGAAAATGCTATAATTGAAGGTAGCCGCCGTGAGCCAAAGACATCGGTCATCTTCTCGGTTAGTTTTTTTATTCTACTCAGAAAACTGTATTTTGCAGGAATTAAAACCTTTTAGTCCTTCGGACACACGAATACTCCTGGTTATCATGGCGGATAGAGTAGGCTCTGTCATTTCTAGAAGAGGAAGAAATGCACAAATGGACATTTGTTTGTCGGTCGGCGAAAACGAAAGGTTTCGGCGACCGATGGCAATCGCCTGCTTGGACATAACGAAGGATCTCTTATCTACACTGCTCCCTTTTCACACTCCGCGCTTCCTTGAGCGGCATCCGAGGAACCCACTGGTCTGCCCATCTAGGGTCGTGACACTTCGAAAGCAAGTTTTTAGTGCTCATTCGACTTTGGTCTGAAACAAATATTTGGTCTGCAACTTTTAATGCATTAACACACTTTTCTTCCCCAACACTGACAACTTATTTGCGTGTCACTTTAGTTCCTCCGAAACCTGTCATTCTGATGTCTTGAATAAGCTTGCAAATGAGACTCGGAGTTCCGTTTTGGACATGTTACCTTCTGCTAGTATCTTCAAATCAACTGAGAGTGCTCCTGTTGGCTCCGTTTTACCCCCTTCTTACCCGGTTTCTCAAACAAACATCAGTAGTGATGCATCAGAAGATTTAGACGTTGAAATAAAAAGTGTGAAAACCTTAGATCTTCAGTCGTACCATGTAAGCGAATATGCTATTACTCTCATCAAGCTTACTCATTTTTTCGGTTTTTTGACTGTGTATTATAAATTTAAGGAAACAAACTGTTTTTTTGCTTTCACTCAATGAGCTCCGTGCATTTTATTGCGACGCCTTTTCGTAGCTTGTACGGCGAGAGTACCCGGGCGCCATCATCGCGCGTCCCTATGGAATTTTAGAAGGTAACCTTAGCAGTACAGAAACGATCCGTAACGACTTTTTTGTCACAATCAAGTCAGCTTCCTTTGACAAGACAGCGACGCGCAAGGAATATAATGTTGAGGTTGAGATCAGCCTGCGAGATCCTCATGGCAGGCCTGTAAGTATTTTTGTCATCCAATTATTTTGTTTTATTCCTTGAACAACGCGTCAGATTCACTGTTTTCCAATCGTAGTTTCGTAGACATGGTTTTTGTTATCGGTATGATCAGTTGTAAAAATATATTTGTTGTGAATCTTGAAGTGGTTTTAAACGGATAACGCAAATGGGCGGTGATCACGATCCAGATTTTGAGTCTTTTTCCTACCACTCATGACCTATCAGACAGTACAAGATGGCAATTTTGCTTTATTTTTAGCTCCCATGGATAGAAAGTACCGGAGATACTCAATACGTATCAAGTATATCTGCTTCCCGGAGCCAACCACGTTGGAACGAACTCATCCGCATCGCCATGCCTTGGTCGACGAACTCCTCCAACATGCAATACGCCGGTGATCACTTTTCACAGTTGGAAAATCTACTTGCTGGCTCCACGGTGGCTGAGGACCACATTGAGCCCGTCATATCGTCCTCCTTATCCTTAAGATCTTCTGGACGCTCTGTGACCTTTTCACAGAGAACTCCGACATCAGCTCACTTGCGCTTTATCGTTAGGCATCGCTCAACAGTTTCAGGTTTGCCATTTGTATTGTACATTTTTGCACCACCTACCCTTGCCATTAAAGTTGCTCTCGCTGTGTGCTTTAACTGATCTTACCGAACTCCAATTTCATTGTCGCTTTTGCCACCGGCGTAGCACTAATACCTGAAGATATAATACCGTTCAGGATTTGTGGTCGTTGCTCCGCAGTCTTTTGCGTCAACACTTCTGTTAGTTACCCTTACCCCTACTTCATCCATTTCATTACTGCGTTAACATATCTATTAACATCATACAAGTAACAATGCCATAGTTTGTTCCACCAATCTGATTTCAATCTCCTAACTGGCAAAGATTCTCTAGCTCCATTTGGGGCTATCAGATCGGGATTGTTCGAATAGGTCTCGTTTCCAGTAGGAACCAAGCTGTTTTTGGAGTTGCCGCTGTTCCATTTTTATCACAGTAAACTTTTTAATAGATCGGCTGTAAATTCGACCATTACACCACGGTGTTAAAGCATTTCAACGTCCGAATCGGTCCAAATAGCTTCATTTGGCAAATATTTTTGCCGGATACATTTTCTGTATGATTTTTCAACCAAGTCTCTTTTACGGAGTGACTGCTTGTTTTATTCATTCAAAAAGTTATGCATCCTCGATTTTGTCTTTATTATTTGATAAGTGCATTCTCCTCGAGATTGGGTTTTGATTACAAGGTTATTTTGGCAGTCACAATGGATCGGGTTTATTTATTTGCACATAAGTATGTACCATATGTGAATTTGGGTCGTCGTCGGTTTGTTGTGTGGTTTTTATTACCCGTAATGGTTTCTTTGCCGAATGTGCCAATTTCGCTCTCGTACACTGCTCTTGTGCGATTAAATCATATACCGAAAAACTATTACACTTAAGTGATGGAATGCTTGTGCTCATACTTCGCTTACTACCTCATTAAATCTGATTCTTGCGATTCAAGCTGAGTGCATCCATGCTATTCACTGTGTTTACCACTTGTCTGTTCACGCTTTGAATTACTGTCCTGCTATTGATAATCAGACCAGTACTTCAACTTATCCACCACTACCAAAATCTTTTAATGGCAAACTTCTTTAATTGATTATTTCCTTCGGATGACTGGACTTTTTCAGCCTTCGCGATGCGAACGGTTGTCGCGATTCCTTATTTTAATCGCTATGACTATGGCATTTCATAAATGGTAACATGCATTTACGCTAATTACTTTTGAGAAATTACTGTTTCCTTATCCATTGTTAGTTAAGCTTTATAATCTAGTGCATACTAATTCCGACCACTTTGTCCTTCATTACCTAATATTTCTATTCCTATCTTCAGTTTTCACTTTCGTTAAGAGCCCGACATTTTACGGCTTTTAGCATCAGCAAACCCAAATGCGTCACGTTAGCAAATTCACGACCTCATTAAGGAAATGAACTTGCTCACTTTTTTGAAAGTGCCTTGGCAATAAGGGTGTAAATGTTGCAGTCTCATGGTGTTCATGTGCCCCTATTATTACCACTGACTTTCTTATTATTACGTAGAAATTCCGGTAGGTTGATTATCTCTTACTCTTCTTATTCCCTCACATCTACAACGATTTTCTGTCTCTGCTAACCTTGTAATATTTAAATCATCCACGTTTTGTCTCACGATCCTCCATTTCGGGATTGGTCTCCTTTTTCCCATTGTTCTTTGCAGATAAATTCTAGAAGAATGTCGTTTTGAGATAGTGTCTGTACCCCTTCATTTCAAAATTATAAAAATACTTTTGATCTGATCAAGCGCTCGATTAACATCCTTAATACTGTAGCACTTTCCTTTGAACGCACTTTCTGGCCAATTTTTTGATCCATTCCTTGCAAGGCGCTCGAGGAGCATGAAAATCCTAAATGAAAGCACTTGCTGTTCCATCCCAGGGACAATATTTGTAGTAAAAAAGATTCTGCAAATTGCCGCCTTCCGTCTACCAACCAATTGTACTTTTTGACGGTCCAAAAGCGAAATAACTCAGGATTTTCACTCAATTTAAAAGTTAGTCGTGTAAGAAACGTCAAATTGGTAACGCTTTTAACTCTATTCATTTAACGAATTTGCTTGTCGCGAACAATTTGTGAAAGCGTTTATTTGTATGCGTGACCACATTACTGATCTATGCTCGTTATAATTTTAATTTCAGTAACCACGCTTGTGATGTTCCGTTTGTTACTCCTCTCATAACGGTTTTCAGGTTGAAAAAAGGGTCCTCAATTAAAACTGCCATTAGGTTTACCGAACTCACCAAGTACTTGCTTGACTCTATTTCTTAGTCCTGGGTTGAAGCATCCAGTGGCTCAAGAACCGAAGGTATTTTGTGGAATATAAGTCATGGTAAAGCACTATACGATTGTGGTAAGTCATGCCATTTGTAAGTTATTTGCCCGTCTACATTGTCGATTCACACCGTAGGTGATAATGAGTGACATGTCTAATTTATCTTGTGCATCCATCGTTAGTGGAACATTCTATTCCAGGTCGGTTACATCACTATTCCCCTCACAACACATGTGCCGCATCTAGGGTTCCATTTTTAATGCTTCATTTGTTATTCATATCAAACGTGAACACATGCTTCGAAAAAATGGAGGTGACCTTGGCTCACACTCGATAATAATAATTATGAGGTCCCATATGCATCCAATTATCTTGTGAGGTAAAGGCTTTGCTTACATTTGCAATGTTCTTCAATAACATATTCTGTTTATTCTCTGCTAAAGTGGTTATTGTTTTACACATTTCAGCTATCAGATTAATTTTGTATACACGGCTATAAATCAAGAGTTGGTCTGACATTTTGCACCCTCTAATCTTTGGTATCGTATTCCGAATTTTTCATGTCGGCTATAGTTTCGTTTTTTATGTTGTTTTATTTCATTTTTAGCCTAATTCGATATTTAATGTGGGTAGTTTTTTAAGAAAAATGGAAATTGTACAAATTGCACAAAAATCTAGAACTGAGAAGTTAATTTATTTCGTACATCAGCTTTTGGCTATAGTCACACGCGTCGGCATATTTTTTTCCATAGGAGGTCATTTGAGTCTGATAATCCTTCGTGTTCCCCTCTATCAGGAGGCCCAACGAAAAGCGGTCGTTTTCGCTGGCTTAGATCTCCTAGTCCATCCTTCGGACGAGATCTTAAACCCCTTTATGATTCTGGTACGAGGCATGCACTGTTACCTGCTCACTCGGCTGTTGCAATATTGCATGGCTTGAACTGCTAATCTGGGTAAAAACCCATGAATGGTACAACGTAGAATCGTAACCACTAGCAATGGCCATTCAATCTGACCTTTTGAATTCCGATGTGCACTATAGTATGTTTATTATCAATTACTGACAGTGCGTCATTAGCCAGGTTGACCGTCCCATGGAAGCCAGATAAACGTTTCAGCGACCTAGTCGCTGCTTGCAGCGACAAACGATCGAAATAATCCATCCAGAATGAATACGAAATGAATTTCGTCTCCGGCGGACCAAGTATCCAATGCAATTCTCTGATATATCAGTTTCTTCTGATTCCTTTTTTTCCAGAATGGCATATACCATATGATACAGGGTTTCACCCTACGAAAATTCCTTATAACGATAGTTTTTAAATAATTGCTGCTCGAAAAGGACTTTCGGCGGTGTTAAATATTTGCATTGTGCATAGTATACTTTCGCATGTCAAAATCACCTAAATTAGTGAGTGGGTTACCTTGACGAGCATGCCCATATCACATCTTCGCTAAAGTTCCAAGGATGGAAAATTGGTTTACTCTTCAAGAAAACATTTCCCTACAGCCGTGATAGGCGGAAGCCTCAACAGGTCTGGTCAGCTTCGATGGCTCCGTTCACCGAGCCCCCACCTCTTTCATCGTCAAGAAGACAAAAAAAACCTGGACTTCGGTAGGCGTCTTCTGTTCCTGCTCGTTTCACTCCTTGTCTTGCTAACTAATGGGCACAATAAGCTGCTTTGCCTGTCCTAACCGATTCGGAAAGTTCTTTATGTTATCTGCCTGAATCGCGCACACTTCCATAGAGGCTCACTGTTTGCTTCGTCATAAGTCCCTCGTTAGTATGTCGTTGCTACCGCCTAACCATGTTTTTTGTCCCTCTTGCGGCGTCTGAAAGCCTCAGGTCCTCATATTCTTCTCATTTAAACCTTTTAGCAAAATTCATGATAAGCTTTGACTAATACTAAAAACATAGCTTTTTTATAATTTTTGTATGGTAAAAATAAAGTAGGAACAAACCAAACCAAATGTAGTTATCATGCCGTTTTTCCCTACATAAAAATTATGTGGCTATCCTGTTACCCAAGTTGTGGAAATCGCCTCTATTGTTTTCGCGCGATTCTTATTGCATGTTTAACTGGTAATGAAGAATCGCTAGCACTGGAGACTTTAAATGCTCTTATCATAATTCACAATTGTGTCGTTTCTAGAGCCGCGGGATAAGGTGCTTGGTGTGGCTTTTCTACCCTTGGGGTCACCAGATGAGCACGCCTTTACCAAAGATGGAGACTACTCGCTTTTTATACACAAGGTGAGTTTGTATGAACTCTCGTTTCGTTATTTGTGAACGGATTTGCTGTATTTTATGCTTTCTTTAACTTCTGTTGCCAGTTCTGTCGGAGTTGGTAGAAATCCGGAGTCATTATGCGTCCGGAACTCAGTCAATACCTGCCTTTTATGTGGATGTGTACTTAGTTTGACCAAGACTGCACATATGTGGCTAAACAACGCCTCTGCTTTTTTATGTGGCTGTGACTTCGGAATATGCTGACGATGTTTACACCACAGCTTGACTATGAACTGGACTGAGACAATGTATTACAATAACGTCGTGAATAAATGAGCTCAAGGTCTGCTCACTGTGAGATTCGAGTTTTCAAATTAGTGGGCTGTCTGCCATTTATCCAGCATCAATTAGATGTTGAAGCAGAACTCAATTTCATCCCATGCTTTATGTTAAAAAATATTCGACTAACTGATGATAAAACTGATTTGATGCTAACGCAATTTTGGGATAAAGAATGGGAATGGGTTTCGATTATGCTAATCCATCTAATTGGTTGAGGGTAAGGGACAGGTAGCTGCTGAGGCAATCTGTGTTTTGGCAGAAACGTTTATTGCCGAACAATCTCATTTTTATGAAATTCTGAATTTACTGACTTTCTGTAGCCCAGTTTGCTCTGTTTGCATTCATCAATATCATGGTAAGGTCAACAATTTATCTGCCATATACTCTACTCCCTTCTTTCCGAAAGTGGCAGGGCTCGTATTTCGAAATAATCTAGGTTCTATTTTACCTTTTAGATTTAATTTTGTAATATTTTTTAATCAATGTATGCCTTGCCTATCCTAAATTAGATGGATGAACACGACATTGCTGAATGCAAGTACCTGAGCAAGGAGGCCATAGCCTTCGTGGGACCTGGCAGTATCAACAGTTCGGGGAGTAGTGGTGGAAACAAGAGTTCTGGCTTGGGAAAAAGTGAAAATGGTCTTGCTCACGGCTCAATGGCTGCCTCTCTCTTAAATTCCATGGCAAACAGTTTTTCTGGTCGGACAAGCAGACAGCCGGATACTCTGAATGTTACCACTTTGCTGGCCAGTAACCAATACACCACTGATGGTGGGTCTTTGTTCACTGCTACAGTACTTGTCTCATTCAAGTGCCAAACTGCTGTGTTATTAACTTCACGTAAAAGTACTTTTCCTGTTCAACTGCAAGCGCGTACCAAATGGGAATTGTAGCAGGCCTCAAGTCTACGGTCGCTATTGATTAGCCTGGTTTGCAGCATCCTCCTGTTATCCAGACTCTCGCAGACTTGTCCATCGCTCGATTCTTCATTAAATTTTCGATGGCTTCTAAACGTGGTTATTGAACTCGTTACTTTAGTTTGATTAATTAATTTATTTCGCCCCTGTAGGTGCAGATCCTTTTACTTAAGGTGAGCTGGCAGCAACGCATATTGCAGAATAATGTATTTTTTTTAACCTGTCCCATCATTCGTTAATGCCCTCTCCAGCACTATCGTTGATCTTACAATCTGGAAATAGTTTTAGGATCCCGTATAGCTCAAGTCTACGCTAAATGCAACACGCGTATTGGGCATTTCTGAAATTATTTCTATCTATAGAATCGGAATCTTTAGTAAACACAATGAAGCAAGCAAGGTAAGACGGGTTACAATGTGATATACCTTGGCATCTCACTTAAGTAATATTTGCATACATTTTAAACGATCTGGCCCCAAATTTTACGGGATTTCGATGTTAATATTGTCATCCATATGAGTGCTTTAATTCCCCATAAATATTTCATCCCTAGACTCGGTTGGAGAATTTTGTTTTTTCTTTGTAGCTGGTGGCGACAGTTGTTGCATGATTCACTTTTTATAAACAGCGTTTGTAGTAGGTCGATATGTCGTGGGCTCTAAGGTACGCAGTCACGTTCACGTCAGCCTCCGTTCGCCACATGAATTACGTTTTGCTCTATCACGCGGCTGCCTGACCGCCGGTCGGGTTTTCTTTGCCTAGTTCTTAACCCAGGCTCCAGCAACGTTGCCCTATTGTCACATGTCAACTAGTTTCATTTTTCGTTTCGGATCCGGACTCTTATGGTGAAAAATAGCGCTTTAGAGTCAGGTTTATTTTGTAACCTATGACAGCCTCTGTTCTTTTATAGTACCAGAAAGTTCTTATCGTGTGCATTGAGGACAGTAAATGTATTGGTGCTTTTCTCTGGCACTCTTCCGATGCATGCGAGTTGTTATTATTTTTGAATTCAACTCTAGATAACGAGTTTTAGCATCGGCCAATCGTCTGGTTTGCAATTTTCTGCGTTGACTGCCCCAAGGAAGAAATTTTATCTGCTTAAGTAATCAGTTGTCGGATTAAGTTCGAGGGCGATGCTACTAATCCCATGACTGTAGAATCGTTGGCCACCCCTGTTTGCAGATCTTTCAGTAATTTTTGTTCATCAGTGTTTTTTAAAGACCTGATTGTTTGCCTCGGTCTTCATTTTTGATAATTGCTTCATTATCGCGGGAATTTAAACATTTAACCTCAGTACATCGTCCTAAGTTACCTTGCTTCACGAGGGGTTCGCGGTCAGCCTTCTTTAATGGATTCTGTCTGTTGAGGCTCGTCTATGCTTCATTTCATACTCCGTGTAGTCGTATTAGTTCCGTCAATGTGTCTTTCGTGTGAATAATGTTACTTTTTTTTTCCCAACTTTAAATAACTCAAGGATCTTGCTTTGTTGCCGGCGCATTCCCTACGTGGATGTGGCAATTTTCGACGTTCATTCATCATGAGGCGATTAATCGTATCCTTTGGTGCGTCTGTCGGCATCCTCTCAGAACTTGTCGTCTTGCAGTGCCACAGTTCCCACATTTCAACACGTCGTGTGAAATTGAATTTCTCGGCATATTCTTTTGAGACTCAAGTCTGCGATGGCGAAGTAACCTATGGTATTGGCTTAGCCACACCATTATCAATCGGTGGATAATCCCAAATATCCTTCGAAGTTATCTCGTTCAATTTTTAAATTCCTTGACGGTTCAGTTTATCTAGCAGTGGCAAAGGCTGCGACTTGCCGGAAGATTGTGTTTAATTGTGGATTTAATATTGGTACCTCAGTTTAAGCCTTAAATTGCATTATCAAAAATGACACTCCTTAAGCAAATAAAAGTCGTTCCTGTCTTTCACCATCTTAAAACCTTTTTCAGCATGAGGATGGTACTGTCAGGAGAATTTTTTCATTGCCTCTTGAAAAGCAGACCGATCGTCTTCTGCAGTTTGATTTGAATTTTATGTGAACTATGGGTACGAGGTTGTAATGGTCATTACTTTTATACAACCGATAATATGACTGCTTAGACACTCCGTGCTGTCAGCTATAATTAATGGATGAGTTAGCTGAACTAATGTATTTGCTTTCTAGGCAAAAATGGAAATTTATAACCTGGAATGTTAAGTAAATTCCCTTGACTGGTTTAGCTTGATAAGTCCAATTATTTCCTGAATATGTTTACTGTTGAAGGTATCGTTGCACTAGCTTACTTCCGATCCCAGAAGTTTACTGCATTGCCACTACATTTTATTTAGCTGGCCATAACTATTCCTTGTTCAGATATACGTTATCAGTTTCCTTACCTTCATTAAGCAGTTATAAAGTATTCCCTCCCATGTACCCGAGGGAACAGTTCTCTTTAAATTGGCGTGTAGCATTATATGTATAAGAACAGGGACTGTGTTAAATCTCTTATAGAGCATCTAGCAAAAATTCTTTCGTGGCGGGAGAATATGGACGATGTTGTATTCTGCCTGAAACTTCTAATATCACATGCCGAAAAGGAAAGTGAATTGAAAAAGGCAAGTGAACTTACATTAGTGCTCCTTTTGTTGTTTTTGTTTTTCAAGTAAACCGAGTCAGTAGCGTTTGCAACACATTTCTGCACGTTTTGTATGCCGCACTAAGAAATATGTCGACTTTTTCCCAGCCGCAGTTCACTCGATTTACGTGTCCCAACGTATTTTTAGGTGCGCGCTGTTCTGTTCATGTACCATCTATGCATTGAATCAATTTAAGATTCCTAATCAGGATTTATTCATCATTGAAATTTTCTTTTCAAAACACTTCCATCTTGCTAGCAAATCTGAGGGACTTGGTAAATACGTGAATTCATTGTATGGCCAGTATTCTTCTTCTGATCAAACACTTTTTCTGTGTGCTCGTTATTCCGTTTTTTAGTAGTTTTATTTCACTTGCTCCACTTTTTCTATATTTATTTCCTAATCGATTGATCTTGTTCAATGCAAAGCAGCAGTCCCAATTCGTTTTGAACTTTATTATTTATTTCCTTATATTTGAATAGTATTTGTATCTGTTAAACTTTAACACGGATGTAATAAGTGATTTACTAAGATTAAATTCGTTTATGTCCTGATAATGTGCCTTTGACTTGCTGTAATCATGTGAGTTAATTTACCGCGATCTAAACGGAGGCTCTGGTTTCTGTTTTGCTCATTTTAGTTCCGCATTCAACTGATTGACTGTCTTCTACAAATCCTCTCCACAAGTGATGCGGTGGAGCCCAGTATTCATGTGCAAGAGCTGCATCATTTCACCGTCGCTTTGTTGGCGCGCCTCTACAGGGAATTAAATACCAACACAGTCGCATCAGAATTGTTGGAGAAGTACTTACAGAGCTCTGTATTCGTCTACTCAGGGTTGCATCTCAACTATCTTCAAGTCTTTATTGATCTTCTCTCGCGGAGTGTGCCCTCACGGGCCAACTCAACGACGCCTGCTACGGAGGGCGGCCTCATCGACGTCAGCAAAATTTGCACAGTCTTTTCTTGGGCCTTCAAATTTATAGCCAAATCCCGAGTATGTTTTGCTTCGGTGCCACGACCTTAAAACTGTGAAAGTCAATGCGTGTAGGGTATTCTGAATGTTGTTTCCCTTAAATGGACTTCCAGATCTTAGTAATTTTTTCGGTGGGTTCCTCTTGTGATTTCACGGTACTTTGATGTCATCAAGTGTCTATGGTCTTCCTAATGCGTCAACGCGAAGAACTCCCTTCTTATTTAGGATGAAACCGTCTCTAAAAGCGATGATAAGACGTAAAAGTAAAACAAAGCAAATCCTGTGAGAGTTTGTGCATGTTTTTAAGCCATACTTTAAAGTGTTTTATGAACGTTAGAACCCTGTAAATAGGAATTCTAGTGTTTTTGTAAGACCTTTAATCTACCCTCAAGTAAGACCATCTGTTGATGTCAACTCTGTTTTCTCAAGGAACTAGAAATTCAAAGAATGAGAACTGAAAATCCTGGAATGCTCGAAAAAGCGGAAAAGCGATTTACCAATGCTGTTGACAATTTCTTTGACGTCATCCTCGATGTGGCAGTAGTGGACAGTGACCAGCTTTTAAAGGTACGTTGATTGTTTACCTAAATCGTACCGTTGGGTTTGTTATCACCGCTACTTTGGCTTATTGTATTCTTCTAAAAATTCTTAATTACATCCATAAATACCAACGGTTACTTGAAATGCAATATTTCTAAATATAACAAGATGGGAAGTTTTCATAAATCCTTCAATGCAATGTCTATATTCTGTGCATCCTTCTCTTCATCGTGTCGATTCTTATGCTATTGTCATCCTTTCTTTATTGAAACATTACTCTGTCGTGAAGACTGAAAGCTTTTCTTTTTGTATTTCAATGCCATCTGATGATCATGTGTTGATGTTCGTTTTGGTAAACCATCAGTCAGGTATCAGTTTTGAAGTAAGCCACTTAGGCATTCACTAGTGCCTCTTTAAGTCGTGGTCAATACAAATAACGTTTACTGAACTCTTCTTGTAGAAGGCGACTCGTTCTGCCAATGTATACATTTAATGCTTTTAATGTTACCTGCGATACACAATAACAATAATTGCGCAAGGCCCTTTATGAGTGGGGAGTACTGTGAATGTATGCGCCAGTTTGAATCATGGTTGACTTTAGAGATGCTATTTTAACATGAGGCATTAACGATTCGTCTTCTTTTATCGACTTCTGCATAGAGTCACATTTTCAAGCACATTTCGGAGACGATAGATCCTCTGGCTCTTGTCTACTCCCAACGGAGTCTGACAAATTACCTGGAGCGTCTGGTGCAGCGCACCATTCAGTGTCCTAATTTGCCCAACCACAACATACTCAGTGGCTGTCTTCGCTCTGTCCTCATGGAGGATACGGAGTGTCGGAAAATTCTCGTGCCACCTATCATTACTAATCTCAAAAAATTATTCAGCGCAAATCTTGATATAGTAAGAACCCCTTTATTCCCATCCCATTTTCAATAATTCCGGTAATTTTCATTCTGCTTCGATTTGTTTAATCTTCGAATGCAGTTGTCACATATCGTTGTTAGTCATCTTTTATGAGTAAATTCCCATTTTACGTGTGAAAAATGGGATTGCCGATTTGAAATCAAGAAGTCGGATACGTTGTTGGGCATAGCATACCAGTTATGAGCTAGCTGCTGACCATGAAAATAACACCGAGCGGCCTCCTTTGCGTGTGTTTACTTTAACAATTATTAATAACTTGTTATCACAGCATTAGTCTTATGAGTTCCAAAGTATTTTGGATTACGGTCGCGCGAGCTCACTACGCGCTTTGCATGTCTGCTTAAAAGTTCTTGGGTTATAATGGTTTCTTAATGTCCTCACTTTAAATCGACTTTTTTCACAAAGACTCACGCAGTACAACTTATCATTACACAAGAAGCTGCTATTTTTGTCATCTTTCGAAGTATCGAACTGGTTTGTTAATATTTATGCTTTTTCATCAAATTCCAATCATTCAACGTTTTTATCCAGACTTTGGAGCCATGTCGGTCAGAGACGAACTCCATGATGACATATTTCTGCAACATTCTCACACTCTTCATGGAGCGTTTTGTGAAGACGGTGATTGCCTCCTCTGATACTGAGTCGACGGATTCGGTCTCCGGAAACCGCGAGTTTCACCACCAATTCGTACAGCAGGGCCTTTTGAGATGGGTGATGCACGAGTATGGTCGTATTCTACTATCCCTTCAAAGGACGGCCTCTTCTGCGCCGAATTCGAGGCCGGCATCGTCGGAGCTAACATCCACCACTGGACAGACGCTGCTCGCCACTCAGTCACCTGTCAAATCGCGCTTCCTATACCTCCAACCAGTTTTGGTGGGTTGATTGATAGTTTTGCTTGGTGATTGTCCTCTTTAACACCATTAACCTTTAGCTTACCTCATCGAGGTTCAAAAACAATTTTTCGGATCTATTCTACTAGTGTGTGTGGATAAATGGCAAAGGATTTAAGCCTTGTTTTTTCATTTACTGTTCAAATCTAGGGCTGTCTTGCAAGTGTTTTTACAAGCATTTTGCAACAAATACGATCCTCTGACTGGGAAGCGCTTCTTACACCGAAACATCAACCACGTCTCAACTGCACCTGCGCCACATGCGTAGGACTCGAACTTACTGAAACAAGTGATTTTCTGCACGAGCTCTTCTTCATATTCCTCCTCTCTCACTCATGGCCGGCTTACCCTGGGCTTCATGGAACCAACAGGTATACGGCTTACGATTACTCAGGTGCATCAAACACTCATTCAAATAAATATTTGATGCTTTTACGACATTCACATCCGAAGAACAGTTCATTCACTTATCTACAAACGATGCTTGGAAAGAAACTCATTTTTATCGTTCCCATTCCTTAAACTACTTCAAAGTAATTATTTGCAATCAAAATCTCGACGTCTGTTTTTGTGTAGGACTTTCAAATACCATAATTTGCCAGCGCATTTGGTCAGCCCACTGGCATCAGAGTCCATGAGCGAACAGCCCTGGGTTGAAATGCTAGCTCTCCAATCAACAGTGGAGTTGGAGACTATGAGGGTCATTTTCAAGGTCTGCATGCAACCCTATTTCATGTGCAGTAACTCTTCCCCTGGGAAGCTGGATGCCGGCCAACAGAAGTCTCGCCTTCTCATCAATTCGTTGCAGCGGTGCCTTGGTAATTTCATCACTACGCAACCACATTTGTGGCTGGAAGAGCTACCCACAATTACTGTAGTTGCGACCGCACCTCGTCTCCCCAATGGTTGCTTGGGTGATCTTAGGGTCTTCGCAGTCCGTTTGTTGGAACGACTCTGGCAAGCGATTGGTAAATTCCTTTCTAATTCATATTATTGTAGGATTTGTTTATTCTTATACACCGGTGGGTCTACCTTACAGTTCTCTAAATCGGAATGCTTGATTAGGTATGCAAAGTAAACTAGTTGTTGTATCTGTTAGCGGGTTTCCTTAATTGTAGGTCAGCCTCATCAGACACGCTACATGGAATACTTCATTCCTACTGTTATAAGCGCATCGACTGAACCAGTTTCAGGTAATGCATTATATCAACTATATGAGACCCGGATTACTGACATCGTTGGCACATAGTTACTTCAGACATTTGGTTAATGCTCTTTGGTCATACTGGTGAGTAAAATCAGGTGCTCAGGTAGTGCGATAGTGATGCGTTATCCTAAATGAATGCAATCTTAGAATTTAAAATGGGATTTAATTTCAAATTTAATAATATCTAAGTGACCTTTTTTGTGATCACTTGTCAGCAATGGAGACCGTTAATTAGTCAATAAGCTGTTCATTATGGATTTCAGAGTAGTAAATAATGAGGCGTGCAAGTAAGCCTTTGAATTTGTTTTAATTTCAGAACTGCGCAAAATATGCGTCAAAATGCTTGTTGATATGCTGCGTGTAAATCCTCTGGCCGCTGAGCCCTTTCTCATTAGAGATATAGATAGAGTAATGAATTGGGCACTACCCGAGTTCTCCACCGAAATACTGAACCTTCTTGAAGCAGAGGTTCCTGACGGCGCGATCGAGAGTCTAGGTCGTCGGATTTCAATCGGCTTACGCAGAGGAGCGCCTGTCAAATTCTCTCCCTCGAATCTCTCAGTTACTACGGAGAAATCAAGGACCCGGATCTTGGGTGACATGATCCGACAGATCAATTACCTTCGGGAATACAGTGAGGTCATCACTAGACGATCAAAGCTTAGTGGAATGCTCGCAATTAACAATTTGAGGGTAACCAATTCGAAACACTATAACGAATAATTTCTATCACGTTTTTTTTCATGCCTTCATTCAAGGTTTGCCTGAGCAATCTACTATTTCGGCTTCGTGCTTATACACGTTTTTAAATTGGTTGATATTTGATAACAAATTCTAATAGAGAGATTATTTTAACGTATGGTGACATATACTTGGCTGTATTCATTACTTTTATACACTACTTCCATAATCTACCTTTATATCTTGTAACCGTTAGCACGTTTAGTTTAGTTCTAGTTTATCTACGCACAATTACCGAATCCTCATGATTTTGAAGTTCGTTCCAAGTCTTATTTTTACCTCTAGACCTATTATGACTCTATCAAGAGAAAGGACATGACGATTCGATATCTTTTTAAATTGGAAGAACTGCACGAGCAATCCGAAAATGATATAGAAAGAGGCTATACACTCGAACGAATCAGCGGACAGTATTGTGTGAGTCGTCGTTGTTTTTAGCTTCACTGCTAAAAACAAATTATTTTGTGCTGCGGCCTCTCCATTGCTTTTTCTCGATTTTTCTGGATTTTTTTCGTAAAATTGCCAGAGATGTCCTGCCCAGCCTTGCTAGAAATTTCCCTTTTTGCTACTGACTTCTGAACATTCCAGAGGGGCCTGCAGACCCGCGCTCGTTCGTTTTCCTTGATTGGTCAGTATTACGTACGGGTAGACTTTAAATGCACCAGTAATCTCTGTAAGACCGAAGCAAACTAAACTACCATAAGTAGGCGTGAATAGTACCACCACGCTACCCCTGACAGTCTACGCCTACAGCTTACTCAGACGTGTAGGCAATATAAACCTCGGTGGTGCCCGTGTTCGCGCACCCTAAATGGCAGTTTATAACAGAAATATTACTTATTGATCCTTTGAATAGTTAATGCTGTGGTTATTCATTTCGTTCTTTTATCACTGACATTTTGAGCTCAAAAATTGATCGGTAAATCGTGCGTGTTTGCACTTTATAAAATGTTTCATCCTCCCTCTCCTTATTATAATACCTGTTTCTTAATCAAGCGGTTTACCTAGTCATGTGACAGTTATTTGCTCTGGTTACACATCATTTAATTATGGATCGAATGTAAACATGCATTAGCTGATGTTGCTTTGAGGCTAGGGCACCCATATTACGGTGAAGTGGGTTATGACATGTGTAAAGGTGCTTTTCTGTCTTAGTGGTCGTCCAACTCGGTGGACATTAGTGAGGTGTCTGATCGGTACGCTGACCTGGGCATTATCTCCTCCTCCGCTCTCAAGGAGGCCCTCCTCTTGGATGCGCTCAAGTACTTGAAGGCCGGTGGGGACTGGAAGCGCGCTATCGACGTTTGCGATCAGTTAACTGTCTTCTACCGAGACGTAACTGCGGACCTCGTCAGTTTAGGTGCTATCCTCGTAAGTTCCTGCGTTTTAATCTTCCTGCTTCGTCACTCCTCTCTTTTTCGTTAGCTGATATTTGACTGTTCATCTAACTCTTTATCAAAGGTGGATGCACTTTGTCAAAATTATCCCTACTTCACCATCTTTTTGTTACTTTAGAATGAGCAGAGTCAGCTTTACACAAACTTTGTCAGTGGAGGGGCTAGAAATCAGTGCTGCTACAAATACTATGCTCTACACTTCTCCACTCGCCAAGATTCACCGGGTTTCATCGGAACAACCGTCGTTTATCGCACACTCAGCCAGTTGAACGAAGTGAAAATGACCCTATGTGAACAGTTCCCCGAGTACCACGTCGAAACTCACAATCCGCAGCCGCTGACTGCAGTAGTGACCCAGGTTACGGACGAAGTTCCTACTATACGATTGGTGGGGAATTTGCAACCTGTTCCCGAGCTGCCTCCTAATTGGGCCTCGGGTGAAGCGGCTGCGAACCTTTCTCCTCACATTAAAGCGTAAGTCGCCCCTTCCAACTATCTCATCTTCGTAGCCATTTGGCTTTCCCAGCTAACTGAATCTTTGACGTTCTTTAAACGACTCTTAATGTTCCGATGTCATAGTTTTGCCTTATTGAGCGTTATTACTAGGTTTATCAAACCGCTCATTTTATGTCACTAAATTATCTCTTTTTTCAGTTACTATGACTGGAATCAGGTTCGGCAGTTTACTCGAACATATCATTTCAAGCCCTCGAAAAGTGTATGTTCTTTGATGTGCTTGTCAAGACTGTTTTCTATTTAATTAGGAAATTTGACACTTTGCAACGATTACTTGTTTTGTAATTATAAAAACAGCATGTTGGGAACACCTCGACAAGCACTGGCATGAGTAAATTTATCCAGTTACGAATTGTTACTAACGTGGAATATGCCGTAATGGCAAAACTTATTTTTAGGCGAATGGAAAGGAAATGCCAGTCGCAGAAGAGGTCCGCTATATTCTCAGCGAAAAGTTGCCAAACATCGTGTCTTTTATGCCAGTTGAAGACATCACCACCGTGAGTTTTCTCGTGTTCTTCCACTTTTGTGGCGCACCACTGCTTTTTTATTCTATTCCCTCTTAAGCGGCCTATGCGACAAATTAAAGTACTGGCATTTTTGGTTGATTTTAGGTTAATATATTATTTATTATACTATTTATAATAATGAGAGCCATTATTTAATGAATTCATTTTTTCAGATGCGTATTATTAGCCATTCATTTGCATTCTTTTTTCAGCGAACTCTGAGCAAAGCGGAGTTGGTGGTAAATTTAGTGCAGGACATGTCCCGATCACTTAGTTCTATGATTGCAGAAATTACTTCCAGCACGAATCCACAGGCCCTTCTGTCAAATTTCGTTGGCAAATTGAGCACTTCAATTCATTCCCCAGTTAGTGGAGGTCTAACTGCGCTCTTAGTGAGTTGCTTCGAATGTTCACTTATGATTTTTAAAGAGGATTTTTCTCGTGCCTTTAACTGAACAACTAGTCTATCCCCTGAGAACAGGTCCCTTTAAATACAATTAAACAAATAGTCATTGTTTTTGCAAGTTCACCTCAATTTGAATGTTAGTTTATAAGTCGCAATCTTTAAGTTTCATCTTTTTCAAAGCCTTTACATATGATTACTTGTTTTAAGCTAATCTCTTCCGAAATAAATTAACCTATATGGTGAACGATCAACTAATTTTATCCACTCTTTCGCTATTACACTGATACACAGTGAATATGTAATGATCCCATTCGTTTTCAATTCCTCTATGCAGACCAGCGTAAACCTTGTGGATGATTCAGCAGATGAGCGACAGTCAGAGCAGCTTTCAGATGCCATTTTTCAACTTCTCCAAGTTCAAGCTGAAGGTCTCACCCTTTGTCGTAATTTCGAAGCCTCCTCTGAAGCGGGTGGGCCGATATCAAATCTACTTCCTACTATGTTGGAGCAGTTTCGCTCTCTCATACACGAAATGAGCATGAAGTTTGGAATCAGCGTCTTCCAATTGCAGGAACAAATGCAGTTTGGAAGTTCGGAACGCACTCTCCTGACGAGTGGCGCTGCGCATACTAAGTTTGTTGTGCCGCTCTTCGACCACAGTTTCGATATTTATAAGCTTTAACTACTCAATATACTCTTACTGGTTTGCACTGAAAGGTAAATACTTAAATGTTTGGTAAAAAAATGCACTCCTAGTGCATTGTGTTCCGAGATCTTGCTTCCATAAACGCCTGCAATGTCTGGCCTTCGATAATGATATCACTTTAATAGGTCAAACCATGCTTCGATGTGATTGCGAATTTTGAAGTGTGCTTGGCGCTTCGGCTTAACTATAACTTTATCCTCAAGTTCATATTTGAATTAGATACCAATTTTCATTTTCACGCCATTTCATGACATTATTTTTTGCTCTGAATTTGCTCATTCGCAAATTGTCTTTACTTCTGCTTCTAGTCCCTATCGAGCTGGCAGAGTCTATCGAAGGGCGCCGGACATTCCCAATTCGTCTCAATCGATTCGAGCGCGTACAAGTTTTCAGCGGGTCAAGGAGAGGCTTATTTTGCTCGTGCTTTTTGTTGCATGTCATTACGTAACATTGGCCTGTGGACTCGATTCGTGTTCAGTGTTTTTGAGGTCTAGGGACAAGTCAGTCTCAAAGAGAAACCGGAAAGCTATTCATTTTAGGCTACAGTGTTTGTGCGATTAATAGTGTAACTCAAGTGTTCTTTTGATCTCTATAGCACTAAATACATTTAATGAGTTCGTGAATTTGCTTTTTTATTTCTTTACTTAGGAAACTCCCTTGATATGATTTTGAAAATTGTCATGGTTTGTTTTTCACTTTCATACAATTGGATAGCCGTTTGCAGATGCTAATTTATCTGCATATCAAAATTGAAGAAATGGGTTCGCCCATTCAATACGTATGCGAGAGTGTGCTGGTAGTTATTTTTGAACTCCATATAAACTGTCTGCTTTTAGGACCTGAACTTCCTGGATGACAACTGTTTGGGTGAGTTTCCTCCAACGCAGCCTTGTTCGATCCTATTTCTGACTTAGATTTGTAATCAAAAGATATTATTGAGGATTAAAAAAAACAGTCAACCAATCAAAAGGCATCAATAGTGTTCCACTTTTTGCATCAATGGGCAGACTCCCCTTTGAGTCCTCCATCGGAGGAGCCGAGGAAGACCTATGCCACCTCCTTGCTGCCACAGACACCGCCACCTCTACCGGAGCGGCCTTCCGACCTTTCCTCACTCCACGACATCGCGGGTGAAGAGGCCTCGCGCTTCCCCCACATCGACTCCCGACGCCCGCCTTGCTCTTTGCTCCCCGAACCTGATCGTGCTGCTGGCGCCGTCTCCTCTCCCTCCGATGCTGCTCCGCCTCCCTTGCCCAAAAAACCTCCCAAGCCGCCACCACGGAGTAAGTGAACGCTAGTCCCTCTAATGTATACTTGTGGTTTTCGCTTCTTATCTCCTCCACGTAGCAAGGTTTCACACAAGATACCCTTCAACTCTTTTTTCCAATTGGGTCCTGGAAAGCACACCCAGAGAACAATATTTACGATCTGTTTAATCAACTTAATATGCGAGGTGCATGAATGCTTAATCACATATTTTATTGCCTTTGAAATTCCGATTTTAATTAAGAAAAAATTTCCGTTTTTACGTTTGGCTTTTGTGCGCCGGATTCGGTTAAACCCATCGGAGTCGGTTCGCCTCGCTAAGTGTCTACCTTCTCTCTCCAGTGTTCTGCATGGGTTTGATTCGATTTGTCATCATGTTTTGTAGGGTTTATCGGGGGTTTTGGATACGCTCCTCTCGGTGTCAGATGAGTTGCAAAATGGGTAGGAACTCTTTGGGGGGACCTGTGACTAAACCAATTCAGCGGACCCTCCGGTCTTGCAAACTAAACTAGTACAGTTGAATCATCAATTTTTCATTTATTTCAGCGTCCGTATATCCGGTCACCTAGATTCCAAGCGCCGGTTTTTGTCGCATACCTATCCAACGGCATCCGTCGGCATTGCAATCCATCCTTATTTTGCTGCAATATACCAACAACCAGTGCCTTTTTACCTATTTCACCGCCCCTAATTTCTACCTTAGATCCCTCTCACCAAACTATTTCTAATCTATTTCTTCAGTTCAAGGTCTTTTATTGTGTAAAATTTACCAAAAATTTCCCCTGGGAATCCTCCTGCAATTTTGATTTTGCAGCTATTATTCCCCTTTTTGTGAATGGATTGATGTATGATCTACAATTGTGCATTCTTTTATCTGTGGCAACGACCTTAATACGAAGTCTAAAGCGCCTAGTGCCACCTTCTGTGTCCACTAGCACTGAATCCGGCAAACGCCTGTTGTGATTGCTTGAGTTCTGTTCATCACATTTGAAGACTCAGCTGTCATACTCTTATTACTGAGTAGGGTCTGCAAGGTCAAAGTACGACCATACAAATGGGGGCTTTCATGCTTCTTTATTCGCGTACTAATACGAAGACAGACGTTCTTGATTTCCCCATGGCGCAGATTAGCTGGTGTTAAACACCCGATCGTCAATAAATTTCTGTTAAAGGTTAGATGTAGGCCGTGTGAATTACACACCAACGCTTAATGACGCTCTCATCTGCGTAGATATCAAGAATAGGAGCTCATTTATTCTTGATCTTAGTTCCGCTTTAGCAAAATTTCCAGACGCAGGTGACCTACGTTGACGTCACCCAACCAACCTTAGGTTACTCAGTGTTGCGATATGAAGGTCAGCAGTCTGGATAAAACACCAGGGCACACCACCCACACTAGACATATAGTGGTCCTATGGGTTCCGTTCGGTACTAGGGCCTGTTTTGAGCGTTCAGCACATCTTTACAACCACCTTAGGCTACTGTTTAACTTATGCCTATTCAATTACTTTTCCCGGCTACCGAAAGAATAACCTCTTTTCAAATGTAGGTGCGAGTTCTCTCATCTAATACCTTGAGTTTATCAAAGGAGCTGTAAACCAAGAACCTCACCACTCGTTAGGCGATTTCGGAGACATGCAGTACGCATTCACCCCATCATATAAGGTTTTAACTATTCTTACTATGCGATCACTTGACATCGTATATTTGGAACCAACAATACTCATCAGATGTAGACTGAAGCTGCAACACGTCCTCCCACATCAGAGGCCTATGGCCATCGCTATACTTTGACAAAATATGAAATCCAAAATATAGCTAACGTTGTGATTCACGAATTATGTAGTTTACCATGGCGTCTAATAGGATCGGGCGGCATACCTTCACATAATAAATAAAACTGGGTAGTGGACGGGGGTTTCGATTCAGGCAGCTAATTTTGATATTACTCAAAACAACAGTAATCCCCATGTAATGGTATGACGATAGGATGCTATGCAAAGTCACTCAGTGCAATATTTCGGCAAAATAGGAGCAAACCAAAATAGTAGATTTAGAAAGGACGTCAATGTGGCACTAGTTGGCTAGATTATTAACAGAGTGAACCATTCAGGTCCAAGGAAGAAAGTTTGAGTGCATGAGGCAGCCAATGACAATATAAGAGTAAAAGTAATACAGTAGCGTCCGCTGGGATGACCAAGGGGGATAACTCAGCGGATTGACAAGGCGGAACAAGCCTATCAGCTGGCGAGGCATCGAGCTCTCCATGGTTTTTGCCTTGCGTAGATGCGACCTCCCGAAGATATTATCTTGTTCATTCAATAACACAGAGGCGCAATACCAGTACAACACTGGGCATGACGAAAAGAGCATTCGCGTGAGAACCTAAATAAAAGTACTTTTACCCACCAATAGGAATTCTGAAAATATCGCAAATGACAGAAACATCGCCATAATTCTATTTACTATGGGGGCAGGAGACATCACTCATCAAAATAAGATCCACTTCAAACTAATCAAATAGGCAAATGGTACGAAATCTCGCAGTACCATCAACAAGCACACGATCTCTAAACCGTGTGATTTGGCTTTGAATGAAGGTGCAATAAAAGTGCGTTTCAAAGAGGAAGACAACTAACCTGAATGTGGACATTAATAATGCCGTACATGGAAAGAAAGAGAGCATGATAAATATGCGGAACCAGAAGCTGATGCTTTCTGCTATCCTCAAGTAGTCCAAAGGAGAAGATTGTCTTTGGGGTCTTTCGACCAAATAAGCTAACTATCTTGAAAATTAGGAAGAGCACTGGCAGAGCTAGAAGAAAATTTGGCAACTGTCTCCACCGGTAATAACTGAAGGCACCAACGTCCCAAAATTTTTTTTGGAGTAGCATGTACGAAGACCAAGGTACACCAGCGCACCAAACAGGTTGAAATGATGAATTGATTGAATATGGAGTAAGAACTCCAAGCTCATTAGCAAACTCCTCCAATTCCGGACCCGGTTTCTTCGGCAGCATAAAAGATAATGAGGCGGGTTTGGGCAAGGTGGAACAATAGAGGAACCCAGCGTAGTATTGGTATATCAAGTACGGGGAGCTCATGCAAAGAAATATCGCTAAAAGCGCCAGAAAACGATGGAACACAGCCATTGTTGCTGCGGAAACTGGTAGAGGTGAATGTTTGGCAGAACCACGACGACCTTTCCCGTACAGAGACCTCAACTTGTTTACAAGTAGGATAAATTGGAAGAAACAAGGGAATCCACAGTTCACTAATCCATTGCTACGACAGAAAACGGTCATGGAAAGGATTAGGCATCCAGTCACATATTTACATTCATAGGTCCAGATGAGAGCTGATAAGAATAGAAAACTGTACAGGGCTTCGGAGTAAAGTGTGGTGAAGAAAACCGAGGCGGGATTAATCGCAAAGAGAAGGGCAGAAACAACAGACAAGGAGTCACTCATCAACAAGAGCTTGGAAAGACGATACATTTGGACGGTACACAGCAAATTGCAAAAAAAACTCAAAACGACTCCAACAAGAATGGAGTGCGTCCAGAAACTCCATAAGGGCAAGAGGGTGTACGTTAATGAGGAAATAAGTCTCAGGAATATGGGAAAAAGAGGAAAAAATGCGAGAGTGTTTTCAAGGAGGTAACCATTTACAGCTATAAAGTGGAAATAGATCGCATCCCATTTGTGAAACCCATCCAAAGTATACCGAAGCAAACAATCAATCTTGGACGTACAAGAAACTTCCGGTGGTTCAAATGCGTCAGCTCTGTAATTTGGGAGAAGGCTTGAAAGAATCTACAAGTTACAACTCATTAGAATAGCCGGATTCTTACTAAGAGAATTATAACCAACAACTTAACGATGGCCGCAAAAGCAATAAGGTTCTTGCATTCACTCTTCATCACATAACACCAAGCTCAGAAAAAGCTGAAACAAGATTGCGGATGAACCCTTGAATTCACTGAATTTTTATAAAAGAAAGATGATAACCGTTTTTGAATTCAGCCTGCAAAAGCTAAAAGGGCACGCCGCACCAAAACAGTGAAATTAATGAGCTTTAAGCAAAACCACAGAGGCTAAGGCAGTACACTAGGCCTGAGCAGTCTTGAAAAAGCACAATTAACATACCACATTTTCTCAATTTAGTTAGAAAAGGTGACGAAGTCCATTAAAACCAGTGTTAGTGGTAACCCATTGTGAGAATTTCAATAAGGTTATGAGAACTTCTTTGCAGATCCCTCTAGACAAATATGCTAATTTACACTACTTTTTTGCACGGACTAAGAAAAACTTAAAATCACCTCAACGTAGCTTGACATCTGCTTACTTTTGGGACTGTTTTACAAATCAGAATCTTTTCTCGTTACAAAATAATCCAGCAGTCCTTCTTTTGACGTGATTTTTTCAAACTCTACCTAAAGCTAAGAAGCTTGTTTTAATCAACAAGCAATTAACAAAAATGTCTAAAATTATCTTCTGATATTCAAAGCAAGTAATTTTTGGCACCGCAAAATAGCAATAAATAACAAGGTTTTGCCATCTTGTTTTTTTGCTATTGCACACCTTTGCAATTTCAACGCGCTTTGCTTATAATGATCGATAGTCGAGAGGGGCATTCAAGTTTTCTTGCTTTTCTGCGCTTTTTACTAGTGCTTGCTACCCTAGGTATTTCATCCCGCTTAATTGATTTGCCAAATTACACAGTGTCCATCAGTTTTTATTTATGTACTTTGGTCTTGCTATTGGTACACTTATTTTTCACTTAGAAGTTGGTCTAGTCCCTTTTTATTCTGTTGACCTTCTGTGACGTCAGTAAGTTCCCGTTGGATGTAGACCAATGACATTTGGTGCTTTACTCGGCTCCGGCAATCTACTGCTTTTGTTGTTTCGGGTTTGCTATTGCTCAGTTACATTTTACTGTATTACTACGTTGGACCCCATTTTTCGTACTTTGTTGGGGGTATATCTTACTCAGGCCTTGCATGGCTCTTCCTACTTATTTTTTTTTGCACTTGAGTGTTTTTTTTCGAGGGATTTCTTGTCTTTCCTTATCTTCATTGTTTTCCATTTGCGAATTCTTTGTTAGAATTTCAGCGTTACGTCCTAAGTGTTCATAATTTTGACTGGTGAAGAAAAGCAATGTTTCAACCTGTTGCATTTTAATTATTATTTGGTCATGTAGATTGAACTGAAGAAAATGCCAGTGAGTGTTTTATGATTGTTGCTTATTCCTAGGCTCAGGCGTTGTCATAGTAATGGTTTTTACCAAAACGAATTGTGCTTATTTCTTGTAGCACTTGCACACTTTCCAGGACCTGTCTCTGTAATATCTCCCATTGCGATGTCAGAGTCTACGGGTGATTTCGATGAAGTAGGTGTCTGCTCGCTTATTCCTTATTTTCTCGGTGGGATTTATTCTATCTATAATGACCTGCTTTTTTGGCCAGGCTTCTTTTCTCATCTCTCAAATTTCTAATTGCATTCGTGCTTGAATAGTTGCTTATTATTAATCTGTTCTACCCTTGCATTTTGTGCTTGCAATCTTGGTTGTTTGGCTATCTCTGTGAGGAATTGATGCTTTTTAATGCCTTAATAGCAAGTTAAAATTTTATTCTAGTTAGCATCCAAACAATCGTTATCCTGAATTCCATATTTTCATTAATCAGTCGTCTGGTAGAATTGATTCTTAGAGTACTTTGCTCTTGTGCTCATGTGTTTCACACGCGCCTAACAGTAGCAATAATATCACGCTATTTGTCGTTCCAGGTGATTTTTCAGCCCGTATGCTTAAGTTGTTGTGATAATCTTTGAAAACGATAAAACTATTAGCCCAACTTACAGAAGGCACTCGTGGCCTGAGCATATCCACACTTTAATTACGTCTGAGCACTGTCTCTCTTGGGTCATTCTAGGTGTCTTGTTTTGAGCTGCGTCGGCGGAGAAAGCATATCCGCACTCGTTCTGTCGGTGTGGGTCTGGAAAACGCCAAAAACTTACCTCACCCCATTATCTCATCCAAAGTAACTCCTCCGCCTCCCGCTGCCGCGGAGACTCTGTTCAACCACCGCCGTTCAGCTAGTTATAGTGGAACCGGGGAAAATCTCTTTGAGAACGCAACGCGAGCGGTGGAGCAGGCGGAGGAGTTCATGATGCAGCTGTGGGAGCGCGTCGGATGGCGTGTCGTACACTATTCGCACCTGCCTGAATGGCTGCGCGACAACGACTACCTTCACTGGGGGCATCGACCGCAGCTCACCTCTTTTGAGCAGTGCTTTCGCTCCATTTTTCGAATACACACCGAGACGGGTAACATTTGGACCCACCTTATTGGTTCGTCCTCGTTTATTTTTGCGGACGTCGATGACACTGATTGAATTCTAAATTTTTTCACTCTTTGTATGCGTGAGATATCATCGGGCTTATTTATTTTGTGTGTTTTCACAATGACTGGAAAGACGTGTTAAATATGCATGCAGTTAAATTTATCATGTAAGCAGTTTGCCGGAGTTTCCTCCTTTGGGTTATGTTGGTCTTTTGGTTTTCTGGTTTTCTTTGTAAATTTATCTGATAGTTTTCCTGGAGATATCTTCGTAGATGCTAGTCAATCACATTTATGATGAGTGCTTGTCTCCAAAATCTTATGCGCAGTAGTTTAAGCAGCGGCCACTTCGCAGTCTACTGCGATAGTGTGATCTGACATTATAAATTATTCGGCTTTTAGCAAGTTCCATGAGTGATTTTCAGATATTGTATCAATATTTATCGCTCAAATTACTTGTCAGAGCCTAAATGCTGACCTATTTGTTATTCTAGGTTGTTTGTGCTTCCTCGTCCTGTGTATTTCTTTTCTTGTGCACCCTGGTCTGGATTTGCCTTGGGATGAGACCCTCGTAATTACATTTTTCTTCGTCAGCGCCATTCTCGCACTAGGCTTCTCCTGGACCTTCCACACTGTCTACTGTTATTCCGAACCTGTGGGTCGTCTCTTCAGCAAGTAAGTATTCACAACGTCCTTAGTTGATATCATCACCCTCTTTTGACTCCACCTACCCATGCTTATATACATAACTCATAAGATCACTGCACTTTGTATTTTGTTGTCTTCAGCCTCGTAAAACCTTAAGGCGTGCGGAAATCCAAGTTGAGTCCAGCTCAAAACCTTGAAATTTTCTTCGTACATGATTGCCCTAGTCTTAATTATCCCATTATTCGACCCAGAGTCTGTTATTCTACTCACGTCGATTTACTAAGCGTTGAAACTACGCTAAATCCTAGTAGTGGTGACCAATTGTATGAAGTGCCATTTTAGGTTGCATCTATGCATACCCTCATGGTCCACTATAAGCAAGCCCTTTATTGATATGTTTACGTCTTAGGCTGTTGACCCCATTCGTACTTTAGACTTACGACTTGCTTCATAAATTGCTTTATCTACATTAGACCGTAGGCTTCCTTAAGGATACTTTCCTCATATCGATCTAATTCTGACCGAATCTGGTGCGTCATTTCTACGTTTGTATTTCATTGCTCAAATTTCGAGTTGGTAGTGATTAGATTTCAGGATAGTTGATAAATCAAGTGGGGCAGATAACAACGTCTTCAAATTTCCCTATCCAGATGTTAGTGGATATACTTTAGTAACGAGAATTGATACGGTTGTGTCTAGTCCTACTAAGTTATCCCTTATTGTCCACTTTTTAGATTGGATTATATGGGCATCGCTTTATTGATAATCGGATCGTTTGTGCCATGGATACATTACTCATTCTATTGTCATGTCCCCTCCAAAATCGTTTACCTAAGTGGGATCATCATTTTGGGCGTAATTTGCATGGTAATTAGTAGCCAAGATCGCTTTTGTACGCCGAAATACCGCAGCGTCCGTGCAGGTTGGTACCAAGATTCATTTAATTGAGCCTAGATTTGATACAGTCGTTGCAAGAGTTTCTAGATAGAACAATCACTAAAATACTGTACTTGTCGGCTCTGGGAGCCTTTACCTTTATCGTAGTTTTATTTATGTTCTCCATTTCTAGGGTTGTTCCTTAGCCTCGGTCTTTCGGCGGTCGTGCCATTTGTACACTATGTATTCCTGGAGGGATTCTGGAACACCATGAACTCCTCTGGTGTGGGCTGGCTGGTTCTCATGGCCTTCCTCTATATTACCGGTGCTCTGATCTACGCCTTTCGCATTCCTGAGTGTCTCTATCCTGGAAAGTTTGACATTTGGGTAAGTAGGACCTCAGTAAATCAATATGTCCAGCTATTGTTCTTTGGCGGATCTTTTGTCGACTTAAAATGTGCTTGGCATCAGATTGTGTGTTTCTTTTTTACGATTTCTCACACTCTATTAGGTCTTTTTTACAACCAATATCGCTTTTCAATTACGTGTCCTTTCAAGCCACTTTTGTGGATGCTTTGGTTTTCGACCTTTTAGTTCCAAAGTCACCAGATCTTCCACGTCTTCGTAGTTTTGGCTGCACTGGTCCACCTGAATAGCATTCTGGAGATTGCAGAGTATCGTCATTCGAGGCGTGAATGCTATACTCGTCCGTAGATTCGCAAGCATTCCATTCTTCACTTCACATAATTTACGTTATTAAAATAACTTTTTTGTACTCAAGGTGAACGGTATTTAATAATATTTGCTTATATAAACAAGGTTCTCTATTATCATGCTTCGTTCATTGAGTGGGTTGGATGTCGTTCTCAGCTGTGGTGGACAAGACTATGAATAGTGGAAAATATTAACTTCATTTCATCGAGGTTATTTACTGGTGAGAAATCACCCTGCTCGAGGGCAAATTATGAATGGTACTCTGGCCTGACTGAAGATGACCCATTTATCGTTTCTGGGACTAAAAGTCCACCTTAAAGACCCAAAGTATTTTCTCTGAGTTTTATCTCTCTACAGTGCTAGGTGGGGCTTCATCGGCGCGGACCTTGTGGCTATTAGTACGCGGTATACCTGTTTTTGACCCTAAGGTAGTTGATCTCCAAAGATGAATCCTGTTATGTTTGTAGAGCGGAAATACACAATCAGCTATGCATAGCAAGTAGACTACAATAGTGAGTTCGTACGTTATCAATCACATGTCATGATTTCCACAATATTGAACTCCAACAGACCTCCGAGGAGGATTTTGAAGGTGCGGAAAGGTCTGCTGAGATGCAGGCAGAATACTGACCATTGCAACAGCCACATTGAGGAAGCACAGCGGTGAGGCCTCAGAGAGGACCGGTACCTGCACCATGGCAATCCAATAAAGGCTTTACATTTTGCAGTCCCGGTTGTTCCCGAGGATACAAATTGAAAGTAGTCGCTGACACCCTATCCATGGGTAAAATGACTTCTCAGTTGTTTAGGGTATTTTTCAATACGTCTTCGATCACCCGGATGCCTAATTCTCCACATATCGCACTCTTTCAACGGCATGACCTCTGGACCACACCAGTAGTCTCCTAACCCCTCTTCAGATTAGTAATATAGTTTCTTCCATAATACTGTGACTTCGTAGGACCTCAGAGAAGACTCGGGGAGCTACAATACTTCTGCTCCACCCTATGGGCTTTGAGGTATCCCAACAGTCTACCAACTATTCTGTACTTTAGTAATATTTTTCTTTCCTAATGCGTTGGCTTATTTCAGCTTCAGCAAAGACTCAAGATGCCAAAAGCGTGCTCAGGAAACTCTTCCGGATTAATAACCCAAAACACGATTTCTATCGCCGTAGAACCCCTAGGATTCCCCAGCCTACTGGCATGACCCGGTTGCCAGCTTATCTGGAGGAGGTACAATGGTAGAGCACCTAAGTGACTCCCTTACCAAAACCGATAGTTAAACACATAACCAACGTTTCACATGACTCTTAAAAGCAACGACTAAAATCAAGTGAGAAAATGTAGAATTTTGGAGTACACCCGGTTAAGGCGAAGAAAACACACGTACTTGCGATAGTTAGCAATGCTATGACAAAATAATGGTAGATATTTACGTAACTAGTTTTATTGTGGGAGAAAATAGCCATCTCGGTGCACTGGAGATGTCAAGAGAATGCTTGTATTGACTCACACTGACAATAGAAGTGGCGAATATTTGGTGACTAAAGGAGGCGAGTTGGTTACGGTCGCTGCCCCCGATAATTATTTGTTAATCTTCATGTTGATTACTTTAGTTAAAAAGCAGTGGATCTGTCCTCTGACAAATATGAATATGATATTTCCAAAGTTATCATTAAAAGTGCGTAAGACTTGTTAGTCAAATGCGTGATGGGTATCACCATGATGGATTTTTAATTTATTCCGAACTGAAGTTATGCATTCACGCCTGCTTTGTCACCTAACCAAAACTTTTTAAGGAATTATATGTTGATAATAATAAAACCATTTAGTCACGTTATGTAAACCAATCAGTTCGGAGGTCATTCTGTTGGATCTCAGGTTGGTTCCATTAATTATCGCGATATGGGCGTGGAGGGTGTTTTGCATTTGTATGGGTGTTCTTTCAACGTGTATAACGTCATTTTCGTCTTCATTTGGGGCCTTTTCTTATGGGAAACTTACTTAAATCTCCGGCAACTCAAAGTTGCCAAAGAAGTTACAAAATCTCCTGAGGAGATAAAGTGTTTGATGAACGATGCCGATTTTGACAAATCTCGGCGCTACGCCATCGATAAACTGAATTTCGATATTGTTAGTGGCTTCTACAACATACTTTCTATGTCTGTAATTTTGCATTTCCAACTAATTGCTTGGGCTTGGTACAAATCCAAGGAACACATGCTCTTTATCTGCTCGCATACTCCCTGGTCGTTTGGTGTTACGGAGAGAAGTGAGATCTCATTTTCCCTGCTCTTTACTGTTTATGTTGCTCTTTTTCAATTTTTTGAATCACTTCCTTGGAGTTATTACCGTCTCTTCGTTGTCGAGGAGCGCTATGGATTCAATAAACAAACGGTCGGCTTTTTCATAAAAGACAGACTGAAGGCCCTTGTCGTTGGTTTGGTCATTGGTTTACCGATTATTTCTGTGCTCATCTGGATCATCAAGGCTGGTGGACGCCACTTTTATATTTATGCATACGGATTTACATTTATCGTCTCCATTATCATAATGTTTGTCTACCCCGAGTTCATTGCTCCAATTTTCGATCGCTACGAACGCTTTCCTGATTGTGAATTGAGGACAAAAATAGAGGAGTTGGCTGCCAGTATTGATTTCCCACTAAAGAAGCTTTTTGTTGTGGAAGGTTCAAAGCGTAGCTCTCACAGCAATGCCTATTTCTATGGTTTTGGGAAGAATAAGAGGATTGTCCTTTTCGATACCTTAATAAGAGGGTTTAAGATGTCAGGTGCCGAGTCGGATTCAAGTGAAAGTGCTGATAAAACCTCTGATGAGGCTCAAAATCGCGGTTGTGGTGACGATGAAGAAATTCTGGCCGTGCTTGCTCATGAACTCGGACATTGGAAACTGAAGCACGTGACATTCAACCTAGTCATTGCACAAATTAACATATTTTTCATGTTTTTTGCATTTGGCCAGTTGGTAAGCGTCGATCAACTATTCGTCGATTTCGGACTTCCTCCTTCGGCTGCGCCCATGCTGATTCGCTTAATTGTTGTTTTCCAATTTATTTTTATGCCCTACAGCTCCGTTTTGGAATTTTTATTGACGATGCTTTCTCGGAAATTCGAGTTTCAGGCAGATGCTTTCGCGGTAAGCCTCAAGTCAGGAGAAAAACTTAAAAGCGCTTTATTGATGTTGACGAAGGACAATCTTTCATTCCCTGTTTACGATTGGTTATATTCAATGTGTAATCACTCCCATCCGCCTATTACTGAAAGAATGGTGGCTATCGATGCTGAAATGGGGAAGAAGAAGTAGTATTTTCCTGTATATCATTGCTAGGGCTGTTCTGTTCAATAAAAGTTTTGCATCATAGAAGCAAGTCTTTTGCTGAAATGGATTTCGCCTTTTAACCCCGCAATACCGTTTAAAGACTAATGGCTTAAAAATGAAGTTCTTGTTTTGTGTAGAGTGTCATTTCACCGCTGTAAGGTTTAACTGTTGTTAAGCCAGTATGGACATAACACAAAATAAAGACTGCTTGATGTTAGGGGGTACACTTTTGTGCTGTTGGTTGTTTCATGAATTTATATTGATACCATTGTGCGTAGGCTCGTTCTTGTGACGTTATGGAGCGTATTAAGAGTGGAATAGGTAATGGCATGAATGGTAAAGCAATCTGTTTAGACTATTAGCATGTACTGCCTCCGTGACTAGTCTGTGTATTTGCCACGTGAATCGACAGCACAATTAGCAGTGTGATGCGTAGCATGGCGCCTGTTTCACTTAGCTAAGTATGTAGTCTTAGACCACCAAGGGTTTCGCATAGTGAGAATATTCTTAAGAAAGTGCTAGAGGGTTACAGACGTTCCATGCCTGAAATTCATTCCAAAACTTATTTTATCTTGCCAAAATTTTTTGGTGCCCCAATGACACCAACGGTGAAAGCGCATTATCAAGGGTATGCCACTTATACAATCACATATGCCTTTCTCTGCTAGAACTTACTTGAAGTTAGTTAAGCTTTACCAATGCTGAGGTGTTTGGTAGGGATCATAGTGAAAAAAGGGACTGTAGGATGTCACTAACTCCACTGCGTATTGATTCGCATCGTGTGGAACGCTCGTTTCAATCTCACTTTGCATCGTTTTTTTTCACTTTTAAACGATAACTCTTTTCATGGTGCTTTTTTTAGATTTCAGAATATCAATAAGTGAACGTTAAATGCTGCCTGAACAGAATAACTCGTCTTTGGACACGGCGGGGGATAACGCAGGTAAACTGGAGAAGAACTCGTCGTCGTTACGCCTAATCGTGGCGTGCGCTGTTGGTTGCATTGCTACCTCCGTGATGTACACACTAGTGCCGTTTGTGTCGCCTGCATTTCGCCGAATTTGTTTACCCTACGTGCCTGCAACTTCAAAACAACTGACACTCGTGGCTCAGCTGCTTTGGCTTGCTGAGACCCGCGCACACAGACGCATTGGAAGTATTCTTGATATTGGGAGCGGGGATGGTCGTGTCGTAAGTATCCCTCATACTATTTTCATCCCACATAAACTGTTCTATTTCCATCATTTCTATACATTCAATCAGCGACTAATTACCTTTGTATGTTTTTAGTGGAATTTCAAAACTACCTTTGTTTCAGGTGAATTTTTAATGCTTCAACTGGAGGAGTTTCACTCGTAGCAGCAATCTGCTACTCATACAGATAATCTGTAGACGGACAAATTCAATTTACCTTCATCTACCTCCCGAAATTTGAAAAACGCATTAATTTTAATGGATAAAATGAATGAATTATTTAGTTACGTGTAACTTTATGTCACACTGATTGAGTAAATGGCAAGTTGGGGAAGAACATCAACAACTTCCCTAACTTTTTTGTTGCATGTTTTATTGTTTGATTAATTTGGTTCAAGCTTTTCTTAAACGCTTAAATGGAAGTATTTGCAGCATAAATAACGATCGTTTTGCTTAAATAGTCCATACTTTTGGTAAGCAGTCAGGTCGGTGCTGTCAGTGTCAGACTGAATTCGTGACTTTGTTATCGCTTCCTGCCACAGGTTCTGAGCCTGCTGGTTGACAAACGCCTAACGAGCCTGACCACAGCGGCCGGAGTGGAGCTGAACAGGCCGCTTGTGTGGTGGTCGCGTCTCGCGGCCTGGCGACAGAATCATAGCGACAAAGCGAGCTTCCATTGTCATGACCTCTGGACCTTTGACGTCTCTCCCTTTCAAAGTGTCGTCGTCTTTGGTGTCGATACTATGGTACCTCATTCCTCTTCTCCGTGCTCCACACCCTATCCGCAAAACGCCATAGTGTCTGCATTGCAAGTATTCTGTGTCCTCGTTCTTGGTGTTTTCACAGTAACTAATATTTGTACACTTAATTATGTGTTCACCGCAACAATCTTTGATACCGACAAAATCGTTTTTAGGTTATTTGGTTCTAATTTTGTGGGGAGTAGCCATCCTTCCTAAAGTTGGTGGAAACTTGTCATTTCTATCTTCAGTGTACCATTGAAATGCACAAAACTGAATTCAGTCTCGGAATGCAAGTAAAAAGGTGTTGTGTTTGATCAAAGAGCGGTCTTTTCGGTTGCACATAACACTGCATATGTGCTAGGTGTAATCGGCAGGACCTTTGTAGTACTAGCCAAATAACGGCAATTGTAATGAATACTGTGCTAAAATTTCCTAAAAATAACGAATTCCAGAAGACTTTATGAACTAGATCGAACTGCAAAAAGCTTTTTATTGCCTTGTGCATGATGAGCGGTTGGTGGGTACGCTCAATACCTTCTGAAAAGTTCATTCCTTATACCTTCTTTTTAATAGCGCTTGTTTTGAGGTCGAACGTTCTTTTCCACGTACTGAATAGTGGCTCATCTAACGTTTCAATACAACACGCTACCCCCACTAGGCATTCAGCTCTCGTGTCATGCATTGAGCGCAATGCTCTTCAATTTTTGGGTTGATAATGCATGTTTTGTTTCTTGTTGTAATTGACATTATGCATGTTTGGGCAATCGGCAGTTAGATTTTTTACAAATAGAGACGCTTTCACTACCCAAATCAACAGAGTCCCCAGCATTACTTTTCAGTTTACCAACTTATGTTCATGCCTTACTTTTGTACGAACACAATATAGTCGTTCCCGATCATAGATAGCTATTCTTATCTACTTTGCTAGTTTAATAGCAAACTTCCATTTCCTTGTCATTTAACGATGTTTACAGTAATGCTAACCGAGACGCTTGTTTGTGGCAGACATCATCAATCAAACGTGAAGAACTGTAGCAATATTTCATTTACTACTAACTAACAGTTCAATGGTTTTGTACGTACCATATGCCACATAACTACTTAGCGCATCCTTATGTAAACCCTAGATGAAGCCGCTGGAGGAAAAGTTGCTGAATGAATTGAGTGGGAATCCAGTGATAGTGGCGTGCCGATTTCCCCTCCCAACCCTTCCGCTCTATAGCAAACTTGGCTCAGGGCCCGACGCTGCTTATCTTTATCTTCCAAAGCTAAATGGCAAGTCTTAAATTGCAACTTTATCGTTTGCTCATTTTTTGTACAATTGGGACCTCCGTCGTTATGTGTTACTTAAAGGCAACCCTTTTGGATCACTTTGTAGTTTTCATTCGTAAATCGTTAATTGAATTCCCACATTATAAACCCCTGCAAATATGCTCGTGGGATTGAAAGCCAAGTGGCTGATAGTGGTGACAAACATGTCATAATCCATGTGTGATTGTTGCATTCATTGTCATAGCCTGATTATAGCACTGATCCATATTGATAAGCTAATCGTCAGCATAATAGGGTCAAACGTTTGCATCGTAGCATTTTTACGTAACCAGAGTGTAAATTGTTTCCCTACTAAATTATTGACTATTAACTCCACCGTTCTTAAGAAAAATACCAAGAACAAGAGCTTTCATACTGCAATACCACTATTCATCCAAACACAAAGGCGCGATTCGAATGGAGCGAGTCTTCCATTTTGAGTGGTAACCTGTGCGTCATGTATTTAACAAGTACAACATAAAGTTGCGGTGTTATTTAGTAAGCACTTCGATTTTAATGCTTCATACGTTAGAAGAACACTATTAACTCTGGTTCATGACACGAACGTCTCGGCGAAGCGAATATTTTGTGTAATTTATGTAATTCCAAGGGAGTCGGAGTCGTCCGGTCTATTTGTCTTTGGCCTGCCTACGTGTACTCATTGAAAAGTATGATGAACAGGAGCATTTCTTTAGCAAACGGTATTGCATCCCCTTGAGTCTCTCGGGGCTGTAATATGGAATGCCAATAGAAAAAGTAGGTGACTGTTATGGCACAAAAGGGACGGGGGCTATAGGCACGGCGGAAGGGACATTCCACCAAAACAGAAGTACGGCTAAAAGTACTTTTAAACTGATGGTGGTGCACTGCGTAACTCCCCATTTGAACGTCGTCCCTACCATCCCCTTGAACCCCATTCTTATTCGGTCATAACGAATCCTTCCATTAATAGTGAGTGATTGCGAAGTAGGATCAAAAGTGAGATAAATTTGTTAAAAATTGTCTTCGCTCTATTGCTGACCGTTGTGCCCGAATTAAGGAGTGCGTCAGACGTCGTCGCCGCTTCATCACTTCTAAAATCTGCCTCCGCGGATTCAGTCACTCATAGCCGACATACCTTCGGTGCCGATTGCATTTACTTAACATTCAGAGACATCAAATGTGTTGGTTAAGAACATTTGCAACTAAATTATAGAAAGGCCGAGAGGATAAATGCATAAATGGGTGATGGTGCCGCAGAGATTGAGGAGCCCGTTCGGTCAAGCATGCATTTCGGAAAAATGCTAGCAAACCACAACTATATTTTCTAAAACGGCAAACCATTCTCACACCACGCGAATAAAAAGTATTCTCTATTCTACCTTTTTATTTTAAGGTTCTGAATTCAGAGATACGGGGAGGAACACCGACTTCAGCACGATACAAACACACGGATGAAAACTCCAGTTCTGCTAGTTGTGTTGGTTAAGTTAATGTAAGGTTTCTCAGAGTTAGGAGTCAGTGTGTAATTAATCCACTGTGAGAAATTAATAAATTTGGAAATATGGCGTCCCGAGCCTAATTTGAGTCTTACTGAGCCGAAGTAGTATAGGTGTCCATATACTACTAAGTATGGAAGAGTCGGGAGACTAAGGCCATGGTCGGAAGATAGCGTGCGGAGTGGAAGTGCAATCTGCGTAGGCTGGGGTGTTTGGGTTTGCTGCACACATTTCTGCAGTTCCAGTTCACTGTAGAGAACCGGCAATTTAGAGCATGCGGAAAACAATATGCGTGTAGGAGAGTCCCATTCGCGGCATTCGTGGCTGACATTCCAAAACTTCTTCACTGACTAACTTCAAGAAGAATGACATTTTCACGGTTCCCGTACGAGTTTTACAGTCTAGATTGGCACTCCTCTTTCCAATTTCCCCGAGTTAAATAGATTAATTAATTTGTAATTTTTACTTTTGCGTTTCAGAATGGTCATGCAGTAAATGGCTTAGGCAGTGGTTCAAGTATCTGATTGTTCGAATGTACCAAGATTATAATTGAAATCCAGGGTTCTTCCTTTGAGTTTCGGGTCTTGGGCGTCATTTCCCGCGTAAGCGGGTCTTCGTTTTCGAGAAGTGAATATTTTTATGACCGAACCCACATTTCCTATTTCTTTCTCTTTTTCTAGTCTTGTGCTTCCAGACTATCAAGGTATAATGGGTTGTGTGTGGGCAAGTTAACTGAATATTTCATGATTTGTGTTCCCAATTTAACATTTTTTTTGTTTCTTAGCTCTACCGCGTGCTTTACGTAATGTCTAGTTAATGTTTTAGTTCTCTTTTGTCATACTTCATTGGTGATATGCGTCAGGCTTATTTTCCGCTTTCGGATCCATCTTCTACTTCATTTAAGCTCGTTTTCTCTTTTTAACAATATGCGCATCCGTGAGGGAAAAAGGTTTTGCCTAGCTGGCGCGATTTATGGGCTTTTCTAGTGGGTCTTTGATCTGTCATTTGGATTATTGTATTTTGCTCCCAACTTTTCAACATTATTTTGCCAAACCGCCATATTGTTCAATCTAACCTTATGCTACGAAGGAATTACGCATTTGTTTTTTTGAAACTCACGTTTTATTTGCTACATATTTCCGATGGTATAGCTGCTAGACTTCCATCAGTTTCCATCCGTTTAGTTCCCGTGAGTATGGTTATTAGTAAGCAATAACTTCATTGTCCCCCATAGCACATGACATGCTTTTGTTTCCAATATTAAATTGTCTCCTCTACACGTTGTTGTAGATTCTGCATGGATTCTGAAATATCTATCAATTAAGACTGTTGGTTTATTTAGTCAATTTTGCTTGCATGAATGCGTGCGAAATTGAGATTTAGGCTTGTAGCAGTATCTTGTGTGTCTGGAGAATTTTTTGTGTTCATGTAATCGTCGTTTACGTAAAACAAGTGGAAATTATGGTTTATTCTACGTTCTTCTGTGCGTGAGAAGGCGCAAGACATGTGCTAATGAACTTTACTTGGGGGTAGTACTAAGTTAAAGATTGGTCAGGAACAGTGTCCAAGGGCTCGTGGAAGCCCACTTTTTCACCATCAGGGCTTGCAATATTTTGGATGAAGTTGCGGTTTTTAATTCTTACTCTGACACTATTTGTGGTCGCAAATTGATTTTAGCCTTAACTTTTAAACGAGTTTATATGCACAACATTTCCGATTCCATTAGGTGTAAACACTCCATTCGTTTGTAGTCCTTTGATTCGATCATTTTAACTTCAAGACTGTCACCTAATAGGTCGAATGATCCCACGAAAATACCGACATCTAAGCGGCACTCTTAGTTCGTGAAATATCGTTAGCTCCATCGCAGAAGCACACACTGGAAGCTCCATAATTTGGTCCCTTATGCTTGCTTATTCATTTGCTTTTTAGTTGGTACGAGAATTTGCTGTACATGCCAATGTTATCCACAATATATCCCCAATTTCGTGGTCTTTCAATTGTTCTCGCTAGTACTTCAAGTATACGACAGATAATTCTATCGCAGTGTGTTAGTTTATATTGGCAGATGCACCTATAAGTCTCTGTAACTTTTAGAAACTTCAGTTTACTGTCTTAAATCCGAATGTGCCTGAAGATCTTGATTATAATTTATTTCCATCAGTCGGCTCTTTCGTCGAGGCTCTAGCTAAGATTAAGTCAGAAGGAGCGTTGAAGCGGCTAAGAAAGGTAACTCAAAGTAATGCAATTGTTAATTTTCTAGCCAACCGATTTGGTGATAACAGCTGACACGGTCATTGCCCTTGAGGGTAAGGTAATGGGCAAACCGAAGCACATGGCGGATGCCTTAGAGACGCTTTTTAAGTAATTTACTCATTTTCATTTATGGTTTTCAGACTGAATGGCAAAAGGCATGAAGTATTTACGGGGGTTGGTCTTGCATGGCTTGATCGAATGGACAACAACTTACTCGTCTACGACAGCTTCACGGAACAAACCACCGTGCAGATGGGCAAGCTCGATGAGCGTGCTCTTGAGGCATACGTTGGAACGCAGGAGCCCCTGTAAGTGGTATTTCTCTTTTCGACAAGAATGCACCCTTAGTGAAATTCCACGACATTACATTGATGTAATGTTATTTTTCATTTACTCCAATGGTGTCAGATTCATGTTTTACTTCTTTTAGTACATTGATGAGATGTTAAGCTTAAGTAGAGGCTTTAATCCAAAAAAAGCGAAACCAAGACAAAGCTGTACATTGGAAGGCCTTTTTTGGCAAATTCGTTCTCCGATATTTTACAACTGGTAATGCCACCTATTGCCTTCATTCGATCTCAGTTTTGACTTGGCTACAAATTCCAGGGATGAATTCGACTTCCCAGCCTTCGGTTATTCTAAGTGGCTCCTTCAAATATAAGAAACTAGAACTGCTTTCTTTTCATTTGACGTTTTTGAGGTTGAAACATTCACAAGAGTTGTTAATGTTGTGGTGCTGTGTACGTATCTTCAAAGTACTCGACCAATTTACTGCAATAGGGTAGACTTTTACCAGAATTTCCCGGGTAAGCGCCTGCCTTAGGATTTTCTTGTTACTTCTATATCCAGGCAATGTTTTAGTGCAGTTCCTTTCGAACTGTGATTTGCAACTATCATTCCAAATTTTCTCGTTGTAAATTTGCGGTACTGTTGAGGATGCCATTTCTCAACTTAGAACAATTTTTATGTGAACAGCTTCATCCTTATTTGATCCGTAAGTACATCAATTCAAGTAATATGTTACATTTATGGTAACCTCACTTGCAAGGTGGCTTTATTAGCGTCAGTTTTTGCTTTCTTTAGGCTTCTTTTCGTCCTAGTCATTTTCAACAAGTGTTGAATAAAAACTGCGCTAGCTGGATAAATGCTTCTCAAGCTCTTGTGATAGAGTCAAGGAATAATGACGATTAAAGTGTTTATTTGTTTTTTATTTCGAAATTGACTCGTATTAGCCCATTGAACTTGTTACCATGACCCGCAATTCGTGATGATATTTGATAGTAAAATGTGTGGATGGCAAGTTCTCTTTGTGCGCTTTGCGTGAGGGAAAATTTTATCTGCAAAGTTATATCTGATGTATTATTGCCAACATAAGCAGTTTTAATGTATTTGTACAATCGAGTGGAAAATATCGTGAAAGGTTTTGATTTAGTACTTAAGGAGGCTTGCGTGCAGTAAATCCCCCAAATGATGTGGCAACGCCTTTGCCGAAGTTGGCATTGGCCTGAGTGTGTGTTGATTCTTTGGCTAACTCCTTACACTTCCTTCCTTGCTTAGGGGAAAAGCAGGCAGCTACGGTTACCAAGGTGTTGGTGTGAGTCTGATCGAGCGTATAGAAGGGGACTACTTCAATGCTCTGGGCTTGCCGGTCTTCCGGCTTTGCCAGTACGTCAACCGTCGAAGGGGCTTTTTACTGGACGATGACAATCCCCCAATTAAAACACGGCTCACCTGATATCTATCCATTGGGATGCATTTCCGTTTTTATTTCAACCTATTTTGTCCAGCACACCGATTCTATTGTACGAATAGGAAAAAATAATTTGTTCACCTACTTTTTTTCATTCAGTGGATCATGATTTCTGTCTTGGGAACCTCGAAAATCAAGTTGACATTCGTTCCCACCTTGTGCTTGTGATCACATATGGGACGATTTTTCGAATCGCAGTAAATAGCATCGACATTAGCATCTTGTCTCACCGGCTACAATTGGGTCGCTATTGTTACCTGAGAGAGGGTTGGTGTAATTTCGGAATCCCGGTTTTGTAGTGAAATCTTGTTTGGCATGCTTTGGAGTGTTTAGATGGAAGTGGGTGGGCGTGTGCTGTCTCACACCTGATATAACAGCGCTACAAGGGTGGGCAGTCTTCTTAGCGGCAAGGTATTTTTTTTGCAGTAGTTGTGGTGTTTAATGTTTTACTGATGCAGCTGGGTACGGTGAGTGGTGATGATGGTGATAAAGGTTGAGAGTGCAATGAAGGGTGGTAAATTGCATCATGTTTGTTCTTCATTCTTTACGATACTCCTGTAAGAGAGAGCTCTCCTATATCACTGACGTCATTTGGCATTTTTTAGATACCCATGAATATTTCTCATGTGTGCAAAGTGCCCCCAATGCTATCCCAGATGCCAAAAGCTGTAGTATCAAAGTTACGAAAGATCAATGCGTAAGAAGGTGATTCGACTTCATGTCTATTTTAGGTGTTTTGTAAACATATTGCCACTAATTAAAGGAATGTTGGTTGTACTTGCGCTCGAACATTCATATCTGCTGTAAACTTCGCTATAAAATAAACGCTTTTTCAGAGGAGGAAACTTACGTTCTGGGCACGGAGGCTCACCCCTGATGCGTGATTGGAGGCTACCACTTTACTGCAGTTGGCCTTAGGGTGCGCACTGATTCTTCTCCTGTATTGTATCGGTCATCATAAAGGGGTGCGTGGGAGACAAATGATTTAATCGAGGAAACGAAAACGGGTTTTATAAATTCTAATTAAATGTAAAAATGACATCTGAACTACTTTTGACTCTGAGAGATCGACTAGTTAGAATAAATACAGGGATCAAGAATCGAAGCGAATAGCTGGAAGTATGAGAAAGAAAATACTTCACGGACTAGATGGCCATCTTTTGCCAACTAAAAATACAGTGACGAATCTCCGTCAAACTTATGGTATATACAACATTTGGCCTGTATCTAACTTTTAATCATAATGGTGCGGTTTGCTACTTTGTTTAACTACCCGGGCCCCTTAGCCTGTGCAGGTTGTGCTGCGGTGTGGTTTTCGGGCCGTGTCAGTAGCCTACGGTCCTTCTGTACGTTTGTAGCACATATTCGTCACAGTACTTTGGCTTGTTATGATCTCAGGGATGGGTTCAAAAGATTTTAGTTAGTCTTGACTTAGCTGCATTGAAGCGAAAAGACTACCCTTTTGTTAGATTTTAGGCGCTTTTGCGATTTGTTAGTTGTTTATTCAACTCTCGGTTTTGGTAAAGGCACCAATTAGGTACTCCTTCATTATGCTTTTGCTGGATGAAATGGCCTCTTGGCCATACCATTTTCCCCAAGGCCTTCTCTAGGTCAATAGCGCATATTTCACAGAACATTATGCCTTCTTTTGTCTTCAGGGAAGTCCTAAGGTGCTACATTGGTGGGAGAGGAAAGCAAACCTGCTCTTGAAGGGCACCTATATTAATTTCTACCACTGAGTAATAAACCTTAATGGGGTAGACGAAGGGCATGTGCTGTGGACGGGGAGGAGTTGGGAACCCGCAACAAAAGGGATGACAATGACGTATACTTTCGACAACTACCCCGATCCCGTGTTTTGCAAGAAACCTATCAACAACGAAAGCGACACTAGACGTAAACCATTTAGAAAAACTTCGTTACAGAGATGCTTACCGTTCTTGCATGAAGATAATAAACGTGTGAAAAACGCGACACCTCATCCACCTCTTCTATAGCTGGATAGAACCCTGAGAGATGTGGCCGGGTAGCCCTAGAGTGAGAACGACGTGGCAGGGTGGAACAGACGCGAAACCCTACCCCACGGAACCATGTTCACTCCCGGCCCTTTGGTACATGACTCTGCTTTTGAACCAGTGTTCCTGCCACTAGCTACGGACACGCATGATGGCCAGCTCATTTCTCTTTTCCAGGATTTGGTCCCCATACTGGACGAAACTCCAGATCCAGCAGAATCGCCAGGGGGCATCAGCGACGCTGTGGTCGAGTATCGCCTCAGTTGTGTGGATATTCGATGACTGGCATGGTAGGCTCATAGGTACCTCTTTACAACGCTGATTACGCTGTGATGGCTGGTCCGAGGGGGTCGATCAAGGAGAGCGCGGGGGGTGATACTCACTATGAGTCTCCACCATTGTATCTTCGTCGGACTGGCAGGCCACAAATTTTATTTGTGTGCCAAATATGCGTATATTCTGTTCAAACATTCTCTTAATTCGTCTTAGGGGAAAACTCTCGGTGTTACATGAATTCCTGTTTTATAATGTTAGAAGAAAATATTCACTCTTAGTAAGCTGGGCATGGCATGCCCAATAACTAGCCTATGGAAGCAGGATAATTTTCCCATTAACCAAAAGTCAGTGGATTCACAAATCGCACATCTTAGCCGTCTTCATCCACTGAAACCCCTATTTAATGTTCTCCCCAAGTTGTCAAACAACCCGAAGAAATAAATGTTGTTCATCTACTTAATTCTATTTTTCGCTTGAAAGAATCTTTTAGATTATATGTGCTTGTATGAATGAAATAATTACTTTGTATTCATTCGCCCTGTCCCACTTATTTGAACCTGATTCCTCCGGAGATCTTCGCCTTAGTTGCGAAGTCGGGTTACTGGTCAGGTAGTTTTTTTTTGTATTTGAATGGAATACTACGCTTCTTCTAGTACGTACGTGGTTGATTCAGTGGTGGGGGTGAATGACGATAATGGTTCTCAACATTGGCACTGTTTAGCACCCTTTTTTAGCTGTTCATTCATTCCTAAATTTCTAGTCCCTTCAGTGTTTCCGATCTGTGCTCCGGCCCTAAGTTCAGTACACTCGGGCATTGTGTGATTTATATTAGTTAACCAAACTTTCCATCACCTAAACCCACCCACTCGTGTTGTTTGTTCTTGTTCAAAAGATGTTGTATTCCATCGTACAAGATATCCCAACGCTTAGCTGGTCTTGAGCCATAACGTAATTGGCATTTTGGACTAAGAAGTCGTTTTCTGACTATTATATCCTCATTGAGAGTTCCGGTGTAGTGTAAGGAATGACAGTTCGTCTCTGTTTTTTCACCTTTTGTTCATAAGACAAACCTGACCCTAATGACTAACTGCTTCGATGAACTCTAATTGAAGACTTTGCTTGGCAGCTCCTTTGACTTTTGCATGTTCCGTCTCAAGTATGGAATTTTGCCACTTTTTTGTGTGGTATGGGTCATTGTTGTATGTTCTGTGCCTTACCGTTGTTTCTTTGACTTGAAATTAAATCGTTTTTTTCTGAGCATAAAAACCTGTTGACAACATTATATACCATGCAGTTGAATATACTAGTACAGTGTATATTAACATACTTAACAGTGTAGTGTATCATGTTAGCTTCGTTTAACCGTTTGGTCCATGTATGGTCTCTATGTTTCCTTTTGATTCATTGGGAAATTATGTTTATTTGTCTGGTCTCTATTGCATATCAGTCAAATTTGTGAATGTGTAAGCATAGTTGGCCACACCTTCGTCGAAGAAGACTTGCATGTTTTTATAAACTTGGATTGCTGAGGTGTTTACTTATGTCTGCTAGACGCGTTTTCCTCATGCACGACGGTAAGTGACGGGAATTTTGGTGGGGTGGAACAATCGTGGAAAAGTGGTTCAGATGAATTTTTGTTCTTGCCGGTCAGGTTGAAACCTCAAATCCTAAGGGTACACAGATACAAGCTCGCTTTTGCGCTTTCAGTATGTTGACGGCCGTCCGCGATAAGCTTGCAAGATGTTCAATTGTGTTGGCGAGCACTTCTCCCCGCCGCAAAGAACTCCTCTCCACTTGTGTTTGTATCAATGATATTCTCTCTAATACCGTTTAGAATATCAACTTCACTGCACTTAATCCAAATGTTCCTGAGGATCTGAATCCGGATGACTTTCCCAGCATCCCAGCTTTTGTCGAGGCCCTTGCCACAGTCAAGGTCAAGGGCGCCCTAAAGGCTCTTAAGGAGGTAACGTCTCTTCCTCACTCCCTCACTATTTAGCATGCTGATATAATTATAGCCGCAGATACCGTGGTTGTTTTTAAAAACAAGATAATGGGCAAGCCTCTAAATGCAGATGACGCCTCTAAAACTCTTAAAATGTATGTGTTTTGTTGCTTTTGAAGAAGTTTTTAGGTTATCGGACCAGGTTCATGAAGTGCACACCGGAGTGTGTATTGCATGGATGCATAAAGAGCCACAGTTTTGCTGCTTCAATGAGCGCACGAAAGTCTACATGGCAAAATTGGACCAGGACACGATTGATAGCTACGTCAAGACGGGGGAACCCCTGTAAGCCATTTTAGAAAGCTGGCGGCACAGATTGTGGACTCCGGGTTTTGATAATGGTGGTAACGGGCGGTGTTGACCATAAGCCTCTCTATCATGACTCCTTAATTCCATTGTATGCCTAGTTGTGTAGCCATCAAGGTCTGTTGGAAGCCTTTGAACGTGTTTTTTTAACAACCTATTTATATTTGTATGCCGGAACGGGGCTATTATTTTAACATCTGCGAAGCCCTCAATGGAGTAAACTCCAACTTGCTCATCTGGAACTGCTACCTTGGTTACTCCTTTCATGATGCCTCACAGTTGGGACATGGTTTTCTTTTAACGAATTAAATTTGCAGATGTTCTTTACTTGAAGTGATTTGCTTTCAGAAGTAAATGCAGAATATGTTTGTTTGTTTTTTGTATTCTAGTGACAAAGCCGGCAGTTACGGTATCCAAGGTATTGGTTGCAGTCTGATCCGTGGGATCGAAGGTGACTATTTTAACGTCGTCGGCCTACCGATTCACAAAATTTGCAAACATATATACGAAAAACTAATGAATGACGCTTAAAATGATGACATTTTTGTAGTGCATTTTTATTATTGAATCTTTAGCTTCTTCCAGAAATCAAAGACTTGTGATCGTGAATTTCGTTCTGTTTTCGAGTGATTACCTGGCTGGCATCACAGTATGGCTTTATTGGGAGGTTTAATCAATTTTTATTGGATACTTTCACTTTGAAAAAGCCTCTTCAATACTTGTTTGGAGTGAGTTGAATTGCTGGTTCTCAAGTCGAGTTATTCTTCTCTTTATTTTCGCCTGGCTTGATCCGTACTCTCCCAGGAGCCGAGCTAGTTTTGTGCCTATCTGTTCCAGTGTTGCGTCAATTCTATTGACCCTCTCCTCAATAGTTTCTCTGTTCTCTTCGGCTTTGCGAAGAAGTTCTTCGTCCAACAAGTTGTCCTTTCTTAGCATCTGCTGACCGGCCTCCATGAGTTTTTCCTTCGCTTCAGGGTACTCCGTCAGCGCCTCCCATAAATCGTCTTTGCTGAGACAAAAGAGATCGGAATATCCCACGGAGCGGACGTTTGCTGTCCGGCGGTTCCCTGTTTTGTTGCCTATAAGGGGGAGAATATTGGGTTTCCACATAGTGAAAAGGCACCTGCGACCTAGAGTTCAAAATTATTGCACTTTGCTTTGAGCGCAGCCGTGCGAGCAAAAGGTGGTTAATCACCCGCAATTCTCTGGAAGGGGAAGAAGAGGTTGAAAAATTTACCATTATGTTAATTCCTCCCATTGATTATGACAGTTTTATAAAACAGGGGCGATTTTTAGGCATTGTGTAGCTTACCAGCGATATTAAGGATGGAGATTTCCCCAAATACCGTGCCCTCGCCCAACGTCACAAACGTTGTTTTTCCGTCATCTGCAACTACGCTTATTTTTCCGCGTTTAACAATGTACATCTCCTTCCCGATATCGCCCTTGCGGCAGATGTAATCTCCTGGGGAGAAAATCTGGAGCTTCAGCTTCAGAACAAGTTCCACCAGTAATCCGGGATCACAGTCCTTTAAAGAGTTGGGAAAAATGGAAGGTATTGCGGTGTCGTTAATAATAAAATCTCACCAGATAGTCTACAGGATTCTGTAGGATCTGGTTTCTAAAATTTCATCACTCTAGTAAACATACTGGCAAAAGGGGCGGTAAAAATACCAACTGCATGCATGTGCACTGTGCGGGGCTCTACAAAACAGGGTCTATGGTGAGACCGCTTAAAGACCAGAAATATGCTTTGCTTCCATGCTTCCCTTCGTGTCTGGATCATGAATATACGTCCGTAAGGCATTGAGACAGGCTTAGTCATTGGTCTTAAGACGGATAATTAATCTTAAAGTATCGGGAAATGAAACGTTAGGACATGCTTAGCCTTTATTCAGAAATCCAGGCTGGTGGCACTAAATGAGTGGAATTACAGGAAGGGAAGTGGGCAATCTGCAAATGAAATAACTTTTGACGTTGTGGATGGGTTATGGTGGCCTAACAGTAATGCTACGCGTGGGGAGTTTTTTATACCTGAAATATCTTGACGCGCTGGAGCGTGTCGTAGTGTACGTGGATGGCGATTTCAGCCTTTAGTTTATCTGGTAGAATTGCGAGAACATTCTCCTCCTCCAGGGATTGCTTATTCGACCAGAGGTAGTCAAACCACTGTATGACTCGACGCTCCAGGCCCTTGCTCACTTTTCGGTATTCCATGTAGCTGGGTTCAATGGAAATTTACGTGATAAGATACAATTATATTCTAATGGCATCTATGATTTAACTACACCAGCTGTAGCAAGGTCTGTTTTGAAATAATTAAGTACAAGGGGAGTCTTAAAAGTCAGAATAAGGCGTCAACAATGGTACTGATATTGTGTATAAATGAAGGGGGGAAGGAAGCAGATTTATGGCATTAGAACAAATTATACCAAACATTGGGTGGTAAAAGTATGGGTGATTTTCTAGACATCTCGCTGCAATTATTTGGGATAAGTAAATGGTAACTACGACTTATAATTTTTTTGTGCTTTCATTAAACCACAGATCTGCACTTGGCTACCGATGCCCTGCAATACCTCTCTCTTGTGTTGAATTTCTTACATTAGCATGTCGGTTGAACCTGGTGGGTGTGATTAGAGAGTCGTGGGCGGAATCTGACCCGATCACAAAGCTTATGGGGCCTCTCGTCAAAGCTGGTGCATAGGATTTGGGGAAAGCGTGGAATCAGGGTTATTAAACTTCATTCCCATGATGGGTCGCTCAAAGGCAACTCCATCCCATTTAAGAAGACCTTCTACTCTTCACGGTCGGGATTAACATTTCAAAAATTCCGCTAATGTGATTGAAAATGAAGCTACTCTTTCACACATCAACTGATCAACTAAGCAGATGGATTCCGCATGCCTCAAGGACTAAAAATTTCTTCTTCACTTCTTCCACCATATGGATACGCACAGATTCTACATTGATGACTGACGGGTGGTGAAGATTTGCTTTTGTATTCCAACATCAAGCGAATATGCATAATTGGTTATCCCTAAACGATCCACTCACTGTTCGTGGCACACCATTCTTTCTGTGCATACGATGGATTGTGGATAGGGCGGTTTATTTGCAGAAAAGTCAAGCAATTGCGATAGAGGTTCACATAATGTGATTAAACTGGAAGCTAAGCAAGAAGAACTTCTTTGAAAACAGAGCACACTGGTCAAGTAGTCGCAAAATTGTCGTATTCTCATAAGACAGCATAGGACCTCATGCCATGAAACTTAACCCCGTGGGAATTTTCGTTTTGAGTAAAATATGAGAAAGATGCTGTTTTATTTAACACGTTCTTCGGGTGATTACTACTTCCTCCTGGTATTGGACGATTAAATGGCAAATGGACAACTGAGAATTATGACCGATGCAAAACGGGGGTGGCTAGTTCTAAGGTTTTGGCATCTAAAAGAAACAATTGCCTAAAAGTGGTAATCACAAATTTTTGTCTTGTGGAGAAACTTCTAAGGATTTTGAATTGCAGTAGTGACTAATCTAAAGAGTAAATTTATTTGAAAGCTTCCCATAGTTGTCCACCTTTACTTCAGAGCACCATAGGAGGTTTTTCTATTACTTTAATAAAATCATGAGCATTAGTGCATTTGGTTTATACTTAAACTATGCGGCTACTGCAGTGATTGTACCGTTTGACACTGTCCATTTGCGCTTGGAACTCTGTCTTTTGGGCATTCATGTTTGCGATCATGGCTCCAACGTTACCGACGACTGTGGCGAAGATGAGGACACCAGCAAGGAAGTCGATGGTGATGAAAATGTACTCCCCATCTCGAACTGGTTTTGGAGTCTCGCCGATTGTAGTGAGGATCAGCGTTGACCAATAGAAGCTGTAGGTGTACTGGGAGAAAATCGACTGCCATCGCTCTGTGAGATTGCAGGGCTCATCTGTGATATCGTCAGTGGAACGAGGCGGGTACACGAACGAGTTTTCACAGAGTCCTATTAAGAGGTAAAGTGACTTCAAATGCTTATAAATGTCGATAATTCCTTAATTTTAAAAGCATTATAATTAAATGAAGGATAACGATCGTTTATCGTTTATTTCCTGACATATTCACTCCCAATCAGGCGTTGAGTGTAGATAACTACATTTGTAATTTAAAGTAATTTTACATGCAGAAAAAAGGCAATGCAAGAGAAGCCAATTTGTAGGAATAAATACTACTTTTAGAGGAAATCAAAGCTGCAAAAGGTTCGTCTAAATGCGCCTCAGTTTATATCTATGTTTTCAATATTTCATAATTTAGGATTAACGGATGCTGAGCGGGAATTTAAGAAACGTTTTTACTTCAAACATTTGATTTATCATTTTGATCTGCACCATATTAAGTGAGCTTTGTCACGAAAGACACATTTAGCAGTTTAAAATTGACAAGCCGATAGGTTGCGCAACTATTTCGATGAGAAGGGTGATATTTCATACATCTTACGGAGTACAAGGCTCTCTTATAACCACACACGCAAATCTACCTTTCCGTGTTTGATGGATAATTCTACTGATTCCCTCAAGCTTAACATTAATCTTTGTGTCGCTGTGTGCCTGGTGACAGCGAGGATGGAAATACCACCCTCTAGTGGTAATGTAGAACCGAAGGGAAGAGAAAAGGCAATGAAGCCTGGGAAATCAACCTCACCTGTTTGTGTGCTAACCTCGAAGAAGATGCAGGCGTTAATGTGGATGAGAATGAGAATGCCGGCAGTGAGAGTGATCACACGGAACACGTTGGGAAAGGAGGCGCGTGTTTCAGTGCGGGCGATGAACTCAAAGACCTTGTAGGCCTTCAGGAGGCGGTTCAGGCGTAGCCAGGCGGCGTAGTGCGTGAAGGCCTGAGAGATGTAGAGTAAGTCCGTCGGAAGGACGGCGAACACGTCCATGAGGCAATCAGATTTTTTGATGTAGGCGTTGCGCAGTTTGACCACATCAGTCACTACCAGACCCTCCTCGAGATAACCTAGGAGGGGTTCGGCTTTAAGTCACCTTCTCCTAACTAGACCTAATGGATTATTTATAAGTTCTTATATTTTATTAGGAGTAATTTGTGCTGTTTGCTTTATTTGCTACTTGTTCCGATTTTTAGCAATAACTTTGTGCTTTTATCTTGCAGTTTGCATGCGGTTAAAGAAGGGTCTCCATCAATTACCCGCCTTTCCTCAATGTAAATAGAGATTTTTCTTAATCTTCTTGTATGCTCGGAGTTTTGTAACAGTGCAATAAATTACTACAGTCCCGTAAAGATGTGTTTAAAATCCCGTAGAATGATTTACTCTTTCCATTGATTTCCTTCGTTTGATAAAGCACTACTTCATGTAGGTGTACTGCGTACCAATTTTCGTAATCAAATGCATTTGATAACTTGTAATATTTTAAGACCAACCTAGGAGCTAAAACTTATCTGTACTTTCTGCTCCACAAATACCATTTAAAAGCTTTCAAGATCCGAACATTTTACATGGTTTTAAAAATAGAATGACTTACAGTAATAGGATTGCATCTATTATAGTGGCAGAGTTTTGGTGGATTTAATAATAATATTTTAGGCATTTTAAATCTTATAATGTAATTCAATACGAGTAGTGGTAATAATGTAACGTTCCACGAACTGGATAACCACTTAATTTGTTCAATTTCTCGATAAATGCGGAACAATTTTAATTTACGGAGCATAAATTTTTCGGGATGTGCAGGTGGCTTTGGTTTGCACATGTCCAAAAAACAAGCTAGTCATTTCAAGTGAATAAAAGGTGCAATTGAGGTGCTTGAAGGGTTCCAAATACCAAAATGTCGTGGGCGTAAAGTAGACAGAAACGCTTAGCGCAGAGCTGAAAAAGAAGGTGTACCTGTTCTGCAGCCAACCCATATATCGAGGAGGTAGATGAAGTCAATGCAGTAGTCTATGCACATCCAAACAGGGGGAGAAAGTTCGTGGAATTGCGTGAAGGCGGTGCGCATGGGGAGGATAATGCAGTTGTAGAGAACTGTCAATGACACTAAACCCAGCCATCGATAATATAATTGCGATGACGTATCCATGGTGGAAGTTTGAGCCCATCTAAAAAGTATTTTCGTGAAATGAAAATTAATTAAGTGTATGGGTCTTAACGTTGCCCATTTCTCATTTTTGGTTCCTGCCTTCACGTCTAGCGGCCCCCACTGAAGAATGAAATCCACTAGTGGGTTTGCAAAAATAAGTATCGTAAATGCTGCGTGGCTTTGTGAAATGCTCGATAAGACTTGTATGCAATCTTTCATTGAACTCACCAAGGCCGTCAGTGGATTTAAGCCAGCTAAGAACACCATTTCAACGTAGATTTGCAGGTACGAAAAATCATGGTGGTGTGAGAGTGGGACTTCTGGCTGGAATTTGACTTTATGCTAATTACTCGTTCAATCGTTAAAACCTTACACGGCAAAATTTGTATTTTCCTTTGAACCCAAATTACTTGCCAAAAAACATATAATTACCTTTTCATTTATTTGGAGTGGAAAGAACGTTTTGGCTCAACTTATGCCTTCCATTGATCCACCTGCGAGATCAACTCATATAATATTAATACTAATGCAAATTTTTCTTAGTTAATTTGAGAAGGATGTTTTGGTTATCAGCGCGCGGTTCTTATGGCCTAGGTAGAAGAAACTACTTACAATTTCATTTTTTTGTACAAAGGCGTTTGTGGTTCCTGATCTTCGTCCACGTCAGCATGGTCATCAGTAGGATCGTGCGCCTCTTCCAAGCTCACAATTAATGAGTTGCTCTCCTTGTAGCGTTTTGCTAGTTTTTGGTCACCGCACAAGCAGCAGCACTGCAGTGCATTAAAAGATAAACTACACGCCGATCCTGCTAGTGAATTAAGACATGTGAATAATGATACATCCCTGCATTGCGCTGTCACGAAACTGTGTGGTCAGTTCTGTACTAAGACGCGAACAGTCAACATTATCTCATGTCTTTTTCTCTTGATACTCTGTATTACTGACTAGTGCACACTGCTTATTTATCAAACAGGCCTATGCATAAATACTATTTTTAATTATTGGAATTAGTGCTACTTTGAAATGAGATTCCACCAGTGACTGTTCGAGGAAAACGTATTAAAAATCTAATCAGATTTATCCCCCACTTCACTTTTTGATCTAGTATCACTTTAAAACAATAAGGTGAAAACTACCTACCTTTTTCGCAATTTTCCTCTCTGCACTTCCGGAAGTTTCAACGGAATTACTCATTTCCGAACGATACTAAGTACGAAATGGGAAAATCAAACACACCGGAGCAGTTTCAACCCAGATGGGGTAAAAGGTAACCACACCCAGAATACAAAAATGAGATGGTAGCCAATCACGAAGGAGAGGAAAAACGAAGCTTTTTCCTCCTTAAGTATTTGAAAGTGGTAAAAGGCGTTGCCTCATCTCCCGCCTCCTCCCCCTCCCAAGCAGAAGGGCGTTAGTGGTAAGTAGGTGGATGTTCAGCCTTTGGACACACAATGGACATTTCGCAAATCCCTTCATTTCTTTAAATAATCACAGCAACAAGACGATGAGGCTAGATAGTGGCCTAGAACTCATTTTAATTTACTAATTTCAATACGTACACAAGTATTGCATCTTCCATTTAACCATGAAAATAATGGTAGCGCAAGAAATACGTGAACTTTGGCTGTTTTGCGAGGTTTTGGCAATGCTACAAACCATAAATCCAAAATGTAAAAGGAATGCACCTGTTGGGAACATGAAATTGCGAAAACTCAACGCATTACTACTAACAAATGGAATTCTCCTTTGGTATACAATAGGCACTGTAACACCTGTATTTTGTCAGTCAATTTTAGGCCTCCAATATTTCCGCACAAACCTTTTTGTGGATCCGAAAAACACATAAAAAGGTGTTTCACATCAGCCATGTATACTGGTGCATGGCCGATGATGCAAGCTGTTCGAAGTCCCTCCCACATTATGCCCCGGAGAAAGAACTTATATACAAATATAGCTTACTGATATGTGGGTCCGTCAGGTCTGTTAGTTTAACCTTACAGTCATCCGTAGTCTGTGATGTCCTGGCTGTCTGCTAGGATCGAAGGCACGGATAAACTGCTTGTGTAGCCGCATTTTCCTGTTCGCACGATGGATCCGCATGTGTCCGTTCAAACAGCAGGAGTGGTAGTGAGATGAACACCAGGAGAGCTTCCGTAGTTGCTAGACATTGTGCTCTACAAATCGAAGGCTTATTCCAATATGCACTTCTCTGGTCAACACATTATTATGGTGTCCACTTTGTGTTAAACCAAGTATTGTGCAAGAAATTGGAATATCTTCAAAGTGGTTCATTAACCGGATTTCGACAAAGGTGATCTCCACCTGTTGGGTTCCCTTCGACCGACATATAGAATTAGTGTTGGTTTTTGGATCTCAAAACAAGCATTTTCTGGTCTTATTAAATATTTTGCAGTCTTCGAGCTCTTGTCATTAGCTTCAAGTACACATTGAAGTACACATTGTTGATGGTGCGAGGACTTTAAAGAAGAACAAGAAATAGAAAATGTTTTGCTTAATATTGTTGAAAATGCAGGCACTCAAATGCATTCCGAGTTTCACCATAATTTCATGGCAAGTGGTAAAAACTGGCAGCATTAGTGTAGTCAAAGCTCAATCATATTGTAAAATATATTTAATTGGAGCAAAATTTACAAACCGGTTAAGTTTATAGCAAGGAGCTGCTTATTCTCCTCTTGAAAAACAATATTGGCCAGGTTTTCCCCAGCAGCATCTGCTAAACAACAGGTTAGGAAGATCGAAAGTACGAGCGCAGCTTTGCAGATAGTCACCGGAATTCCACGACCTAAATGCGGGTTCAGTTCATTCACTGAACTGTAGAAAGTACTGCTCTAGCAACCAACACCAGCTACTTTCCAGAGACTTTGGGTGCTAAGGCTGAGGGGAAACAGCTCCATAATGTGGATGAAAAATGTACTTAATGAGGCCACGAACAAACTTAAGGCAACACTAAAGCAAACAATCATATAAATACTTTTATTAGGGCTGCATAATGAGGGTTCAAGCGCCATCAATTAAGAGTCTTGAAGCAGAAATGCAGTAGCTTGATGTGATAGGGCGTTCCAGGCTTTTCAGCTCGTCGTAGATCAGTGCTGACAAAAAGGTGGTTGGAAGTGGTGTGGCAGCATTCATCAGTGCTCCAAATAGTGCTGCTTTGAGATAATTTGAAGTAGTTCCTTCCCCTCTTTTACTCAACTTCTTTACTTAAGTTTAGCCAGTAATTGTTTTGGTTAGGCTCTATTTTCAAGACAATTTTTAGTGGGCTTTTTCTGGAGACATTTGCAAACGTTACTTGAGTCCACCCTAAAACTGGCTTTGGGTCAATGGTTGTGCGTAATTGTTGCCCGCAATTGGTGAGCCGTCCGTCACAATTCGACGTTACGTCAATGCCGAATTGGTGCGGCTCGATCGCCAAGACCTCGTCTGTTGGCATTCGTTGGGAACACTGTGGTTGTACGGAGTGTTTAATGTGAGTTATACATAATTGATTTAAACATGCCACTATTATGCATGCGATACAGTTTATGCCAGACCTTACTTAATAACAGACTTTATAGACATCGAAGGATTATGAACTCCATGATTTTTGTTAGACAAAATTTACTCTAATGGGATTTGACAGGAGTCCCCCTTTTGAAACACCGAATTGGTACTTCATTTAGCTGCTCAAGTTTTTTGTACAGAATTCTTATTCTTGCCAGCAGTTTAACATGCTGTTCGCGTTGCAAGGTCATGCAAATCTGTTAAAAAATATCCTCTTTGATCTCTCTTCCATTAGTTTTTGTGGTGAAATGGATCTTGTTGATATTTTATATGTACTTTTTGGAAACAAAGTAAATTATAAAGATCTTGATTGTGTGCCCAACACTGAAGCTTGGGTGCTTTCTTTATACCAGTCTTCCTTACCTCCAATTAATGTTCCATTTTTGCTTACTATTTATTCGACTATTAAACCGCCATAATGTACAAGGGCTTTTGCTATCACAACAGTTGACATCCGTTAAACTTATAAGTGACTAGATCAATCACAATTCAGGTCACCGGTGGCTAGCTTTCCTTTTAAATTCGCAGTACCAGCACGTGCCCACTAGTTAACAAAGCATTTCAGTCAATCATACTGTAGAGAATGATTTTAAAAAATCGAAACTTCCATATACCTTTCGTATTGCAGTAATTTTTTAGTAGTTAGTTCTCTTACCCAGTTTTCTGAACATACATCCCCTGAACTAGTTATTTCTGTGTGTGTTGGTGCTTTCACATGTGGGTATATTTGAGCCTGGCGCCAATTACACTGCTCGCAGAAAACGGAGTCGGAAAGTAGCAAACCCAAAATCAGCGATAATGTGTAAGACCAGGCTGCTGCACCACCTTAACCTGAAGGAGCATGGACAGCTTCTGAAGAAGGCGATGTTAAGCTTGCTAGCGGCGGCGCCTCCACCAAGCAAATTATGGGGGAGTACTTCCTTTTACAGAACCTCATCACCATTTAACTCACTTTTGAGCACGCTCACTCAATTATTTACCCACGCACGCTCAATGTCCATGGGTGTACCATCCCATCCACTTTGTCCTTTTTGTTCATAGAGGCTATTTTAGATCTTGGTGTATCACGTACTCATTGGAGCACTTCCTTGTTATGCTTGATACCTGTGACACATTAGGTGTCAGTCCGTAGTGCAGTTTTTTTTCGTTATGTTCAGCAAATAAACTTGATCTTAAATGCTGAAATCAGTGCAAACGGACGCTTACATGTGAACCAGTAAATGGATGAGAGCCAAAAGTGAGCGGCAATCGGCATGTCTCTGTTGTTTTTAACTAAGTGAATGGAACAAGCACTTAAGGCTGGAATTTACGATGAGAGGCTGAGAATATTTTCCCGGAGGAATGTCTCGAATTGGAGTGCCCTCCAAGGTGCGAGTGTGTAACTTTTGGCAGGGCAACAGTTGATGGATTGCCGGATATAAAAGCTACTCAGACAAATCACTTAACTCTCAACACCCCTATTTTAGGATAAGAGTTGGCTAATGTATAGCTGCCTTGACTCCCATGCCCAGGCCCGCAATGAAACACCCTTCCTAGAAAACAATGCACAAATTCTCGTCTATTAACGACCTCCTTGCAAAAAAAAAACACCTATGGCTCAGACAACTTAAATAACTTGAACTTGGCTTGCAAACCTTACGACGTTTTCGGAAAAGCATTGTATTGCATTGATGAACGTCAAATGTACTGTTATTGTATATTTGTGTCCGTAATGTTAACCTCCGCATTCCATCGGTTCGTTGAAAATTTAATCCAATCTTATCGTACAGGTGACTGGTTTAGTTGAAATTATTATCTTGACCTAAAACTACCCAGGTGAATTTTTATTAGAGATGTGCATAGTTTGGCCACTAACTGAATGAATGCTGCCACCCAGTATCCGTTTACTGCATCAAATGGCCTACAAACAAAGCAGAATGCCTCTATGGTTCGCAGTACTAACCTCTAAAGTTTTACCGCAGTGGCAAATGGAAATTCATTCTATTTTATTGGATTCTAAAAACCTGTAAATAAACGTCAGAAAGAGCTGGATGATAATCATTGCAACTGGTAGACTACACTCAAAAGTTGTGTATCATTCACTTGAACCCACAGTTAGGCAAAACCATAAAATTTATTGCAAGTTAATGTAAACACATAAATGTACATCCATTGTCGTTGGTCTAATTTCGAATGTATGACCACTTTATTCCATCAAGAACCATTAAAAAAAAATAAGCTTTCGCTATGCTTTGATTTCTGGCCGGTACGCCACATTTTCAGCGTTACCGTTTGGGAACACTTAATTAATCACCGAAAACGAGAAATTTTCAGTCTCATCGAACTATATTTGCAGGATATACACATGTATAAATGACATAATTGCAAACTGCTTTATTGCTGTCGAAAGATAATCGTTATCTTCTATGTTCGCTGACCAGTTGGGAACCCTTGAACCTCCACCTCCTCTCCATACGACCAGACGTAGACACCGGGATAGCGGGCTCGTGATCGTGGCATCCGAAGCATCACCGAAGATGATCCGACTCTCAATTGGTCACCCGTGTGAAAACTGGCACTTCTAGTGACTTCCGCCTCAGAGGTCCCACGAAGTAGTCTATCAGGTCCGTAATGATTACTGAGGAACATGCCACGCTGCTGTTGCTGTCGCTGTAAGTGCTGCGAAGCAAAACTGAAGCTGATGTCGGCCATGGAGTCACCCATTCCCGATACGGTATCTGTGGAAGGGAGCTGAACAGCAGTAGCCGTGTTTGTTGCAGTGGTGCTGTTAATGTTACTGCCAACAGGCTCAACTGGAACATTCCTCGTTGCGCGCGTTTTGTCTTTGACCAAGGTGTAGACAGTCTGTGAGTTGTCACTCATTGAATCGCCTGTCTGCAGGGCAACCGACTTTTGAGCTGGATTGGTAGTTGGTGGATAGACGGTAGCAGAAGGACTAACCAAGGGATAGCCAGGTGGATAAAAGGATTGGGGCTGAATGAAAAAGTGCAAAACTATGATATATTCAAAACGAATAATAGGATCGGTAGATCAAAAAAAGACCACAAAAAAAACTCTGCTGAATACTAGTTTTTACAAATCATAATTTTTCATTGGGTGCTTCAGGCATCGCAACCTCGCTATTCAAAAGTAACTAATTTCTTCTTTTTTTTAGCAGCATATTGCTAAAGTGTTCCAGTGGTTTGAAACCTAAATTTGTCATTTAAAAGAATTTCGCAACCCCTTTACGTGTAGAAGTACATGTGAAAGTGGAATGTGCCTAATCGCGAGCAATTGATCGACCAATTTACCGGTATCAAGGCAAAGAAATCACCATTGAACAGAAAAAAGTCGCATTAACAAATTACGACAAGCTTTACACAAAGATTCGCTAGTATTGTTTCATAAAAAGAATGCTGCATAATACTAAAAATCGGACTTGACGTCTCGAGTCGCTAAAAGTGCATTTAACACCGTGTTGACACAAAATCTTCGTTAGCAATTTTGACGTCCATCTGCTTAAATGGATAGCTATGAAATTACTGATGTCAAGATACTTGAGTGGGGTTCTTTCATCATGGAGACGTTAAATTTATCCTACGACACTTTCTTGGACATATCTGCATGTTTAAGTTATATTCTTGTCTGAACTTCGCCCAATGACAAAGCGTCTTCCTATAATTATCATCACTAAAAGTGCTTTTCTTCTTCTTTTTGGATGAATAGAGCACTACTTAGCTTGACACCGTTTACTTCAACTTAGCCCTAGTTGCAACGCGAATTTGGACGAGCTATTGGTTGATCTACGACCAGCGCATCCGAGAGAAACGCGATTGGGTAGCCGCAGGACTGCGCAGTTAGTATGGCTTTACGTGACAATAAAAAAAACTCCCACATAGTAATTCATGGCAATTCAATCTGAGCCTGTGTAACAGATGTGAGGAGCGAATTATTACAGAGTAGTGAGTGCAAGGGCTGCGAATCTTGCATCAGCGTTCCGAGACTTTTCGCTTCGCTATTTAGATCACGATCTGATGCCACAAACAGGAGACCATGGATTAATGGCAATTTCCAGCGGAGGAAAACGGCATTACTCACTACCGGTTTGCATTAAAGCTAGAGATGAAGCGTTTTGTTGACTACCAACAGTACTGTAGACTTAAAAGAGCATTTAAGAGCACTAAATTGAACTTGCATCTTGATTGCATTACTAGGCTCCAAGTTAGTGTGCTAGTTTGACAGTTAAAAGAACGCAGTCAAGTTTTTTTCTTGCAACTGCCTAAAGCTTCGTTGATTTAGAAATTTGATAACATCTCTATGAATTTAGAGCATGCAATAAAACTAAAAACGTTTCCATGTTAATGGGGCGCGCCGCACAAACTCCAGATGAAACGCAAGCGCACATGGCTGGAATCACAAACCGCGTAAGGCAGTTTATTGAGGCCAAGTGATAAAGATTTGCAAAAAGGCAAAACTTTTCAATCCAATTTAAGGACGAAAACTACTTCCACTCATGTATAACACACAAGATTACGATGAAATATGTACCAAATGTCTCACTACTTTTAAAGTGCTTAGGTTGTCATGATCCAAGTTCACAATTATTAAGAACTCGAGTTTCTTGTAATTATGCCTTCTCACGAATAATTTTGTCCAGAAATGTAGGTTCAAATTTGACTTCATTTACTAAAAAGTCGAATTCAAAATGGAAAAAGTAAGTAGAGTGATGACGGAGTTGCAAGTAAAGGGCAACCCCGAGAGCCATTGCTGTTATTTGAAAGAATGAGTGAAAGATCTTAGCCTAAGCTTCCTAATCTGCTGTCATTTCCGTATTTACAAAACTTACTATCCACGGCACCATCCACACAACATCCGGTGATGTGGTGGGGAATGCAAGCGGCACCGATATTTGTGAAGCATCTGATTTTTCTAAGGTGGGAGTTGTCATGGTACTTGTGTTTGGCGGGACCGGATAAGCAGGTACCCAGGGCGCTAGAATCGGTCGCACTGGAAGGGGAATGAAGGCGGAGGATTGGATGGGTGGGCCCGGGGTCGTGGAGGTGACTGACGAAGGGGACATGTAGGTCGGCAAACAGTAGAAGGGGAGAAACGGCGCTCTTGAGTTTGTTCCAATCTGGGGATGCTGCTGTTGCTGGTGCTGATGCTGTTGATGGGGTGGGAATAATGGATACGGAGGCCATAGCGGCGGTACTGGCGGTGGCGGCGGATGAATCGGATTCGAACATTGAGAGGACGAAGGCTCCTTCTTTCTTTCTTCATCCAGAGAAGTGGTTGGCCGGTCGACCGGAGAGGGAGGGATGCAATTGGGGGAGGTGGAGGAGGAGGACGTGCAGGAGAATGTGTTAGTTGAGCTATCACTTGTCATGTTGGCATTGTCATTGTACGAGAGATGTTTCTGGGATTTCCCTGTATTTCTGATGGAATAGCGTGGCGGGGAGTCCTCGGAGGTCATCCGCAGTCCGGCAATGGTAAAAATAGACATAGCTAAAAGAAATACCTCAATTTATTACTTCATTGAGTTGACTTGGTTTGAGAGCGTTCTTAGAAGCAAGTATCACTTTCGCAAACAATTTCCGCACGTTCGTATTTCAACAATACAAGCCTTGGTACTTGAAATGAGTTTTATCTACAAAGACAATTTATAGAGTCAGGAATCGCTTTAGACTGGACGACACTATCTTAGTTACTCCAAAACGGTTGTAGGAAAATTTAGTAGAGCTACTTGGCCAAGTAGTGAAATAATTTGTTGCCCTCGGATATTAGAAAAAAAAATTGTATAACAGTTGGTCTCTCCTCAAAATCACTAAAATTTCAGCAAGACCTGACATTGACACAATATGCTCCCGTCATGGCTATTCTGTGGTTAATTATTCTGGGAATGCTCCGGAGAAAATTTGATATACGTTTCTTCATCATATGCTTTCTGTAATTTGTTAAGCTATATGGACCTTCTCAGTTAAAGTTTTATTTTTTGATTGTATGTCAGGCATGCAAAGCGAAAAACGTGTATTGGTTTTTAAAAATAACTATAATGTGTACTTTTAAAAATGGTCTAATTAATTCAATCGTTCACATGACTAATCAACCATTTTTGTTGCCATCTTGAGACAGAGACCCTGTACTTAAAAGTGTGCTCCGTTATCTCATACAAAACAGCCATGGAAGTGGGTACTTATTTGAGAGAATATATTTAACCATTTTCAATCATACATTTGCCGAGTGAAAAAAACAGGCATTTATAAAAATGTGGCTAAATTGAGAAACTGTGTAGTTTCAGGTTTTGAAGCCACTTTTAGCAAAATTAATTGGCACTTTTATGGGAGAAAAGTCAAACAATAAACCAACAAACACCGGTGTATTACACTCTGTTGTCCACAATAAGTACTGACTGTGCCTCATCTTTCAAAACTATGTTTGTAATTTAGTGCCCCAATTTGTTAGGATACAAAACTGGGTTGTGTTTCGGAAGAATCCCATAAGAAAGGTGGTATAGTTAAGCAGTCTGGTTATCTGCATGTTGGGGTGTTCGGTCTCGCTGATTAGACGACAAGTGCATAACAAGCGTAAGAAGATGAGAATATGTGGGGCGTGCAAGCAGATGAGCTGTTGTGTAATGATATAAATGCACCCAATTCCAAATTTTGAGAAGGACTATTCAAGCAATATAAAGTACCCTCACCGAAACTGGTGAAAAGTTTTAGAGAGAAGTAACTACTTACGCATGAATCTTATCTCCAAATAAGTAGAGCATTTGAGCATAGCTGAACTGTCACTACGGTCTGATATAATTTAAGGCCTTACTGTCAGGTAGGCAGGCGAGTTGAGCCGTCGGAAGGGAGACGGTGAAGTAGGGATGGCGGAGAGCGGCGCGAGCAGTGATGCGTCGCTCGGGGGGCAATTGGAGGAGGGCAGAGGCGAGGGTGGTGGCATGTGCGATGTGACCGAGGCGCGGTACCACGTGGTTTAGCGGTTTCCCTGCGTGCCACAGCAGCCCACACCCTCCCTTTCCTGGCCATCCTCCGCGTGCTCCGGTGGACAAATGCTGATGCGGCTGCTGTGACCGCGACTGCTGATGATGATGGCCGTGGTGATGTTGATGGTGACGATGCTGGTAAGAATGGTGGTGACGATGATGTCGACGATGCGAGGAACTGCCTAGCAGATTCTTATACTTTGGAAGCTTCGAGACACCGGGCCAAGTCTCCTCCGTAGGTGTACCCATGTACTGCAAGGGGACGGGACATAAACATCAGCAGCTATCGTAGCTAAGTGCACCAAACAAACCAATGGCGGGATTTGTGAATTTGTGTTAAATTACATTAGACACCAATAACGACCCTATAGAAATCCTAATTATACAGTGATTACAAAGAAGCGATTTCATATTATTACAATAATTTGAGTAAGACTATTTTAAGACACTATGCATTACCTCTTCATGCATTTCCTAAATTTTCCAGAAGCTGTATTTCTCAATTTGGGAAGAAAATGCCCCAAGAAATACCGAGATCTGTTTGACTACTTTGTCTATTCAAGACTGCATTTAAAATATTTATAAAATTGGACGAATTATTTGGCCGACCTTCTATGTACTAATCTGTTATCAACACTGTCGTTGGATTTGCGGCAACTCCAATCTACAATTTTCAAAAATGTAACGTAGTGAAAGGACTCGTCCAAAGATTCTACTTTAAAAAAAGAAATAGGGATATTTAAATGAGAACCATATTTTAACAGTCAACAAAAGACTTGATACTTTGGTGCCAGACTTGGAAGTTCTGGTGGTAAATGTAAATGCTTCGTACATCTAGTGAATTGACGGTGGTGAGAGCGTGATAAGGCAGGTATTGGCCGTAAAACGGATGGAAGCGAATGGGAAGAAGCTGAAGGCTAATCAATGAGCACTTAGTGTTCCCCTGTGAAAACTTAAACAAGGCGTTTTACCCATAACCCGCCAACGCTACTGTGGTACCGCGCCTGCATGAGTCACTGGGTGGGGACGTCTGCAAGACCACACCCATGCAGAGCGTCTATTGGATGGGGTCGGACACGCGAAGCGCAGACACCAAATGCCCTTGTCCGCGTGCAGCTGAATTCCCGTACTGATGCACGCTCTCAACGTAGCGAGTTGATTGGGTAAGCGAAGCGGATTACCTTGGATGCCACTCATTAATCGGATTTTTGTGTTCCATCGACTCAGTCAGCAAATTCACTTATTGGAGTGGTACTAATGCTCGCGTTTAAAGCGAAAAAGTTTTCAAATGCTCTCGTGCAAACTTATTCTGGTATTCGATTGCCTCAGATAACAAGATGAACGCGAGTATGTACCTCCATTTGCAAGCTGACATCGAAGCACCTGACAGTTATCGTCATTCAGACGCCAAAAGTTATGGTGGAGGATAGGCGAAATAAATCTCGAAAATTAAGTACTAACGGAAAGTATACCATACTCTGGAAATCTCTGGGACCCACTCGTGGGATGGGCCTTGCAAAACAGATTGACATAAGAACACACGTCACTCGTGGCTTACTGTAGCAGACACATGGGCTAGACCTGACAGTTATTGTATAAATTTTGCAATAAAGAAACTGTTAATTGATGGATCTGTATGGATCCAAATTCCTACAATGAATCCTTCGTGAGGATTAGTTTTGACGAAACACAAGTGTGGAGTAACAGATGTTTATCAAAGTACCTCATGAGGAAACAAAACGATCGCATAAAGAGCAGCTTTACAAGGAGAAAAGTGTCAGGATCTGACATGATCCTTGTGCTTTCGATTCAGTTGAAACATTATAAAGGTTGTCAGCTAAAAAGACTGCTAAGGTAAACCCAAAATCCTTCTCAGTGTACAGTGGCATCATAAAAGCGAAACCAGAGTTAAAGAAAAAAATAATGGTTTAATAAGTATAGATTGGCAACAAATACTGTGATACAAACAAACTAGTCTTAATCGATCCCAAAATCCGTGGTGGAAATAAAATCATAAGTACATATTGTCTAAAAGGAAATAATAGGTATTAAATGAAGTTAAAATAGCGCAATTTCCTGTATCACAGGTAATAGAATTTTTCTTTGAAATTGTGTACACTGAAAATGGTAACAATTTTGTGGTATCTCAACGATACACACATAATGATGATAGGCTAATGCTATAACTCATTGTGAGGAAATAAGAAATGGAAGTGAACGTACTATCGTAACGTACCCTGAAAATCTTGTCCAGTTGATCTACAGCGTCTGCCACACCCGGAAAGGTGGCGTCACCGGAAAGCATCTCCAAAAATATGCACCCGACACCCCTGCAGTGAAAAAGTACGAAGTTGTTACAAACCAAGTCAAACTCCTGATAGTGTAAAATGCAAAGATTTTCTTAAAAACAATAGGCAAAATCTTTTTATGAGGATTTTCGTCTTCTGAAGAACCTATTTTTTTAATTTTGAGGCTAATTACTAGCTCGCGACTGAGCAGATTTAGCAGTAGTTGGATATAAAGTGACGTTTTATTGTAAGAAGACGTTCACAAGCAAATAGTTGGATAAACTTAATTGCAGTGTAAATTGTGACATTGTGAAATCGCGACTTTATTGCTGGAATTACCTGATTCTTGGTTCAAAATAAGATGTCTTTATTACTCCTAGAATACTTATTTACATAAGAGCATAGGTATCTAAACCATATCTCGGAAATTGCAAAGTTGACGTCAACAGTTTGCTTGCTCAAAAACATACTCTTCGTAATCATTTTCCCCTGATAGGTAATGTTTTGAAAGAAGTTTACCTATTTATTGGCAGTAACATTCACAGTGTACCTAGCGGTGAAATAAAATAGGTGTGGTGGCACTGTGACGTTAAACGAATGCTTCCATAATTTGAGCACCCTGCGCCCCTAAAACAATACATTTTATCGCAAAGGCATGAGACCTATTCGTTGCCAATTTTTCACTACCTTATTACCACTGCGTCACGCCATTTGTTAGCTACTATTCGGCATTCTGTGACTAAATGAATGGGAGTAGTATTGTTTATGCGGACAACAGGCTACTTACCACATATCGAGAGAAGCGGTGTAGTTCGTGGAGCCCAATAAAACGTCGGGTGGTCGGTACCAGAGTGTGACAACCTCATGACTGTAGGTATGACTCGGGACTGACTTGGCTCGAGCCAGGCCGAAGTCAGCCAATTTGAGTTCGCCGTTCGCCGACACGAGAATATTCTGGGGCTTTAGGTCACGATGTAGTATTCTACGGTCATGACAGTACGCCAAACCACGCAGTAATTGGTAGAGAAGTAACTGGAAAATGGCATTTAACGTCAATATTAGAATCCAATATTTTACGAAACTCCTATTGACAAATACGTAGGAGCCAACACACACCTGCCCTCGTCATTTGGCCCTTAGGAAAGATAGACTCCAAACAGCATTCGCCAATTTTTCATGGCGCATGACTACTGAAAGCCTTCCTACAGCCAATCAAACTAAAGAAACAAAACTTTTAAAAGCTCTTTTACTGTATTTATACCGAAGTCGTGTATTCACAAACGCTCTGCCATACTAGCTATCTTATGCATTCAAATACGCATATGCTTGCGTAAACCCATTTTACAACACCTTTTACCACTGATTCTTGATTGCTATCCTCATATGGATGCTTTAACAGAGGTCAATTTTGCCAGACTTTAGCAATCAACCATCAATGGGAAATGCAGATCAAGATGTGGTGATGGAATATCAAAACCCTATTAAATTAGCTCATTTATGAAATATGGGCTAAAGAAAAACCATAAAATGGCCATATATTTCCCGAGCTTTTGCTGGTAAAAGTTCCAAGGCACACCGAAAACACAATTTGTAAGGGATGGCAAAATTAATGTTGCGAGTTGCTGTAATGTTTACTTAAATAGAAAAACCGTCCCCACAAGTAAGCTGTTCACTCCTAATTTAAGAACACTAAACTTGGCAGGTATCAACCGATCCCTTTTCTGCTACAGGGGAAGAAAATATTATGCGACGTCACACCTTTTGTGAATCCGACTACCTTAGTCAATTACTTGGAGAGGGAAATCCACAAAAAATAAAAGTAAAAAAACATTGAGTGAACAAGATGGAATGCTAATGGAAAGTATGTCTGCCTCATAGAATGCTGAAGTAGATAAATATAGAAATATTAGTATTTGTTAAAGTCTATAAGGCATAGCTCGAACGAACGTAAATGAAGTAGTTTATATGATTTTGATTTGAGATTAATGCCTTCCCTTTAATGTGGAAGGACGATGTTCTGTACTTCGTTTCTAACTTTTACAAAAACTGACTGCTGGCAGTCTATTTTATTTAATTTTACAGCAGCAAGTGTTATACAATCAACTCTTACCTGTACATTTTGGGGTTTGAGACCTTTAGGATTTTTCTCCATCAATCGACTCAAATCAGAATCCTATGCGGTTTAACAATAGATAAGGTGAATAATGTGATACTTCCATGGATATCCATGTTGATAGTTTAAATGTTTGTATAAATGCTCGAAAGAAAGAGCCACAAACTCTTAGTTTTCCAAAACTGACCAATTAATTAAGTCCGACGGAGGTACGGACACTTATACCAAAGGACCCCAATGGTGATTACCACTTTGTTGTGCATAAGCAAAATACCAACTCTTTTAATAACCAAATAAAATGAGTAAAGACTCCTTCAAGCATCACAGCCAGTAAAACGACTGAACCTTTTATATAGACGGCTTCTAAGAGTTCATACAAAGCGAAGGCATTCACACACTTTCCCTTAAAGTTGTGCCGGCCTATTTAAATCATGGCATCATATGCAATAAAAATCTCGTAGTTTTGAGGTAAAATTTGTTTACAAAACAATCACTTATCAAAATATATAAAATGCACAATAAAATTATGGCCTTAGGACAAGGTCAAACCATAATTAAGATTGTTTCACCGAAATTTGTTATTTTAAATCGTTGAGACAATAATTTGGAGAGGAGTTCATCTTAACTCGGTGGATGCTTGCCGAGTGTTGATGCCGAATACATTACAAATATAAAATGAGGCTTTACGATTGTAAACATACCACGTATTCAAAGACGAAATTGAGAGTGAGTTTTGTATGTACAATGTCGTGAAGAGTGACAATGTTTGCATGACGCAGGGACTTCAGTAATGAGGCTAGAAACAAAAAATGGGTCCGTTGCAGTGAGGAATCAACGCTCATCGACGCATTATTTGGTCGTCAAAATTGTGGAGGCTTCCGACTAACAGGATGAATTCATGAAAGGCATATAGAATAAAGGCAGGCGATTTGTCAGAGTACTTTGGATAAAATGAAGTATTTTAGTCTGGCTTCCAACCTGCCACATATTTCAAAAGGCCTCGTTTGAAGGTTTAATTATAAGCACTCTTTAAATTGTTTTGACGCCCTTAAGGAGGTACGCAACTACTACATGCATTAAAAGTTATGTCGATACATGTATTCGAATACCACCCAGGACTTTACCTTCTCTGATGGCCGTAAAAGGGAGTCCTTCCTCTTGATTAATCCGAATTTCCTTAACAGCGACCACACGATTGGTGAGACTATGATGTGGGAGAAAGTGTGTCAATAAAAATTCAGTTCATAGTCGACACTGTACACAGTAGCGAACTTTACAGGTTCTATCGAGTGACTACCAATATCTAATTTGTTACAAAAACATAATGCTTTAAGCCAACTCCCGATCCAAAGCCTTCACTGGCTCTCAACCACCGTACCTTTGGAGATTTTGAAGGAGCCGGTGAATATTTGGCTAATGAAAGTTTTGATGTCACCGTTATCTCAGGAATAGACACATCTGCATTCACAAGCTAATGCTATTGCATATTTCGGTGAGAGCAATTAGCATAATGGCAGGTGCTGCCTAAACATTTGTGTCCTCGGACACTTGGACAGCTCAAAAATAACTTCAAAAGAAAGTATGATGACTAACACATTTGGAATAATTTAAAATGGGTTTCTATCACGACGATGAGTGCATACACTTAAAGCTATGCTGCAGATAGCCCCATTAAAGGTGAACCATTGTTGAAGGCGGATGTTAAAATTCGTTAGTGCGTTGTTGTCGTCATTTATCGACTAATTGAACAGCACACTTCGATGTTCACAACACCGTTATAGTGAGTAGCATACCTTCTGGTATGTTATATTTGAGTACATAATAGAAGCATATCCAGTTACCTTTTTATAATAAGCCAATCTACTTATTGTCAATTTTAAGTAAACTTGATGAACTATTTTTAGTTTGAATCCCAAAGGTGACCCTGAGTATGCAGAGGCGTCAATCCATGCCATTGTAAGAAGGAATTCATGTTTATGATACAGGGTATTGATACATAACAGATAGTCCATTCTCTTCGTCGAAGCATACGTTTAGTTGCATTCGGAATAGTGCACTTCGTTATCTATTACAGCAGCTTAGCAGATCAAAAACGATCAAGTCCAACCATACTATTCAGGTTCTAGGGTTTTAAAGATGTTCCTAACTTGGATAAGTTGCTAAACTCATATCATGGCTTATCAGTTACGATTTATAAGACATTCGCACATTTATTAGCCTCTACTCGTTGAGTATTTTATTACTCGGAGTTACCTAGATAAGTATTTTGGGAATGAATATCATCCTTTTTGTTGGCTTTTTGTTATTCAATTAATTCCCCTTCGAAACAGTATGAAATAAGTAGGTTAGCTTAACTACGTAAAATTTATGATTTTTTGTGGAGAGGAAAACTAAGTAGTTGGCTTGATAGGGCTAGGAAGTGTGGTCAGTCGTATCGACCTACTGAGAATATCCGCGATAGACAGTGGCGTAAGAACCCTCGCCGAGCACCTCCAACTTCTTGTAGGACTCAATGGCGCCAAACGACTCGATTCCTGCCACGGCGGACCGTGCAGCGGAGGAGCCGCGCGAGCGCCACGTCGCTCCAGAGCGACAGGAAATGCCGCTGTCGTCGCCTGCGCGACCAACGCTATCCACTCCTCCGCCCTCCCCCGCAGTCCTCGCCTCTGCCTCCGTCTCCGTCCCCGCCACGGTCGACGAGAAACCTGTTGTGTCTGCGGCTCCGAAACCTGCCGCCACACACAGCGCACTTAACATGTGCTATTTGGTTCAGGTTGCGCATGAATTTCTATGCTGATGTTTAGATCTATGTATATGCTGAGAGGTACGGGCAGTAAATATCGATACAGTGGGTCTATACACAAAAGCTTAAAACCATGTCTTTTAAATGACTCCTATTTATGAAATTTTGACCGGCCGCATGGCATTGGTTTTCTCCCTGCTTGTAGCACATAGATTTTCAGATAGTGCTGTAATAAATGTTATATTCTCTTGGCAATCCAACAGCACAGAGCTCCCTCGATTTGTTTTCAAACTTGTTGAGCGTTGTGCATCGATGAGCTGAGATTTCATTTTATCTCAAAATACTAACGGAAGTGCAGATTATTTGTCTTAAGCATCGTGAAGTTGATGGTCGACATTCCCAAAGTGCGCCCTTTACTATGTCATCTTCCAGAATAGATAATTCAGTAGTCATTATACAGGTATATATAATTCAACTATCACTAATTATACGCGGTACGCAATACAAATGTGGGAGTAGTAAAGCTCGGGATAACATTTCATAGCATTTAGCACGGTCAAAATCTACGCGATAGTTCAAATTTGCTAGAGCGCTTATTCTAGAATAAGTCTGCGTTCCTTACCAATAGTGTACGACATCAAAATTAGACAATTTATACATTACGCCTGAGCATAGTTTGAATTTGGCTGCAACATATTTTAACCTCCCAACTAAAAACTTACCATCTATTATGTTGACTCACATGCAAATACGACAAGGCTGAGGAATGCAAAATGAAATGGGAATCATCTTCTGAATAAACTAATTACGAACAGCAAAATACATATTTACTGAATTCTCATTACCACAGAGAAGGTGTTGGAAATTGAAGCTGAGCTAAGTTTCCCATAGCATTATCATCATTTTCCTAGCTGTCTCTTGTAACTGTATTCTTCCACAAGCTAAACAGTAAAGAGGTGGTTGAAGGCTTAGTGGGTGGATGTAAATTTAAGTCAGAGAAATGCAATTATCAGCGCAATCTTTCTTTTAGCTATCATCGCAGCTGACCATATGCAAACAATCCTCACGCTAAACAGATTTTTCAAGCGCCTTAAGTGAATCGGGATTAGGTGATCAAACACAAAAAACCTAATAGCTTTAAACTTTTCAACAGTTTAATGAGGTGGGATTTTATAGTGTTGGGTTAATTATTTACTTGTTATCTAGAATAACCGAAATGGACCTATCCACCGCGCAAGCACTTTCAGGAAGTTTGCTTATTTTAAAACTGCTACCAAGTAATGAACTTGTGCAACTGTTTAGGGAGCAATCTTTGTCCAAACCAGATAGCCTGCAGTAAAATGTAATTGAATTTATAAGCGAACTATTGTGTTATAACTACTGATTTTGCCTCAAAAAGGCTGCTCTTTTTGTTAATTGCTAAAAATGCTTAAGTTGCGAGGGTGGCGTGAGTCGATTGACTTTATGGTAAAAATAAAGCGTTCAGGAAATACAAGTACGCGGAGTGCTTACGGATTAGGCAAAGACCTATTTGTTAACTTGACAACATTATGGAAATGCATAGAGTGAAGCCGATTTTAGTATGTTGAAGTTTTGTGCATTGGTAGAAGGGTTTTTAGAGTTACTAAGACAATTATTTTATCATTTGCATTTAATGGCCTGTTGATGAGTCAGTCAATGGGAATACAGAAGTGATCAACTGAGTTTCTTGGTGAAGCTACTGAGAACAGTTTTTTTCCAAAGATTTATCCGTCTGCTTAGTATTCATACACACTGACAATACATTGTGGCGTTTATGGGAGTTTAAGTAAAGAAACCTCGAAAAGGTTATTAAGGACTTTAATAGTTCTGAAATACACATTGAGCCGTCCCTTAACAGACCATCAATGCAAGAAAAGGGCCATCACAAATTTTTTTATTCTCTTTCCTCTGAAAACGGTTAAAAAAGTGCTTTGGCTAGAGTAAGCGTTCCGACAATAATAACGGTACTCAAAATGTGAAAGAGCGTAAGGACCAGTGAGTTCGTCTGCCAACAGGCCAGTTGCCATTGCCTGTGGATGTATCAAGTAAATTGAAATAAAAATAGCATCTCAGATAAAAGGTTTCTAATTTGGCTAGAAGGCGAAAAACGTATTGATACGAGAACTTCGTAATTAGCAAAAATTGAAAAAAGACAGTTTAGTGCACAGAATAGGGAACCACAATATAAGGCCTCAATAAATGAAAGTTCTTTGGTATGAGAAACTTGGTTGCCTTTTCACGGGAAAAGGGGTAGTTTAATTGGGAAAATTATTGATGAATTTCAATTTACTAAGAAGACGTAAATCGCCTAAAGCTTTGCAGCCACCCAAAATTTTAACAGTGTCACATCAAATGCGAAAGCGTTCGTGTTTTCTCCTAAGTACGCGTGTTGGCTGCCTAGGCACTTTTCATCGTTAGGTGAGAGTCGGTGAGGTCCTCTTAATTTTTAATTTTCGACGCTATACAAGCTCGTGATAGAGTGAGATGTAACAAACACTAATGCTTATTATTTAATGTCTAACCAGAAAAAGCACGTTCCACCGGACTGAACCATAATGCGGCCCATATTTCTCTTCATTGTTGAAAGTAAGACATCTATACCATAGTCTTCGGAGAAAACGAGGCCAATGCGGGAGAACGTGACCAAATTAGTAACTTTGGGAAGATGAAAAATAGTCTCATTCAGACCCGTGTACCAGTAAGGACTTTTCTAAAGCTTCAAAAATCTATCTGATCATTTCAAATGAAGGCCAGCAGGGACAGACATTCGTTATGTGCGCCCAAAAAACATGTTTTTTCAGGTCATGTTTTCAAAGGCGACATTAGTAAAATTTTTACGAAGTGCTTGGAGTACATTTTACTGACGAGTTCACTTTGAACTCTTTAATCTCATAATCTGGCATAACTATGGGCTGAACACTGAGTGAATTGTTTGATTCATCCGACGCTAGAAGTGGAAAAAAGGATTTTTCATCTGCAGTTGCATGTAAATTTGCTGGCAAAAACACTCGGCCCATAAGCACATGCTCAACTCGTAAATTTCGGTGGACAGATCTCCAGTAATCATAGTGGTCTAAACAAAGCAATAACGCTATATCTTTCAAAAAGAATAGCTACAAATATGTAGTAAATTACTGCTTTTGTATAAAAGATTGTGCTCTCATGGATAAACATTTATTAACCAATTTTATAGTGGAATTTCTTCAAATTTAAACTAGGCAAAATCTGAATTCAATAGTGGAATAAGATATTCTTTTAAAAAGTATTTCGGCATTTTGCCCGCGTTTTAGTATCTTTGCATAGTCAATGGGCCAAAAGTAAGTAAAGTTTAAAGAAAACATGTTACTAACGATTTTTAATTTGCACTCGAATAAGCATATAGAATCACTACCTGTTTTTAAATTAGGTAAGCATATGTGCGAATGTAGAAGAAGGTAATTGAGTCCTTCAAAAAAAAATAAAGTAGTGATCCGCACAAAATTAGCAAGGGAAGAAAAATCATCATGTTTTGGATTGGCCAATCGCAATGAGTGACTTATTTCCTGCGCTTAAATTTACAGCTCAATACGATCTATTCCGTGATCGACTACAACATCGGTTGAATCCTTTGAAAATTTATTGTTTGTGCAAATCAAAGACGGGTGTTACCTTCTGATCTAGGTCTTTCCTGGCTGCGAGATTTAGGGTGTTTTCCACAGCCAAAATTCTGTTTTCGTGCTCCAGTCAGCTCGTAGTGTGATGACGATGCTTGAATCCCCTCTACCTTGTTTGATCGTTGAATTCTCGTGGCCTCTTTTTTCTGTCTTAGGCGCATCTGAAAGGCTCCACTTTTCACTTGTTTTAGTGTAGTTCCCCTGAATTACAGTAGAGTTGGACAGTTAAAAATCATCAGAGGGATTAGAAATTATCAAACACTAAGGTATCTCCAATACGTTCTGTAAAAATGGCAAAATAACTAGTGATAGAACGACACGAAATATGATGTGATATGGTTGTTGGTGTGGGTTCTCCAAATTCGTGTAAGTCGCATGTATGAAGATGCGAGGCTACCTGGCAAACTTGTGCTAAAAGGAATCCATTCGCAATGAAATTGACACCTTTTTACATGTGAAAGAACACGTTACTGCAGCATCTCACTTAATTTAAACGACTACTTCATTTAGTGGATCTTACTCAATAAAATGTAATTCTTAGAACATGGTGGTCCAGTCATACATTCTACCTTCAAAAACATTCTAATTGTTTACTAAATTACTCGTGTTCCGTGTAAAAAGGCTCAGAGAAGTCGTATTTTGGAGGCAGTGAATGCAAAACATAGGTATGTATATTTACAACCACCCAATTAACATTACTTTTGGTACATAAATCCCTCAAGTAGGGAAAATCTTTACGAAAAGGCGGTTCTAACAATGTTCAAGTGCTACCGTTTTGTAACTTAATGATGTTAGAGAGTGCATTAACCCAACGAAGCTAAAGCCGTGTGATTTCCTTCTTAGTTCGGTACACTGTACCTCAGTCAAACACTTCAAAGGATTATGCAGATCCAAACTGTTACAAGTCAACGCAGAGCCAGTCTTTATTGGTGGGCGTGCGTCTCAACGAGTCTACGAATCACGGCTTGCCCCGCCACTCTTGCAAATCGGCATTTGCGAGTGACTCTGAGCAATGAGGATCGCGGATACAATTTCCGTCGAACTGGTCCGGTTAAGAAAATTACTTTTCACACCAACTTATTGTTTCCCTGCATCAACAACCATTTTAAAATTTACCACTACTTTAAGTCTACTTGGCATTTGCATCTACTTTCCAACACAAGAGGCCGATAATGGACCTATCCAGCATCACATTAATTACCTATTTTCAGTACAAAAATAAGATGTGATAGAATCACTTTTCTTGAAACAAATTGGGATACGTTTCTGATAGAGACCACACGCTTGTGGACCCACCATGGTGTTTCGTTACGTGAATCATGGTCATTTTTCCACTCTATATTTTTATTTGTCAGACAAGTCGACATTTTGCTTTTGAGCTTGGCACACAGTGACTTTATGCTTACGACCTTAAATCACGGAGTTTTTATTTGCCAAAAATCGACCTGAAGTGAATGAAATTTCATATCATAATACAGTAAACACAAATACTTGAAAAGGGGATTTGTGTCCATCGATCAACGTGCCCCTTCCTCTAAGACAAAAGCCTACCATATACAAATCCAGTGTATCGCATACTGAGTCTTGCAATGGTCGTAAATATACCACAGTCGTTAGAGCTACCAGTAGCAGATCTTTTGAGCTAAACACTTACTATCTGCTGCTGCATGTCTTAAAACGACTACACAATAATATAAAAGGGGTATAGTGAGTTTGACTTATAAGAAACTTATGTATGAAAAGTAGCAATAATGGTTAGGGTAAGGAATCTTCGAATAAGCAGAGTTGTTGACTCACGAGCGCAACATTTCACAAATACAAATTTCCGCTGAGTTCTGATAAAAGGCCATAGATATAGAAAAAAAACTTGCCATTTCGGCTATAGGGGGCTGAAATTAACACTGCTATATAATCATTGACTAGAAGAAAAACTGCTCCACCTTCTAGAAGTCTCGTAAAAAGTAGACTTAAGTAATATTTAAGCGTTCAAAAAAATATACTAAAATTATGTGGACTACTTCGTGTGTGACGGAAAGAGTTGCTATCAGTACTTTGTAATTTGGATAGTTCAAAACGCATGTAGGTCTCTGCTGTGCATAAAAATATACCAGCCGCAGCGTTTATCAATTCTCTCTTTACGATGTACCAATGGCACTCTCTCTCAAATGGACCCAGAATTTTGTATCAAGTGGTTGGAATTCCTACCTATGACAGCAAAAAGTACTTATGACCCGCGTCAGTTCACGACCTTGAAATAAGTCTACAATTCACAGATGTAGTTGATAAATGGGAATACAAAGATTATGTTTAAGTGAAGAAGAGGCTAACACAAACACTTTATGCAAACAAGACCAAGTAGGCCGACCAAAAAAACTTGTTGCCTTTATAAGCAATACTATTGTTATGCTGTTTCATTGACAGAGGATACATCAAAATGATCAGTGCTACACATTTACCCCATCCCGAATGGAAAAGGCGCTCATTATATATTGTCATTTTTCTTGATTGAAATAATCATACGACAATAATCATTCCACTATCCCACCTTTGTGACCAAAAAATATCTTTATGGTAAAAGGCAGAGCTGTTGATTAAGTGATGAGTGACATCCACAGCTCTGTGCTACCTCAAATGGATTACCGATGACCATGAAATGAGTACATGTTTCAGCACTTGCTTAAACGTCGACCCGTCTGAAAATGCATAACTGCACCAATTAAACGTCAGGTACTGCCATAAATTAAGAGAAGCTGACACAGACCGACGCTAATACAAATGCGCAGTACGAAAAAGGTAGGTACGGGAAAGAGATGATGTAAAGTGCAATGCGCTTCAGAATGGGTGTTCTTTGTGTCTGTTTTTCGCGAAAGTGAGGGTAATTAATGTCAGTCCTGAAACAAATAAATGAATTCGGAAAAATTACGCAGCACAGTTTTTATTCACTTTAACTATCTTAACAGGAGATAATTCCAGCATCCACCGGTGCAAGAAACTAAAACTGTGTAGCCATTGCTATTCAATTCCATTGGATTTTGCTAATCGGAGTTTTGTCTGTAACGCAAATAATAAAGGGTATCTTTTATTACCACACTTATTTTGAGAATATTTTATTACAGAAGTTACGCTTCCACTTTAGATAGTGTATAATGCCACTGATATCAACGAATAGACCAGATGCAAGTGTTTGAAGAAAGGCTTTGCATCAGGGATTTAAGAAAGAGCAAGCACAAAAGCCTTCAAAAGTACTAATGTCACCTTGCTGTTATCAATGCCAGGCGCACACAATGGCGTACACCCGTGACGCCAATCAATGCGTTCTCTACAAAGTTGTCTCGAGTACAATTGATGCGAAAATGAATCGGACAAATGTCTTTGATTTTAGTATTGCGAAAGTTTATATTGAAAGTATTGTTTTATCAAACAACATAGTCATGATCACCAAATTAGAATAGACGGCATTAGAGGCTATTCACCATAATCTCATATCAACACTGCTTTTATCATCGTGACAGATTTATCAACCTTCCAGATTTTGCCATATCTGTGATTTGTTGGGAGCTATTTCAAAGGTTCGTGAAAGAAGGCTTTTTGAAGTCACTGCAGTGAAATAGTACTGTCAATGTATAAGTAGAAGACGTCTCACGTTGTTATACATCGAATCTGTTGAAATACATGTGTACATATGCACAAATCAGGCGTTGAATAATTGGCCGAGAACTCACGGAGGTACAGCAACTGATTCATTAGTCCTCCGTACACTTGAACTGGCTGAATTGCCATTGCAAATGAAGGACCACAGGGAGCCCAGCTTAGTGTTGGAGCCTGACGCCGATCGTGTCCTTCGATGAGGACTGAGACCACCACTGTTGGTGATAAACGACTGATCTGTGGATTTTGAATAAACCATCACGGAGCAGTCATTGCAAAAAACAGGAGCCTCAGATATCGTCATAATTGCTTCCGTTTGCGGCTCCGCCGAGCCCGCCTTCGGTTGCAGTCCGCTACCACCACCCACTGCTCTCCGGCGTTTCAGCTGGCGCGGTTTGCCCTGCCCTTGGCGCGTAGCATTCTTCAACACCGGGGAAGCGTTGTTTGTATCGCTAATTATTGCAGAAAGGGGTTCCTTGTGCTGCAAAGGGGAACCCGTTGCATCGTCGCAGAGATTTATGCTGCCCGCTGAGCGATGCAATCGCGACTTGCTGGTTGACATCGGATTCGTACTGGGTGATGCCGCCATGATGGTACTACGGGATAGTAAGTGGCACTCGGACGGCAGTTTGGCAGAGGAAAGAAATTTTACTACCGATGAATTCCTGCGCTGGATACGGAAGGCTGTACAAATGACCAGGAAACCACATTAGCTAATGACGACTACTTCTAAGTATAGTCAAGTCTAACACAAATGTATCGGTCAATGCACTTTGGTGCAGTAGGATTATGCAGTATAATGGACTACTACTTCCATGAATGCAATAAAAGGTTATGCTAAAAAAATTTTGTTAGAAGATATTTGATATAATCACTACCCTTTTCTCTAACAAAACATACATACACTTTACCGATTTTGCAAATTTTGATTAAAGTTAGTTTATCACAAAAGGCAAGATTCCCTATTCCATCCTTTGGGAATCATAATATGCTTATTTTACCTACAGCTACTTTAAAATTACTTCTCCAGAATACACATGAATCTAGTTGATCGAGACAGACAGTAAATTAGCCGCAATAAGTTCATAAATCGGAAATTTTGTGAAGTAGATTGGTTGGTACTTAATTGCACTATGTTAGCCAAAAGACACTCGACTGATACTTCGATATAAAATCCAAAAAAACATTAATGTTTGTTCCAAAATTCCAGCACCAACGGAGGCAATATTTCATACTTTACATTTCTTCGACATTAATTGAAATCGCTTTAACTACTTCGCTTACAATGACCCACAAATGACAAGAAAAGGTGGCCAATTTGCTTGTGGAAAAAAATAAGGAAAGGGAGAAAAAACGTAAGATAGTTCTGCACACACCACATTTGACTGCGCCTGTGCATTACTTGTCACTTGGACCCACAAACCAGCGCCAAGTGGCGACAAACGGTTTCAACCCCCATCTTTACTTATTTGGATGTCATTCTGGCAGAAGGTGAAAGCAACCTTAAATCTAGCTAAATATCCTTCAGAGTTTAGTTTGGCCAAAACAGACTAACATATATCTGGAAGTATAAAAGAAAGTTAATCAGGAGAGGTTTGGGTATAGGTGCGCAGAGAAAGAAGTGAATGGATTGAGAAATCGACATGAAACAGAGAAAAGCATTGGAATGTCAGTAAATCTATCTTTAATTATATCCAAACAGCGGCCATAGGAACTGCAAAATTAGTAGCCGCTTTTAATTTCAAAAACGGTTCACTTATAAAGTCGGCTATATTTTAAATTGTGGTTTTTTTGTCATAAAATAGCGCTTTGAAATGTGTGAAATCTGGTGTGGATAACCGATGCTCACTTGAACAATTTAGATAACTCAAGTCCATAACTGCTGGACAAAACTGTGCTTTCAATCGAATTCTTGTAAATCTGATTCCGTCTAATTCTGAATATGCGTGCATAAGCCTCCAACAATTCCCATTATAGTTGTGTGCCCTGATGATAACGAATTATGCTGTTTTCAGGTAGTGAACCTAAAAGGGTACTTTTTTCTCACAGCATTAGAAGAAAATTTAAGCAGCAATTCATTTGCTGGCAAAATTAGCATCCCCAAGTATCCAGCATGCCATGCTGTTTGAGGATTCATACACATGGGAAGTAGAAATCACAACTTAAAACATTAGAAGAATTACGCTTCAGAGTATCTACAAGGTTCGTGTTTTTGGCTATTTCCAGAAAAGAATGCTTTCAAAGCAAAACTATTGAACCAGAATCATTTCATTTTGGATCGCTTATTAGAATCCATACAATTCTGGCGTTAATAAGTGATTCACCCAAAGTTCTCTCTTGTATGGATATCCACAGTGCCTTGCATTTGTCTTGAATTCTCAATATTTGTACTGGTCTGAGCTTAAGACTAACTGCTTAATTTCATACATTTGCGTAGAAAAGACCTCCAATACTAGCTGGCTGATATTACAATGAGTGGTTGACATATGTCCTATCCATAATAACAGAGATAATAGCACTGCCATTTAAGGTAAGAGGGGAGGTTTCCATTATGCGCCTGCCTCTCAAAAGTTTCTTTAAACCAAAGTGTCAATAACAACCCACTAAGTGGTAGTCATAATCAATTTCGACATTAGCTATGCAGACCAAACATAGACAAGCCGCATCTATTTGCGTGCGTATGGACACACTCTGGTTAAGAGACACAAGGAGAGTGGTTTAATAAAAGAATTGTCATCCAACGACAACTTTATTTTGTTTCCTATGCTAATTTTTCGGGAAATAAAGCCATCTGAGTTCAGACTTTAATAAAGTACAGACATTGAAAAATAAAACAAATTTATGAGTATCCATTTCCAATTGCAAAATATAACAAAAGACTTTTTGAAGTTCTTTGCGTAAGTCAATATGAAATACACAACTGTTCAAAATAGCTGAATGTAACTTACGACAAAAAGCCTTTTATGCTTTCGCTTTAAAACCTAGATTTAGTTATTAATGAAAATGCATAAATGTATTAATGTAATTAATGAATTTTGCTTAAGGTAGCAAAAAAGTATGTTAGTCAGAGTTCTCTAATTTTGGCAAACATATTTATTTCACGCAAAAATCCCGCAAACAAAAGCATTGTTAAGCATATAACATCCAAAAATCACCTTTTTAGAGTCTAGCATTCGCATGAGCATCTAGCGTTTTAGAAGTAAAAAAGCAGAAGAAAATATGTATTGCAGTATTTTTTTGATTGTTCGCACAGGGCTATGATTATCTGCCTTGTAACATCACAAGAAGTAACGGAGTTTAGACGCTGGCTACAGCGAGTTGGGACACTAGTAAAAAAGCTCTGTTGACATGGATGAATAATTCAACTAATTTTGCAGTTAATTCAATGGTTCGTTTTCGAAAACCCAATTGGGTTATACTTAGTTATACTTCTGTAACAATGATAGCGTGTCAGTTGCGCAAGATTCGGAGTGAGGAGAATAGTGATAAGCTTTGCACTAAATGGAAGGCTAAAATGAACCACGTTAGTGCAAAAAGTTATGGTTACAAAGTGTTTTAAAAAGTACTTCAGTTATATGAATATATAATAACTTCTTGTTCGTACAGCAAGCAATTGTATAAGCACCCACTTTTAAAAAAGCGATTCGAAGCTCCAGGAGACTTTGACGCTGCGTAGTCAGTTGGCCCAAGCGTGAAACTTTTTGGAAGTGAGTACTGTAATTTTATTGCAGATGGTCCTAATTGATTGTCTGACTTGTAATTGTTGGTGCGACTACCATCAACCACCGACATTATCACCTTTTGCCTCAGCTTGGCTTAATAAATAAATTAAGGCCTAAAATTGCATAAAAATACGGCAAAGTCAGGTACAAAGTGATTGGTACACATAAAAGGATTTAAACACACTAAAGTGGGTTGATTCTGTGCATTTATAACACTAGTAATACTGACTGTTAAACAATATTAAAAGGTCTATTAAATTGTAGTACCAACGAACATCCAGTTCTCATAATAAATACTAAATGCAGATATATTATACCAAAAATTGCAAGTCACCAGAGACAAAAAGCCATCGAAACAAATAGCCAAGCTTTCAGAATCAGATAATTTATTAGTAAAGCGTTATTGAAAGTATTAGAAGTCAAGCCAAAGCTGGAATAAACACCCACAACTGCCCAAAGTGTTGTCTAGTCAGGCGCACCCAAACTCTGCAGACCAAGCTGGTCACCGCAGTTAAAAGTTCATGGACAGGTCATCTATTGGGTGATTAAAACCAATGCAGACAAGTAAAACCAAAAGCCCTTAAGCAAAGAAATATAGCTCGCAAGTGGGCCTTGCTGCAATTCATTTTGTCGTCACCCTAAGGCACTTTAATTTGATCATGGTCTCAGGATGTAAAATGTTTAGCCGTAAGCCTTAAGCTAAGTTTTACGTAAAATAGTGAGTGAATTCAGACACTTTTAACTTTTGGATCCAATAATTGCTTTTTGGAGTATTTTTTGGTCATTTGCCTGAGGATTGGCCTGTTTATCAAACGTACAATTTTCATCCAGCGCGGTTTCTTTGCATTTACATTTCTAAAAGTAACTACTGTAGTATGCTTTTAAAAACTACTTCTTGAAGAGGACATACTTTAATGACTCTTTAAAGCAGTTCCATTAACTTCATCTATTTGTCTTTCACTTGTTTATGGGAAATATTTGAAAGCTTTATGCACAGTCTTTTTTAATTTTAACCACAACACATATAAACTATTGTAATGTGCAGTTGTATAAATCTTCACTTTGTATGAAGCGCCCGACTCAATTCCTCTTATTTTGCGTCGGGACATACGTTGGGCTCTTTTGGCGCGGTACGCATCGGACTAACTGCGCCGTTCTAGAATAGCAGACTATTTTTAAGCTGTATTGGATGGCTTAATTCTGGTATGAAGAATTGATTCTTTCTCATGTTTCTGTTCTTATTTACCTACACGAATGTCTGGCCATAATTTTTGTACTGATTTATTCTTGCCCCCTGGATGCTGGGGGTACAGTGCCAGCTCATTAGATTTTTCCTTTTACAAGTTTTCAGGCTCATCAGCATAATTTCCATGCTTATCGTAATAATATTTCTGGATTTAATACAATCTCAAACTCATGTCATTAGAACATTTGCTTGACAACCTAATGCGTTTGCATTCCTAGTTTTTTGAAAGTTTGGTTTTCCCTGTATGACTTATGTCGTCAAGCACCTTTGGTGGTGAAACTCCTTAGTGGTTTTGCTAGCGAGAATTTGGAACCTACTGGCTTCTCTTGGGGAAAGCCTCTAGCAAACTTATGCAGATTCCGCCTTTGACCCAGCTCATAATGTTGTTTAGAATTAACTTCAAGTTACATTGTCTATTCAGATGCATCCCATTCTTGAAAGTACTATTCGTTATTCTTTTGATACAATTAGCTTTATCCATCACTTAGCCTTTTTAACTCCAACCGTTCATTATTTGTGGGGTTTGCCTTTCCTGTAATTTGATGCGTTGAATAACTGCCGTCTATTTCCAGGTCTTTTCTTGCTTTTATTATTTTCATATATTTTGTTCCCTTTGAAGGTGGTTTCTGAAGGGGAAAACAGTAAAGGCAATCTAATCGAGATAATTTTGATGGCATATAAACCCTGTGATCGAATTTTCGCAAAGGTTAAAGGTTTCCCTTATTGGCCTGCACGTGTATGTCCGCCTCAAGAGGCATGTCTTAATTGCTCTTTATAGATCAACGTCCTTCCCAAGGACGTGAAGATTCCAAAGGGCAAATATCCTATTTTTTTCTATGGTACGCATGAGGTGTAAGTTTCTCTGTCTTTCGTGCAACACCTCCCATAGCTACTTTTTAGCTCCCAAGGATATCTGCCCCTACGAACGTTGGAAACATAAATATGCAGTTAGTAAAAATCGTTCATTGTTTCAAAAAGGCCTTGAGGAGATAGAAAACGACCCAGATGTATTGCTCTATGGAAGAGTGAGTATATTTGTTACTGTGTACATTTAAGAGAGTCCATTTTCATGCAATTTACCAAAGCGTTTGCTGTCTTTCTCCGAGGATGCTGATGCAGAGCAATTCTTGTCACAATTTTACGAGTTCAAACGCTCGGCCGTTGGTGGTCCTTCTTCCCTAGATGAGGAGCTTCCAACTCTTACCGAAGCTTCCGCGGATGATGCGCCGATGAGGAGTGTTTCAAAGAATTCTGGTGTATGTTCAAGGCGATCCAGCATCAAGCACACGAATAAAGAGTCAGAGAAGCGGTTATCTCGTAATCATGGTATGTCATGCTTATCAGTAATAGAATCCTTACCTCTCTTAAGATAGTTTCTTAGCATCGTTTTTCGTTCCCATACCATAAGTTCTTTTTTTGGAAAATACACTCTGGCTCCTAGTACAGTTCAAAGGCGTTTATAGGCATTGTTTCGCTTATGTTTCCTTATGCGTCGCAGTTCTATGCTCACAGCTTGTGACAGGATTTTAAGGGAGTGCTCATGACGCTTGCGCAAAATGATTTGTAATACTTTATGATTTGGTTGATTAATTCCACTTTTACACTTTCCCGTATTAATTATTTTAGTAGTCCGACCTTTCAAGCGGGTAACAAAAAAAATTGAAAGGCAATCAAGTAGTGTTTCTAATGAGAGTGAAAAGTAAGTTTGACACCATTTTTTGTGCCTCTGGTCTTTTTTTTGAACAGATGCCCAAATTTATTTGCCTAACTTAAGGCAGATTCAGGAGAAGCGACTGGAGCTCTAGCAGCTGTAGTTTACAAATTTGATGAATCAACAGCCAATACTCGATTTGTCTTGGATGCACATGGCATGCCATATACATGACACCTAGTTTTATGTATTTATGAGTGTGGCCTCTAATTCTCTACTTTCAACCCGTCATATCTATTTATACACTTGTTTCTTTGCTCTCACAAGTTCTTCAGACTCCAATCACTTATTATGCTTCAGACTAATTATAGAAAGTACTGACGGTACTAAACAGGAGTCACTATTGGAAGTGGAAAGTGGTGAAGTTAATCCTAGTTCTACTGACGTGATATCGTCAACAAATAATGCTCCTGCAACCACAGCACTTGGCCGTCCGATGCGTAAATCGGCAAGTAGGTTTTCGGCCATGAAGCTCCTTAAAGCTGGAATGGCTTTTGCTGATGACGAAGGCTCCAACGAGGACGCAGATTGGCATCCTACAATCGCCCACACGAATGATGCGTCCGATGACTATGTACCCGCTGAGACTGTGAGTTTTCCTGTGTTTAACGTGCACTTGTTTTCTATTGTTTGACTCGTCTAGCCATTCGCCTCTATAAACACTACTGGATAGGCATTTATCAACGTACCTTTGCTAACCTTAATGCATTTGAAGTACTGGAGTGATTTCTCCAGCCCGTTTCCCCAAGTCCGGTTTCTAGGCAATTTGGGTCAGCCGAAAAAGAGCCATCAACGTAGTCGCTTCAGACTAATTGGCTGTGTGCAGATATTATTGCATTAATTCCTCATGATGCTGTATGTAGGGTGTCCAATCGGATTGATCGGAATATGGTATTGGTGGTCATACCAATTGTCCACATAACGACAATCTCACCTTTTTGCAAAGCTCTTCCCTTCACAGCAACAAACGATACTACTGATAGTTTATATGCTTTCATAATCGATAGAGAAATCGAACAGATTACAGCTGTAGCTATAGATTATAGTATAGTCGCTAATCGTGGCGTCGACCGCTGTCGCCTTCACATGCTTATTTTAGCGCTTCCTTTGTTGTTATTTGTATAGTCAAAGTCGGTATTTTGGTACTCCATTTGCATCGCTTTTTTCCGAAATGACCCTTTTTATCAATTCTAAAGGATTTTTTTCGGAGAACTATTGCAAATTGATTACCTCCATTCGTCTCAAAAATAACACTGGTTACCAAATAAAATGACCTTGTGGAGTTTGTCTGCATTGTTTTTATAGCCCTCCACTCCACTTAAAAGTCCCCAGTCTCCAAAGGATGGCGTTTCTCAAAAGGGCTTAAGGAAACGGAAGGATAAATTGAAGCCGGTACCTTCCGAAAGGTTGAAGCGTCCAATTTCACCCTCTTCGAATGAGTCATCTACATCTACAGATCCAGGGCGTCGCGATAATCGAAAACGCCTGTTTACGGGTGAACCACGACGATGCAAGAAACGTAGCGTCCTGTTGCCTTCGCCTATACACCGACGAGAGCGATCTAGGGTGAGGAAAATTTTTATTATGAGGTTCTGCCGGATATTCCAAAAACCTGTCCTTCAGCCGTCTCGAACTAGTCTGCCATCCATCATTTCAAGCACAGCGAATCTATTAATAAATACTGTAATGATTTGCCATTTGACTTCAGAAGTAAGGGGATGAGTTTTGCGCACTTTTAATCACGATGGTTTTACGTAGCAGCGTCTTTTTCATATGAATGATTTCGATTGTAATTATAATGCTCTCAACCGTGAATTGCTACTGAGGTTGACTTTTGCTCAGTTTTCCTACCAGAATTTCGTTGATTGGGCTGCATACGGTAATACGTATCCTCCTTATTTGCCTTACCTCTTATCTGACTTGTGACATGCATCTAATTTCGCCTAGGGCTCTTCCAGCGTTAATAGACCTCGTCTAAAACTGTCAAAGTAAGTCCTTTCTTTTATGTATGCCATTTTCTTTTGCAACACACGTTAGAAATTTTAGAAATTTCTTGTTATCATTTGAAAAGTTTACTACGTTTTGGCCTTTTTTTCAGGTAATATCTTTTTTTAGGCATAAGTAAAGTGCATTAGTACATTTTGTATGCTTACTAAAGAAAGCGAGTAGTAGCTTACATTTTCTCAGTAATTGACTCTTCGATTACAAGAAAATCGGCATTTTTAGTGTTTCAATGACTGCGGAAGAGTTAAACAATCGTTTGAACCAACAGAATGGGCAAAAGCAACTTGAAGGTTCGTTACGCTTTTTAAGGGTACTACATTATCGACTATTTGCACTCTCAGTGATTAAACCTGCACAAGGTGTGTACATAATTTAAGAAGACCCTTAATGTCATTTATTTCCCCTTCCTTTATCCATTCATCTGCTTCAAATTACTTCTTTTTGCCGGCGATATGATTGATCTAGTCCGTCTCTGTTACCACGTTTGTAGTTACTGCAATCGAATAAGTTGCATATTTCTGGGAATTAAATTTTCGAAAATTAGTTTTCACCCTTTGTCAAACAGAGCTGGGAACAGAGGCACGACTCCACAAGATCGATATTGGAATTAAGACAAGTCTTATTCGAGGCCAAGAAGATATTCCTACCTGCCTTCAGCGGTTGGAGGCGCTTGACAAGATGGAGCTCACTCTTCCCGTTCTCGTCAAATGCAGCGTCATTGTCGAAACAATCCGCAAGGCGAGTTTAGCTTTCTGCATTCGTGATTGATCACTCAAAACTTTACTTAATAGCCCCTACGTTTAGTAAGTTCCATGATGATACTTTTTGGAATAGCCCATTTTTACACCCAGCTCTGTAAATCTACTTTTGTAACAATGTCATGTAGGATGCCTTGCATCAATCAGTTCTTTCTGAAGATAGTGCACTCCAATTAAAATTACAAATAGTTGAATGGGATTCCTAAGTTCCTTTGCTTTTTTTCGTTCTTATTCGAATTGCAACATTTTGAATAGTGTCTTTAACATTTGCAGTAAGAACTCCTTCTTTGTACACCTATTTCTCCTACTTTAGTGCGTGAACAGACTGTTACTTTGCCTCATGGTAGTCCGACTAATTATTTTGATTTCAAGCTGCCCCCTCTGACTGTTTGTGCGCATCGTTTGCAGTGTTCGCGCTATAAGCCTTCGATGGATGTGAGGATTGCCGCCCTCAAGGTCTTTAACCGGTTTCTGAAAATAAGGGAAAATGCATCAAAAGAAGAGGTATGCTGAACTAACGTTAGTTACCTGTAGTTCCATATTTTAAGAACTGTGAGCTGACTTTTTGCCACTTCACTATTTTAGATGGAAGAAGCGCATGCAGAGCTAATTGCAAACAACAAGCAATTGCTTACTTCGAGTTCCCAAAAAGGGCCCTCATCTGTCGCTGATATCTTTCGGGATGTGCAGAAGTCTCAGGCAAACATGGTTCAGCAGAAACCACCTGTTTCTCAGCCGAAATCCCCAATCCAGCCTGCCAAACCCTCATCGCCTCCTGCAAATGCGACATTACAGGCCTCATCACAGCCTCCAGCCTCTCCTCCACCCGTGCCACAATTGCCGACAATCCCTTTTGACACTCCTGCCTCTCACTCCCCCGCTCCCCTGCATGATCAGTCTTCGGTCCCCATTCAGGACGCCCCTGACTCTCCCACGCCATCGAATGCATCTGACTCGGAGGGGTTGGCTCCCTCACTCGGTGATTTGGAGGGTGGGGAGTCTATGGAGAGTGGCGAGGATTCCCTCCTTTCTCCATCAAATTCTCTCTTTAAATCTCTTAATGCGGAAGCTACTGTGGCTGCTGTTAAGCAGGTCTTTTTCCAGCGTACCAAGGACAAAATGGCGGCGGCAACTTCAAGAACTCAACAATCGTCTCTATCACCACCAACTCAGTTGCCACCGTCGACAGTGACGTTGGAACCTGATGCCTACGTACCACAGTCACTTCACTTCTCTTCTGGTCCCCCCTCAACTTATGCCCCCCTTCTACAAATCCATTCTCCACTTCCATTCCCTCATCATCATCCTATCAGTCATCGCTTGGTGTCGAGTTAAATCGACCACTACCACCTCAGGCGCAGGAAGTAGGAATTCGACGAGTGGATCCTCGTCGCTCACCGGGAAACCGACGTCGTCTAGGCAGAGAGCGAGCTCGCAGTCCGCACGCCTTACCACATCCACTGGAGCATTATCAAAAGTTTTTGCGCAACGGGGAGGCCCACTTGCCACAGCCAACGCGATCATCTCCGCCTCCGGTTCCACCGTCGCCGTATGCTCGTGCGGCTACAGACGACTTGGACACACGAATTGCGCGTCTGTTAGAAGCTGCGGCTCCTCAGCCCCACCAGCGACAGGAATTTCACCCTCCTGATATTTTATCCCCGCCGCCTCCACCTCCACCTCCTCTGCCGCCCTCCCAGAATCTCATTTTATCACACAGGCCTCCGCCATTACCACTGCACCCACCCCTCATTCCTACGGCGGCCTCACCTGCCTACACCCCCGCTTCGCCCGTTCTGGATGGCGCTAATGATGGACAATACTTCGATCTGCTCAACATGTGGCCCTTGCAACAAAGCCATGGTTCTGATGAGGTGTACAGAAATATGGATATTTAAAACGGCATAACTTTGTTGTTGTTGTTCGTTTGTATTATAGGCCTATTGCTAAGCGTCTCATCTCCGTCTGCAGACACGGAGGTACATCTACCTTAATGATTATCCGTGCATTAATATTTGAGTAATTGTTCATATTTCAGTTTCATGATTTATGCTAAAGAATGCGTATTTTGGGTCTTGAAGTAACGCGAAAAACGTGCAAACTGCACTGATTCCCCTTCCAGATTCTCCGATATCCTATAATTTATGTTCATTCCTTGACTGGAGCACCCCGGATGGACTGTTTTGTACACGGTCCTAGTGCATTGTGACTATTGTCAAGTACATTACGGGGTACCTTTATTTGCATGGATAGCGGTAGTAGATTGTTGCGTGTTTTGTCTAGGCTCAAATGATGGTCTCTGAGCCGCGGAGGGCCACTCCGCAGCGTCCGTTGGATGTAGGTGATACGACTCGTGGTTGTATAGTTAAGATAGAAGCGATAGAGATATGCGCAAAACCTGGTTTGATCCACCAATTTTTATCGGCTTGCACCACCATGTCACGATGAGCGGTGGTTTCGGTCTATAATGTTCCTGCGGGTCACGTCGTTGAAGTGGTTTTCACCAATTTGGACCTAAAAGGCTCCTAGCTACAGCTAAGCCTCGTTTTTGTTGCAGTCCAATGGTGGGTTAGGCAATCCATTAGGTTTTTTACGCAACGTGTCCGATATTCACATTAAATGCGTATCCCAATTATGGTTTGGTATTTGTTACTGTTCAAAGCATTATTGTAACGATCTTTTATGTTCATGTTCGCTTCAAGCACCGAATTTTAATCACTTGCGTAGCCTGGTTCCTCTCTTTGAATCTTCAAAATACTATAGATTAAATGGTATCTTTTATGGCTTCTATTTGAAGGCGATAGTCTACCTTTCGGATAAGCTTTTGAGTTGCAAATTTAAAGCTGATTGTCATTCAACCGCTAAAAGCATTCTTGAGTATGATGGGTGAATGTTACGTAGTATGCCTCAAAACGTAGTCCCCGTAAATGTATTCATAGAGCAGTTGGTAAGGTAATAGGTAAAGGTCTAAATTTGGAAAAAAACAAGGCAATTAAAGCAGTAGGAATCATTTGGTGTTGCGTTCCTGAGTTACCTTAGGCTATAATTCGATTCGTACGTTGGCAGGACATGCATGTACGCATCTCCGTCGCATCTTCAGACGTAGTGCCATAGCAATATGATAGCAGATTTACTACTGCCCTTCAGAAGGAATTAGGGGCTATATTCATAGTTTTCCGATCATACCTTCAAGCCAAAGCGCAAGTCACAGAGACTGAAGAGTCCGAGTAGTTAAGTAAACAATTAGAACTGACACCACAAACTTTTGTTTCACTCTATGCAGCTAAGTCCATGCACGGCATATTACGTTACTGATAGGTTTAAGTAGAAGTAATGTTATACGCAAAACCGATGTCTTGCTGAAATTGCCTTATCTAAATCATTGAATTTGGGATAAGTGGTAGTAAGAGTTGATGTTTAATGTAGTTGCATGCCTATTTTATCATGCCAACTGGTTTTTAAGCTAAACAAAATGATCTCTCTCAAATTCTACTAAATCGAATTGAAAGACTTTATCTTCAAGAGGCAAATTATTGGAACGACAGAGTTTTTAAATTGATTATAAAACATTAAGATGAACCTTTTAGAATGTTGGTCAATTGCACCAAGGCAGTAAAAGTAGCTATCTGTGGAACCTAGATGATTCTGTAGCCAAACGAACTCTACCTTGAAGTGGTACCTTCAAATAGCTGCCCGCTTTGCATTTGCACGCACTTTCCGTCCGTTCCTTTTAATCCATCTTAGCGACTATAGGTCAGATACACCAAGCATTTCGCTACAAGATTGAATGATCGCACTTCTCAATGTGTTTCACTTGAGTTAACCATAAATTACTATAGTTTACCAGACCGTACACCCTAGTTTGCCACGCTTAAGTAACAGTGATTTCGCTCGAAGTCACTTGACTATTGTGGATGTACGCATAGTTGATCGCTTTTGCCACTGTCATTCAATTAATTTATGTTTACCTATCCGAAAGGATTGGATGCGAAAATTTTTTGAGGACTGTTATAAGCCGCGCCGCCAATTGGGGTGAATTGGGGATAAAGACTTGGGGGCGGGTGTCTTGTTTGATTGATGTATGGGACCAAGCAAAGGGGGACTAGGTGTGCGTTTGCGCGCTTTGGCGGCTGGCTAGTGGAGAATGTTGAAAACCGAGTCGGAGTCTGGATCCGGGTGGCAAGCGGAGCCAATTCTCCTGCGGTGCATCTGTGCGCGATGTGAGCCAATCAGGCGGGAATGAGGGAGAGCACCACTCTCTGAAGCGTTCGGACATTGGTCATTAATCAAAAGTTCTGGAAAATTGACAAGAGCGTTCCTCCGAGGTCACAGACATTCTCGGTAGCGAAGCTCGTAGTCGACGATTCAAATGTGGCCTCCATTGCTCTTTTGTTTACTTTAGGTTAAACCCATTACTTGCTATTGTTATTCTAACTACATCAATGGTTGAATTGCAAAAATGACACGAGTCGTTTTAAGCACGTGTAGGGTATTCTGACATTAAAACAAATTAAAACAGAATTGATTCTATGAAGAAGATGTCCAACGATTCTCCTTTTAATTACATTCAAATTTATATTTACGCATTTACTTGTTCCATTATCTTTTGACGAATGACTTTTCAATAAATACCTTTATATGTCTACCATTTTTGTACCAATCGCTTGTGACCTGCTCCTATTCTAATGTTTCTTGTTTTATTATTTTGCATATTCTAATATCCGGAGTGAAGCATCAGAATAAAGTAATATTGGTGAATTTGTTGTTCTTAATAGCACTTTCACAATTTGTCCTATTACTGCAATTATAAAGTAATCATGTAATGTTACGTGGAAAACCTTACATTAGGTAATTTAAAAATAGCAGAAACTAGCCTTAAACACACCCGTTGCTCTCAAAAACTCTCTTTGTTTTACAGTAGACGTACGGTGAAAGTAAAAAAAGCCAATTCTCCTCTTATTTCATTTGAGTAAAATAGACTTGGGTGATGCTTATTCTATGACAAGTCTGTCCACATAACATGTTTGCATGTGTTGGTGTGAACGCGTGTGAACATCTGTGCAAGAACTTGGACCAAAAAGTACGACGTTAGGTGGAAGTACTGTGGATACTGTAGTTGTGGCAGTAGGTTGCTGTAGTTGGGACGAGGGGAGACGGAAGGCTTAAAGCAACGATACACGTGATCCATTTGTGTGATTGTACGCTTGATGCTGGAGCATTTGACGTCCCTTCAACTGTTTTTGCGCCCTACGAGCGCGTCGCTGGGTCAGCCATGCCGCCCGCTGCTGAGGAGGCATGCGAGCCAGTCGCTCCTTTCTGGCCTTCCGGCGACGCCGACGGCGCTCCTTCTCTTCCTCGTTCTTCGGCTTTGCTCTCACCTTCACCGAGTCGCCTATTTGTCGTTGGCCGAATTGGTTGCGTTGTTTTCGCATTTGTCGTTGCTGCCTCTTCGTTTTGCGATTTCCAACGGCAGCATCATTCTGAAATAGACTTTCGAGGGGAGCCGGTAGGTTCCACGGAGGTGCAGGCTGCCTTGATTGTGTTACCCATCCTTGCCTACTCCAGCTTGTTCGAACGGATTGGCGAAAGGGTGTTGGAAGTGGTGTCGTCGTTTCGATGTGATGGAAGCCATCCAAGTTCAATTCAACCTTCGTGTTTGGATTACAGAGTATGGTTCGGGGTATGGTGCGAATGTCATGAAGAGCATCACGGAATCCTGGAGAGTCTTTCTGCCAGGCCATCAATGAGGTTATCTGAATAATTTAAGCCATAAACTATAACCAACAAAGCTATGATGAAGTAGGAAAAAAAGGCCACTCGTAGTGGGGCCAAAATCAAAGTTTACTTCTTATCGTACCAGATATCATTGATCAAAATGTGTTTGAAATAGATATGGCTTCATGTTTATTAGCTTTCATCAAATGTAACGGTGGAGCAACCTTTTGTCTCAGTGATCAGCCTAATTGTTGATAGTTTGAAAATCTACAAATATTATTTTTTGTTTAATTCATTCACTGTTTCTTTTTATCGCAATTCATTTTCCCATTTCTTCACAATATAATCGGAAACTGCTGTTGATGTGATGGTGAGATGCATCTCATATATCCCAACAACAGTGGGAATGATTTCTGCAATTGATTTAGGAAGCCAATGCTGGCCCAACTTGTGGCTGTATTACGACTTATTTTAGGCCTCTTTCCTCACCTGCAGCATTGGCGACGTGTTGGTGAGGTTTAAGCGAGAATTGTCCAACTTTTTGGCCATAACTAACCAACGTGTAGCTGAATTTGGTGCCATTGGTGAGATTGGTAACTGTAGTGAACACCCAGCGCATTCCAACAGCATGCTCTGGCTTGACGAGGTTTCTGTCGCATGTGGAACCTGAATGAGGGAGGAACGCTTGTTACGTCGACGTCTCTTACTCAGCCTTCCCTGAAGTCTTTCTTCCCGTCTGCGCTTCCTAGTAGAAGAATGGTTAGCTTACGTGATGCTAGTAAAGCGAATGTATTATAATTCGAAATGGTTGTATGCATCCACTACCTGCGTTCAGACTTTGAGTGCTCTGTAACCCCCTTGGTGTCGTCTGATTCCGTGGCGGGTAGTAGCAGCGATTTTGATGCAGGTGTTGTGAAAAGGAAATCAGCGGGTTGGTCATACGCCATCATATCAGTTACCTGATTGTCCATGTTGTATTCATGCTTTAGTCGTCTCGTTTGACTGAGCAGCAGTATGCGCTCGTCGTTGGTGTCCACGAAGCCAGTGGAGGGAGCCAAAAACCCGTTTGGCTTCAAGTTGCCTGGCGAATGTATGGGAGGCTGGGGCAGGAGCTGTTCTGAAACTCGATCCAGCTTAACCAGGAGGCTTGATGTGTTTCCGAAGGCCGTCACCCCCGATATCTGACTCTTTATCACTGCAATGCAATGATTATGCCGCATCAAGCTTTTGGCGAAGATCTTTCAACATCGCCGATAATTGGAAAGCACAATTCTAATCAAAGTTATGTTCTCATTCATTCATGCTTTCACTCATGCACATGCGATTTCACAAATCTTATGGAAAAAAATTTTCTAACTTCAAATATTTTTGTTTTTAAAATAAGCCTTTCCTTTTCAACAGACGAAGATCTCAATTGTCATCAATAATCCCATAACCCTATGAATTATTAGTCTACGTGGCAGGCAATGCGTAAAATGCAAAGCCTTTCCCCATAACGAAAGTGGCACACGCTTCAATTACTTTCCGGTACTTTGGTATTGAAATTCGTTATCTTCTGCTGGAGTGCACGGATTTCTACACAACTATTCCCTTTTTGTATGTGCCTTGTTGCCACTAAAAAAGGTTGATTCGCATAAAAATTCGCATTATTTTGATGCCCAAAATTTTGTCATACAAATGTGACTCATCATATAGTTCCTCTTAGCAGCTATTCGCTCGAGAAAATACTTGACTCCCTTAGGGTTTGCATGCCCTTGCCTACTCTTGGTCATCCACATCGCACTCTTGCAGGTACTTGTCAGTGTGTTGGAACTCTTTCATAATCTGAGAAGCGTTTGCCAAAGACAACATTAGGTTCGCAAGTGAAGAATGGACAAATTAAATGCGTTCTTGTCTACTGAGCAGTCTTGGGAGATTTTGTGTTCACTCGTGTGCATCCACTAGTAAATCGCAATTTTGGGTATGTACTTTAAACAAGTTTTAGGTTAACAATTAACGTCTTTAACCACCTTATAGAGGCTTAACTCTAAAATGGGAGTGTAATTATGCTGTTTTGCATACGAGTGTATCTAATAGCAGAGTAACCAGAACCGCAAATAATAGGGGAAATAGAAGACTGGTTTATCAAATTTAATCGCAAATTAAATTTTAGATTGGGTAAAATCATGGCGACGGTACAGGCTAATACCGAAAAATTCAGATTCGTTTTTATGTATGCAAAAATTTTGGCAGTCCCAAGGCAGACGAAAATGTCATACGCATGCTGCTTTTCCTTGCATCGACCATTCTTGCGTTCCTCCCACCAAGGCAAAACACATCAGTGGGAATAATGTACCTCAGTCACTGGTCAAACATGGAGTGTCTAGATGCATGCTGGAGGGCCCTGATCACCTATGAGTTATTTATTAGAATCACTTCATTTTTCAGATCTTGCCACCTTTAATGATGCGCCTGGAAACAGGCTTCCTTAAAAGGCGGCAGTTGGTTATTCCGGGTTGTCGAACGAGCGGTATAGGCAAAGAATGCTGGCCAAGCTTGCTTGTAATGGTTCAAAATTAATCGTTCCAGAAGCAGACACGCCTTTTATTTACACTGGTCCACACTGCACCAGTTTTAGAAGTTATCTTGGTCCAGATCAATTGCAATGGTTATTTTAAATAAACATCCATTCATATGAAAAACGGTTGAGTCTTGGAGCTCTCGTAAGGTATTAACCTTACAAACCGGTTTTGCATTTACTGGTGACATTCCTTCACTTGAATGTGAATACGTTTTTTGCACATATCTATTTAATTTACTCTTATTAAGTGATGATACAATGATCGGTTTAACGGAATTGAAATGCGAGTGAAGCCTTGGAGGCCACAGTTCTTCAGTTAAATATAATTGGATGAAAGCAGAATTTCCAAACCATCTATTCAGGTTTC